CCTTGGTTTGGATTTCCCATCTGGAGTGAGTGTAGCAGAGAGTTCTTGCCATTAGGGAACAGCACCCTTGTGCTTTGCTTAGAATAATTTGCACTACGGTATCTTGAGCAGTTTGTCCATTTGGGTCCGAAACCACTGCAGAGGAAAGGCAAGCCTGGAATGGATTTTGTCATCCAAAGGTGCACATGGTGTTGTTGAGGGAAGCCAGCAAAGCAGGTGCTCAGCTAACAGTTTTTGCGGCAACTCCGCGGTAGCCTGGTGCTCACTTCAGCATTCCACAGCCAAGATTGAAAAGACTTCCCACCCTCAGGGCGTGACTGTCCCACAGGGAGACATGTGCAGAAGTTCCCTTTGACTCCCTCGTAGCCTTCTTCACACTTGATAGCTCAGCAAGGATTGCATAGAGTCCAATTCCCAAACGCTGCTTTGAGGTCCCTTCTCTACTCCCACACCACTGCCTTCATGTACCTTCGTGAGATGTTCTGTCCAGACAGTTCCAACAGCCTCATGACTGGCTTCCTTGTCTCCAGCTCCATCTCCATACAGTCCATCCTCCAAACTGCCATGAGCATTGTCCTTCTAACCCACAGCCTAAGCCCCTGCATCACTCCCCTTGTTCCCTGAGAAGCCGGACTCCGTGTGTGATGTACAAGGCCCTCTGTGGTCCGGCCCTGCTGACCTCTCCAGCTCCACTGTGCTGTGTAGCCTGCAGCCTCCCACCTGCAATCTGGCCTCACCTCCCTGCGGGCAATTTCCTGAGCATACTTTGTGGTTTCACACTGCGATGCTTCCGCACAAGGGCTCCCTTCTGGCAGCAATGCTGTTCCTCCTGTTACCCAGCTGCTCTCTCCGTCTACATTTTACACTCAGCACGAGAGGCACTGTACTAGGCAGTCTTTCTCCTCTGGGTCTCCTGTTCCCTCTACAGACCCTGACACCATGGATCACAGTAAGCAGCACTATTAATTCCAGTTCTGACCCTCTCACTGGGCTGGAAATATCCAACAAGCAGGAATAGTATCTTATTCATCTGTGGATCCGACACCTACACATGCTGGCAATAGTAAATACTTCTTGGATTCAGTAGCATCCCTAGACTCAAGCCAGAGCTCAAGAGAGGGATGAATGATGGACTGGGACAGCAGCAGAAGGAGCAGCCCCTCACTGGAGCCGATCCAAGAGCAGCCCACAGGCCAGTGTTGGTTGCATTTGTTGAATTGTGTGAGTGTTTACCTATTCAGTGGAGGTAATGCGCACATGTGTGAGTGTGGTGGGCTCATTTGGACTTAGTGGAAGGAATTTCCAAATAGTATCCAATGGCTGCACCCCCCCAGCTCGTTCACCTTCTGCTTGTACTCTGGGGGTAAGTCCTCATCCAATTTCCGTTTGGATCAAGTTTAGAAAGTTTTGATTCTCAGCCTGATTAAATCTCAAAAGCATCATTAATAGCTGAATCGCTAGTCTCTCATTCCTTCACAAGCACAGTGACTTGTGCCCTTGCCCAATGACATTCCAATTTAACTTACCTCTCTCTGGAGTTGAGTAGTTGTGGATTCAAATTTCACAGATACGTTTGGATAATTGCAGATGTTCAAACCAGGTAGAACAGGATCTAGAAGAGTGATTGTAATTAAAATGTAAATAAAATTTAATCTAGGATAGTTACCAGGGTTGGGAAAAAGAAAAGAACAGAAAAGAAAAGGTCAACCCTCTTCCTTCTTCAGACTGAGACACGATATAACCTACATTAAGAAGCTATGTTGCCCACAAGTCACTTAACCTCTTAAGGTCTCAGTTTCCCATGGATAAAAGGAGGATAGTGAGAACAATCAACTTGGTAGAGTTCCTGCAAGGAATCAATAAGATAATCATGGACAGCACTCAGCCCAGCAGCCAGCACATCCCAGATGGTGATGACAGCTTCATCCATCCATCCACCTGCTCAGGGAAAAACTCTTGATTAGTCCTTGATCCTGTGCTTTCTCTCACATCTCACGTCCAATCTACCAGGAAATCCTGTCTGCTCTACCAGAATCCAGCCACTTCTTACACCTCATACTGTCCCACCTTAGATGGGGCCCCCACCATCTCTAGCCTAGGTTCCTGTGGTAGCCACCACTGATCTCCTGGATTCCACCCTGGCCTCCTCTGTTGATTCCCAACACAGCAGGAAGGTGATCCTCTTAAAACCCGGGTCAGGTCATGTCACTCCCCTGCTCAAAGCGCAGAAAAGCCTCCTCATGTCACTCAGTGTAAATGTTAAAGGCCAGTGAAGTGTCTAAGATCTGTTCCCTGGTTACCATCCTCACCTCTTACCATTCTTTCTCTTGTTTCTCTCCTCAAGCTACTCAGGCCTTCTACTGCTCCTGGAACATGCTGGGCATGCCTGGGGGTCTTTGCCCTGGCTGTTCCCTCTGCCTGGCACAGTCTTTCCTGGATATGAGCAGATCTAACTTCTAAGGCTACTTCAAATTTTGTTCACATATTACTTTCTCAATAAGGCCTACTCTGACCACCCTTTGAGCATCCCGGTCCTTGTTATCCACTCATATGCTGTCTAATTTTCTTATCTATTTTCCATTTTGTTCATGGACTACCCTTCTCCTCCAGAATGTGAGTGCCACAAGGGCAGTGGTCCTTCTTGGTTTTGTCCAGTGATGAACACCAACAGTCCTTGGCACATAGTAGGTGCTCAGCTGCCAGCTGAGTGAATGAATGTAAGTGCCTAATCACTGTTAACTTTTGTGTTTTTTTAAGTATGAGGGTGGAACATATAACATATATTCTTAATTTAAAACTACTTTTTTTCACTTGGTCCTGATTAGAGGAGGGCCGGTTGCCATTTTCTCAAATTCATAATTCCCTCCAAATTTTATAGTCAACTTCTGCTTTTGCTCTTTTCCATTTCCTGTATTCCATGAGTGATCAAATCACAGATTTTTGAGTGTACAACATTCACCTGGGAAGCTTGTTATAAACATGGGCCATAATCCCATAGGTCAGTAGGTCTGGGGTAAGGCCTAGGAATCCATATTTTAAGCAATTTCTCAGGCAACTTGATAAAGACAGTGGGGAACTGACCTTGATAAACATTGTCTTACATTTCATTTTCCCTCCTTCAATATACATGAAGCTGCCATGACAGCCCAAGCCCACAACACCTTCTGGCTCATTCACTAGAGTCACCTGCACCCTGATTTGCTCTCTACTTTTGTCTCTTACTCATCTCTAGCTACCCTTGCACTGTGCTATCTGTCTTGTCTGTTTTCTGAGTAAGAACCCAAACTGGCACCTCCACTGTCCAAGTTAAAAAAATAACAGCTCTAATTCAGGGGCGCTGGGGTGGGCTCAGACAGCAGCAGCAGAGACTCTGCTCTGGTTTGGAAGGACTGTCTGTAAGCCAGGGCACCTTGCTGGGCCTGCCCATCACACAACACAGGGCTTCTCTGATAATCTAATGAGATGATGGGTGTGAATGTGCTTTGAAAAGTGTAAGCTCTGTGTAGACATAAGGATTATTGTTCATACAAAGGAAAGGGTGAAAATGACATTGTGAATGGAAGAACTGGCCTGACAAGTTGGTGGGATATGGGAGATATGAGAGGAAAAGAAGAATTAAAGAAAAGAAGTGGGAGTGCCCAGAACGTGGGAGGCTGCATAATTTAGCAGCTAAACGTCCAGACTCTGCACCCAAATCGCAGCATGGCCTCATATTAACTGTGGGGCTGGGAAATTACTTAGCTTCTTTGTGCCTTGACCTCTTTATCTGTTAAATGGGAATGGAAACAGTAATAGAGTTGTTTTCAAGTCAGTTCAAGGCAGTAGGATATGGAAAGTGCTTAGATTCACGACAGGAACATAGTAGGCGCTGAATAAGAGTTTATTATTATTAACACCACCAACCTAGTTGGCTTCCAGAAGTACCCCCGCCCAGAGGGAGACCCCTGCTCAGTCTTGCAGCCCAGACGACGTGTCTAGTCACTGGACTATATCTTTCTGTTCCAGTGCTCAACCTGCATAGTGAACATAGATTTTTTTTTTCCTAGCCACAAGTACCAGGCTCTGTATGTCTGCTGGCTTCCTGGGACCCATCCAATGACAAGGCACAGCAGGTTGTTCCCAACAGACACGTCAGGTTTAAATGGACTTTTGAAAATCTACTCAGACCCAACAGCCTCAGAGGCCTACGTCCTTGGGTGGCTTGTCTACTGAGCATGGCGCCAATCCATAACACCGGAAAGAAACTGGTGGGAGGGGAAGGGCGGATAGGCTCAAGGTGCAAAATCTATCAAAGGGGCTGCTTTGGAGGATATTACTGATTGGTTTGCTCAGAGTCAATGGTTAGATCAAAGTTATTGTACGTAACCAGAAAGAGTGGGGAACCAGGGAAAAGGACTGCTGTGTTTATAATGAACAGCAGCTGGACTCCTCATCCCTTACCAAAGCTACCTTCAAGAGACAAAGCCAATGTGTCAAATTAATTAACTAATATTAATTGAGTAACCCCAATGGAAAAATCTAATAGAAAAACAAATAAAAAGCAAAAAAAGGGAAAATTGCTATAAAAAATGAACTCAGGAGATATTGGAAAACATCACATTAAAGCCAAAAAGCATGGTTGAATTTATGTGTAAGCTATAACTTAATTAAAGAAAACGCTTCAAGATTAACTACAGAGAGCTGAAGATGCTTAAACAATATACTAGCTGACGAAACATTGGGATGATCGGTACAAACCCTTATCTGATTAAAAGGAAGTTATAAGACCCAGTACACTCCAAGGCAAGAGCTTAAGGAAAAGTGATTCCAGAATATGGGTTCCCAAACTTGACCACACAGCAGAATCACTTGGGCTGTTAAAAATTCAGATTCCCAGGCCCCACTCTGCTGAGCCTATGAGTCAGTGGGTTCAGAGGGGGCTCTGGAAGCTGCTTTCTGATGCTGGACCGTGCTCTCCCTGTTCTGCACACTCGGGTTCTAACCTGGCTGATGTGCCTCAGTCTGCTCCAGGAGGGACGTCAGAGGACCCAGAGAAAGGCCATGGAAGGGACAGCCTAAGAGAAGCACCATGCAAGGCACACCTGGGGAGCAGCGAGATGGTGAGTCAGAGCCAGACCATGCCCTCTGCCCAGAGAAGGTGGGGGCTGAGGGCGGGTGGCACCTGCAGGGCAGCGAATGTGGAGAAGCTGTGAAGGCCCCTGGGGATGGAGGGTCCCCACCCAGCAGGGCAAGTTGCTCATCCTCATAAATAAAGACACTCTGTTTTAATTTCTGCTTAGCCAGACAGGAATGCCCTCGAATCTTTATCTAATTTCATGGTTCTTACACATTAAAGACTGACTTAAGGGTCTCTATTTCAGGTGCTCTTAAATGTTGGGGTATGTGATAATCACCCCCAGAGCTTATTGAACATACAAAATCCAGGGCCCCACTCCCAGACATGGGGTGCACTCCAGGAAACTGCATATTCAGTGCGACTCCCCAGAGGTCAAATGAGGTGGGCCGTGTGAGGGCCACACTTTGAGAAGCGTTGCTCTGCAGCCACTGGGAGGTAGAGAGAAGGCAGACCAACTTGCCGAGGGCTCTCCATCAGCAGCTAGCTATGGAAATTTCTCTGTCTCCTCATCTCTCTTACTACTCTTCAGTAAAATGGAGACAACAAAAATTGCCAACTCCTAAGTGCTTCCTCTGTGCCAGGCACTTTCTATGCATTTGGTTCATCTATCTCGTTGGAGGCAAGTACTGTTGTCATTGTCCCCACTTTAGAGATGAGGAAAATAGGAGGTTAAGTGGCCTACACAAACTGCATAGCTGGTGAGTGGCCGAGCTGAGAAGCAAGCCCAGAGTCCAGAGTGGCAACTGCGCTCTGAAGCCCCTATCTGAGTAAGCCTTACTTGCCGCCGAGATTGTTGGGGAGAGCTGGTGACATGATGCCCAGGAAAGAGGTGAAATGCAGGTGCCAGTCAAGAGGGGAGGGCAGCTGCTTGTCAGGGATAATGCACCATATGTGCATTCATTGTGCACTTGCATTTCTCCAACACTCTCGACTCAAGGCTGACAATGACACAGTACAAAGTATCCAAGAATCCAGGAGACAGCTCTGAAGCGAAAATATCGAGGAGCCCAGAGCCCAAGAGTTTCGATCTTCTTAGATGTAGATATTCTTGCCAGAGCTGGTGGGAGGATCCAGAATGAAGTGCTTTTGAAACGGACAAAGCAAAGCCTGATGTCCTGCCACAGGGCTTACCTAAAGAAGTGGTAGATGACCCTACCCAAACAGGGGGCCCTACGGAGATCTGACGGAGGACCTGCCAGGAGTGGTCGGAATGATCTAGGGTTCCTGTTCTGTCCCTCTCTGACTATGGGACCTCCTGAAAGCTGCTGCAATTGTCTATACCCTATTTTCTCCCTGGTAAAATGGAGACAGAAATATCCTATAAGGTAGTCAGGAGCCTTAGAAAGATGTCTGTTGTAAAGGGCTTAGCCCACTTCCTGGAACACAGATGGTGCTTAATGAACAGGAGCTATTGTCTTGACGATGACGATGGTGGGGAAGATGATGACTCCACTCACCAACACTTTGGTGGGGGCTGGGGGGTTCCCTTTCTCCCAAAGACTGGCTTGCTGTGCAGTTGGTGGAAGGTTCTGGAAGGTGTTCTGGCCGCGTCGAGGTATATTTTGAAGGCGTGTGGTGCACGGTGTGCGATGACCTGTGGGACGAGAATGAAGCACAGGTGGTGTGCCAGCAGCTTGGCTGTGGGACGGCCGTCTCCGCCCCTGGAGAGGCCCGCTTTGGCCAGGGCTCCGGCCCCATTCTTCTGGACAATGTGCAGTGTTCTGGGACTGAGGCCTCTCTGGAGCAGTGCTCGCACGCTGGCTGGTTTGCCCACAACTGTGGACACAGCGAAGACGCTGGTGTCATCTGCTCGGGTAAATTTCTTTCTCTCTTCTCTGAGAGTTGAGTTTTCATTTTTCCCAATCGTTTCCTCAGTTTCTCCCCGATGTAGCTGGGCACCCTGAATCTAACCCCAATCTTCTTGTGTCTGTTTGAGAAGCCAACGGTAATTATATTGGGAAGAATTTTAGGTTTGATGTGAAAAAACTTAGTCCAGTCACAGGATGAGCTACATAATTGCAGGTCCCAGTGCAAAATGAAACTGTAGGTCTCCTTTTCCAAAAATTATTAAGAGTTTTAGAACAGCGACAGCAGGGCATGAAAGCAAGAGCAGAGCTCTTCTGAGCGTGGGGCCTGCGGACTGCAAGCGCAGCTGACCTCCCTGATCAGTACTCCTGTGTAATTCCGGCTCCCTCTTCCTCTTAATGTGGCTTTTTGTGCATCATTGAGCCTTTACGTAACACAATGGGAATAATCATAATAAGAACCAGGACAATGACTTTCCTCCCTCTCCCACTGCTCTGCTGTGACGAGAAGCATCTGTTAAATCTGATCCATTAACCTGTCGTTCCATAGCCTGAGGAGCAGGCTACCAATGATGCTGTGCCTGCTACATCTGCTTTTTGAGGACATCTACCTCCTGGAGACCAAGCAGCCATGTCTCTGATAAACTGGTTTTGGTTGAGGGAGCAAAGTCTGGAGTCAGGAGCCAGAGGAAACCCCTTCCTTGTTCCTTAGCTGCTGACTGTGGTAGTCAGAGGAGAGGGCTCGCCTACTCCCCAGCCCATTCCTCCCAAATCTGATGTGCCAGGAGGAAGGATCTGAGCCATCATCAGCAGGCCAAGAGCAAAGCACCCATTCATTCAACGAATATTACTGCAGAAGGCTTGGAGATCCAGCAAGAACAATGTCCTTTTCCCATAGATCGACTTCCAGACTATTCCATGTGTCACCTTCTATCACAAAGCAACAGACTCATTTCTCTTGATGATGGTGGGAACCAGACCCTGCCCTGCTGGTACTTTTACCACTGCAGGCAGCTCTGTCGTGAGAGTCAGTTAAGGGGGTGGAGGAGAGTTCTGGTCCTTCAAACTATCATTCCCAAGGCCTCTCCTGGGCCTGCAGCGTAAAGGCGGCCCCAGCCCCTCCAATTTCGTGGACCCTTAGGACCCAGCTTGTGGTCAACCCATGCCAATGCTTTCCAGAGCCCTTCATGTGAGTCCTCAGGGTGGACAGGCCTGGGCGGAAGTCACCTTTGCCTCATCTGGGCACTTCAAGCAGCCTGGGTAGGTGGAAAGAAGACTCTGCCGGTCTCTTAGGCAGTGTGTCCTTGGCCTGGGCACCTTGGGAGATAGGGAAGGAGAGAGGGAGGAGCCGAGAACAGTCCAGGGAGCAAATTATTATAAGTATCTTACTTCAGGGAAATTTAAAAACATTTTTCAAGTATACTTTTGAAAGGCTGTTCTCGACCAGGGATGATTTTGTCTCCCAGGAGAAAATTGGCAATGTCTGAAGACTTTTTTTTTTTTGAGGAAGATTAGCCCTGAGCTAACTGTTGCCAATCCTCCTCTTTTTGCTGAGGAAGACTGGCCCTGAGCTCACATCCATGCCCATCTTCCTCTACTTTATATGTGGGACGCCTACCACAGCATGGCTTGCCAAGCAGTGCCATGTCCGCACCCGGGATCCGAACTGGTGAACCCTGGGCTGCCGAAGCGGACCGTGTGCACTTATCCGCTGTGCCACCGGGCCGGCCCCTGAAGACATTTTTAATTGTAACAACTGGGGGTGCTACTAGCATCTTATGGGTAGAAGCCAGGGATCCTACAAAACATCCTGCAGCACACAGGATGGCCCACCACCACAAAGAATTTTCCAGCACAAAATGTCAGTGGTGCTGAGGTTAAGAAACCTTGCTTTAGAATCAAGTGCATATAGTTGATTTTGTTCATTTTATTTTTATTTTTTTAAAGATTGGCCTCTGAGCTCACATCTGTTGCCAATCTTTTTTTCTCCTCCTCCTCCTCCTCTTGCTCCTCCTCTTCCTCCTTCTTCTTCTCCCCGAAGCCCCAAGTACATGGCTGTATATTCCAGTTGTAGGTCCTTCTCGTTGTGCTGTGTGGGACACCTCCTCAGCATAGCCTGGTGAGCGGTGCCGTGTCCGCGCCCAGGATCCAAACTGGTGAAAACCTGGGCCACCGAAGCAGAGCATGAACTTAACCACTCGGCCACGGGGCCAGCCCCTGATTTTGTTTATTTTAATAAGTACTTATTAATTGATAATAAATTGAGGGTTAATTAATTAGTAATTACTTTACCAATGAAAGCAAAGATGTCTATAGCCCCTTCCTCAAGTGTCAGCCTCAGTCCAGTTTTTTTCCAGTAATTTCCTCCTACTGTGTCCTCTACTGATTAAAGTTTACTCTGTCATTTTGTGAGGAGAGAAATAATCTAATCTCCTTCACACATGCTTTGACAGACGTACTGAATCTTTCCTGTGTTCTCAGCACGTCATGTACTCCAAGTCCAGGCGTATCAATCACTTGAATGGTTTTGCCTAAGAGACGGCCTCAAAGCAAAGATCCCGGCAGTCGTGCAGGCCTTCCCAGGTTTCTGAGCACATTGCATCCATTATAACCCGCTCCGTCCTTACACAGCTCAAGTGGAGCTTTTGTAATCATCCCTGTTTTACAAATAAGGAAACTGAGGTTCAGTGACAAAGGTCAAATCAAGGTCAAATTCCTCTACCTAAGTCACCTGCAAATATTCAGGCCTCTGGACTCCACATCTGGTGCTCTGTCTCCTCCCCCAAATATGCCTACATTCTGGAAAAATTGTCCTGAACCTAGGCGAAATTTGCAAATGTTCAGAGTTGTCCTTGATGCTCTGCTGGCAGCCTCACCCTTCTTACCTGCTTCAGGCCCCCCCAACACACGCCTGTGCCCCAAGCCCTGGCAAGCTCCCCAGACACAGAGAACCCCTAGATGAGCTGCCGAACTTATTTAAACCAAAGCCTCCAGACCCACCTTCCCCGTCATCAAAACTCACACTGCCCTCCTTCCATTTCCTCAAGCGCTCTTCCCTCTGGTGATGTGCAAAGAAAGTCAATGACTGTCAACTGAGGAAATGAGTAAGTACTTGACTATCTGCGTGAGAGAAGAAATGTTAATGGAGTAACCAGTTCTGCTGTTTCTCAAACAAATGCCCAGGATTGCCTGCCTTAAACAGAGACTCTCTGAAATCCTACACAAGGAATTTTACTTCCAATTTTAATAAAACCATATTTATCTTTATGTGAAAACAATGTTTTAAATACTCAACATCCGGTAACATTGGTCCCTTAGATGCACTGCTTATGCTGCAGGTGTCTCCAACCCCAATCTCAGGTTGAGAAATAGAAAAACCAACCCAAGTCAAATGTACTGGGCTATTCCTGAGCACAGAGTTTAGACTACGATGTTTGTACTTCAACGAATATTGAAAATAGTCAATAGGTCTTTCCTTCCAAGCTTCCTTTTTGGAATAACCACATATAAGACTCATTCCAGGCTGAACTTTTTTCACTGGAGTCATAGCAGTGGGACAACAGCTGACCCTTCCGGCAAGTACAGGGCATTCCAGAATTTTTATTATCTCTAATAGAGTCAAGTTATGTTCAACTTTCTTTTCTTTCTCATAGAAAATGAACGTGAAACTTCAGGAAGTTTTGGTAAGAATCACGCTTTCATGTATCTTTACCAGAACATCCCCAAATGTCCCCAATCCTCTGATTGTATTTACCAACATAACCCATTGCTGGAGGGGGTTGGGGGAGGGGCTGAGACAAATAGTGAACTTAATCAAAAGGACTCAACAAATGAAAGAGAAAAACAAGCAGCTTCCCCACTTTAACCATGCAGGAAACATTTCTTCCCAAATTGTTTTGCTCTTATTGCCCAAATGTATTTTAGAAAATTATGGAGTGAGGATATGAATATGATTTAATAAATTATCATTCAAAGATGTAATTGAACTAAAATTGGACTAAAGAAGATCCTAACTTCAGACACCCCAATAACACCGGTGAATCTAGACAGACCTCGTGTGTGGCCTTGGGGCACCGTGCCCCTCTGCATTGCTGTTTAGCAAATTCAGAGATGAACGGAGAAAAGTACACCCTTTCTCGTTAACCTGAGCCCTTCGACACCCCTCTTCCTTAGAAGTCCCTTTATGAGTATCAGAGGAAAACACTTCTATAGGCACTTGACCCTTCACACAAATAATCCAGTTTAAAAGAACAATGAGTAGGTGACTCTGAGTTGCCCAAATACACTATCAATTTCTCGCTTGCCACTGATCAGAAAGAAACTACAGAATATATTCCCCAAAGCACTCCCTTAGCTGGATGTCTAGTCCTGAGACCTTCGCATACATTCGACACTCCCCAGTAAACTTGGCATGGCACTGTGCATGGCAATGACACTTCATTTCTTTCTCTGTTCTTAGAAACTGAGATCCTAACACCATTTCCTGGTGGTGAGTCAAAGTTCTGTCTTCTTTTGGTGGGATTTGGTGCGTCATGTGCTTCTCAACAGTGGATAGGTCTCCAACCACACAAACACCACCAAGCGAAATGATTTCATCTGGGGATCTCTAAGCACTCACCTCACTCATAAGCCTCTGCTTTTTTTCAATGCAACGAGGAAGGCTCTCCCTCCTCCCCATCCTTTTTTGTCTACTCAGCTCCTTCCTACTCATCTTCCAAGCCTTGGGCTCATCATCGTTTCCTGGAACCCCCACCCTTATTATGCCCTCTCAAAACATTATGAACATCTGCCCCTTCTCATCTTCGCATTTACGTAGTAGTAAATCTAAACTTAACTTTGGATTAATATGACTGCCTCCTGCAGTCTCCTCAAACTGGACTCTAAACACCGTGGCTGCAAGGACCTGGTCTGTTCTGTGAACCACTGCATCCGCAGTGCTGTCTACTATGACCCAGCGTGTGCTCAGTAACTATTTGTTGAATGGTTAAACAAGTGGGTTGATGCAGAATATGTTCCTTCTCCTGACATGCAATATTTTTATATTTTTGAAAGACTGGCCACAACTGCAACTAGTGAACGGGTCGGGCAGATGTTCTGGACGTGTGGAAGTTTTCTACCATGGCTGGTGGGGCAGGGTTTGTGATGACGACTGGGACATGAACGAAGCCCATGTGGTGTGCCGGCAGCTGAACTGTGGGCATGCCCTCGCAGCCCCTGTTGAGGCCCAATTTGGCGATGGTGAAGGCAAGTTTCTGCTGGATGATGTGGACTGTACAGGAAGAGAGAGTTTTCTGGGACAGTGTCCTCATGCCGACTGGTCTCTCCACAACTGCGGTCCCGGAGAAGATGCCAGTGTCATCTGCTCAGGTAAGGGTCATTTCTCCCTCCAAGAATGCACATCTCGTTATCTCCATGGCATCTCCACTGATGCCATTAGCAATGCTTGCACCTATGTCGTCGTAGACCATCTCTGACCACTTGTATGAGCCAAAAGTAATGAGCCATTGGTAATTTGAGAGTTTCAAGTGGAGCTCGGGAATTTTCTAGCCACAAGATGTTGAAATGGATTTTATACAGAGAAAAATGTTGGAAAATATTGGTGGTTCTATTAGAAGGACTAGATTTCAAAATGGCTGGTGAAATGACAATGTAAGTCAACAGTGACACTAATCACTTGCTGAGGGCATTCTACGTTTCTTCAGGACTCTGTGGGGAACTAAGAGGTAAAGTTTTTCCCCCCGAAAGTTAGTAGTCTAATGGAGGTGAAAAAACAAGGAGTTTATAAATTAGAATAGCACTAAGTTTTGTCCTGTTGATTGTGAGTCCAGGCCATGCATTGCTCATCACAAATCTTTGACCAATTTGTAATTATCATGGTCATTCTAAACCAAGGTTTCTCAACCTCAGCACTGTTGACATTTGGGGCCACATAATTCTTTGTGGGCGGGGACTGTCCTGTGCATTATAGGCTGCTTAGCAGTATCCCTGACCTCTACCCACTGAATGACGCCCCCAGCTGTGACAACCAACACTGTCTTCAGTCATTGTCAAATGTCTCTTATGGGGAGAGGGGGAGGTAAATTGTCCCCTATTGAGAACCACTGGTCTAGATATACAAATGAATTTCCACTAAACACATGACTAATATTCAGCACACAACCAACGTCAAGGACTTAAATGTGTACGCTAGCGAGAAATAAAGGAAATAATTTAGTGGGTCTGGAGCAGCGAACTCGGTCACCTGCTAAAAATTCCAATTGTACTCAACCAGAAAGACTGTATCCATGTGACATTAATGAAATTAATAATTTTTTAAAGTCATTTCAAACAGCTCAAATATTGGTGTGTGTGTGTGTTGATTTGTTTTCATTTATTTTTTGTTTCTCTTTTTTTCCCTTTGATTTGACTTTGTTTTGTTTTAGTTGGGTTTTTGGTTTAGAATTCCATCAAAGCGGTGTATTCTGTAAAGCCACTGAGTTCCACCTGTTTCGTGTGTATCAGTGCCTCCTATGAGGAGGTGTCACAGAGTCTGCAGGGTAGAAATAGCACAGCCACAGCTGGATGGAACAAATGTTAGCAGACACCCTGTACTGACAAACATTTACACATCTGATGGTTAACTAAAGTCAACTGAACTAAGGCAGGGAGAGTCAACATTTTTATTTCTGGGAGTCATATTCTTTCATTTTAAGATTCATTTTGAACTGAGGCTTGTCTAGACAATAGCACTTTTCTAAAGTGATCTTTTTTTCCTCCCACATATTAACAGACACTGAGTACTTAAAGCCTGCATTGGGTAAGTTCATGCTTTTGTTTTCTCGACCTGACATTTTTCATTCTATGAGCTACCTGGGCAGGTAATAGGTAAATCATAAAGGAAAAAACGAAATAAACAGTAGGAGGGTTCAGACTGCCATATTTCGACAGTCATTATTTGCCATTTCTGCATTCCTGGGCCATTAAGATGATCCTACCCTTAAGTTGAAAATGCGGTTGGGCCACTTTCTTCCTTCCACAAGAGTGAGCATTATTTTCATTTCAATCATGAGAGTTTTAAGTTATTCTCTAGTCTTGATATTTTCATTTTTCCAATGGAATTCCAATGGAATAATAAAAGAGTTATTCCTACCATCACGTTAAGGAAAAATCTTGGTAAATTATTTGCATAACTTACATAAATGTTCAGTATGGCTGCTGAAGTGAATGAATACTTTTACATCCTAAAGCCACTGAATTCTCTACTCCTCTCCCTGCAGAGAGTGCTGAGAAGTCACTGCCAATGCCCCAAGGTAGGAAGTATTTTCATGCTGAATTTGCAGTGTTCATACTTGTTTGGTGCATATTTTCCTTTTGGTTTAAAACCATAAGTTTTTTTGTTGGAATTGCTGAGGCATATTTGGAGGGGAGAACATATTATGTATTTTGTACATGAACTATCAATTTTTTGGTGTACTAGGAAACTGCTAAGTTATTCAGTTAGTAAACCCAGTGGGAACATGTTCAAGGCAGGCATGTGTACTAGCCAAGGTGAAGTTTGGGGTAAGGGAAAGGCGATGGGTTTGGCAACAGAAGGTCTGGATTTAAGTTCCGTCTCTCCCATTTATTTAGTGTGTCCTTGGGCAAGCCACTTACTATGTTTTTTAAAAAGGAGATAAAAACACCGACTTCACAGTGCTCCATTTGGGTTAGACGAGGTCATGTACATGGAATGACAAGAAGAGCCAACTTTTATTGAGTGTTAATGATGTTCCAGACGGTGTTCTAAGACCTTTACCTGCATAGGTATTGTTATTTAATTCTCTGACTCGGGTCAGCAAATCTTTTCTGTAAAGGGTCAGATAGTAAATATTTTAGGCTTTGTGGAAGAAAGGGTCGCTGTTATATTTACTCAGCTCTGCTCTTGTAGCACGAAAGCAGCCATAGACAATTTGTAAACTGATAGGCATGCTGTGTTCCAATAAAGCTTTATTTACAAGCGGGCACTGGGCTGGATTTGAACCACAGGCTTTAGTTTTCTCATCCTTGCTCTAAGGAGTTAATTAATTCTAATCACTTTGCAGGCATGATTATTTAAGTTTCACAACAACCTATGAAGTAGGTACCATTATAATTCCCATTTTACTGATGATAAAACACAGACGTAGAAAAGTTAATCAACTTGTCCAAGGCCATAAGTTAGCAAAAGGTATAGCTGCTGGTCTGTTAGCTATTATGATATCTTGCTTGGCTTTTATGGAGAGCTGGTGTTAAAAATGGACATATTCTTCCCATTCAGTAGTTTCTCAAACCTGAAGTCTTTAGAGCCATCCCTACTCCTCCCTTTCCCTCACTCTGCAACTAACGTGTCAGAAAATTCCCTCGCTCTGCTTCCGAAAGATATGCTAAGCCCGTTAGCATCTCCCAACTCCTCTGTCACTGCTATCACCCGAAGCCCCACTGTCTTTCAACCTGATATGGCAACAATTTTCTAAGCAGTCTTTTATCTCCTTTCTTTCTTTTCCCAACACACACATGATCCATTCTTGTTTCAGAAACTAGAACAGACTAGAAAGTCATAAATCAAACCATTCCCCTTTACTCAAAACCCTCCAAAGACTTCCTATTGTCTGGAATAATATCCAGATCTTTTACCATGACCTATGAGACCCCACATGATCTAATCCTCATCTGTGTTTCTGACCACTGAGAAAACACCTCATCTTGCATGGCACTCCCTGGCTTTTTTCCATCCCTTGAAACTGACACGGTAATTCCCACTTTAGGGCCTTTGCACTGGCTCCTGTCTCTGTCTGGAATGTTCTTCTCCCAGATTTTTCCTCAGCTGACTCCTTGTAATCAGGTAGCTAAAATGTCACTCCTCCAGGGAGGATCTCCTTGAACACACAATCCAAAATAGACACCCTCTCAGTCACGTTCTATTTTATCAACCTGTTGTTTATCTCTTCATAGTATTTCCACCGTCTGAGTTGGTCTTTGTATTTTTCTTTTTGCACCTGTTCATCTTCTGTCCTCCTCACCCTACTCCCCAGAATGTAAGTTTGGTAAGAGCAGAAACTTGGCAATCTTGTTTATCCTAGAGCCAGGGACACTTCCTGGTACACAGTAGGTTCTAAATAAATACTTACTGAACGAAAAAAAAAAAATAGACACGTGCTAGCATTCTGCCTTTCCTATAAAATTGCTATTGAAGACCATGTATTGGTTATTAAAATGCTCAGCGGTCCTCACAGAAAGGCAATAACATCTTTTAGGAAGATACCACTTATCAGGCAATGAGAATTCCGTTATGCATCATGATTTCCATCCCCCTTCAAATTCCAGGAAGGTCAGAGTTTGATTGAATGATCAGTTCTAATAATTAGCTAAGGGTTTTGTTTGTTGGTTGGTTGTTTTTCTACTCATTTCCCTTTCATCCATATAGTCGTTAGTCTTATATTTCTACTTTTCTGGTCTTGCTATGCAGATATGTGGATTTTACAGTCAGTCATTTGAAACCTATAGCAGAGAAAAAATATATATAAAAGATTAACAGAAATATTCACCAAGGGTCCAGGAGGAATGTATGATCTGGGCCCTAAGGGGGACATGAACTGAGAAAACAGTTCAGATGTGGACATGCCATGGTCATCCAACTTTGGTCCCAGTTGGGGACCACTGCCCTGGACAGCAGGTGGCCTGGAGTTCCTGTGGTGACTGGCTTGCTCTCAGTGTGTTGTCATTCTGAAAAGCTAGTATCATGGGTTAAAGCTGTTGCCTCTAGAGTCTCCTGAAAACAATCAAATCAGCAAACACTTGTGAGAGCCCATTATGTCCAAGGGACTGTATTTCGATGGGAGTTCACTGGATTTTGCATGAATATGAATATTTTTGAACTGTCATATTAAAGATTTGTTGAAAATCAGTAAGTAGGTAAGGTAAAAGTTATTCAATTTAATTGAGTAAGAAATATTTCACTGTATTTCTCCCAATAGGTGATGGAAATTCAGCAACCATACTATCAGGTAAGAGAACGTTTTTGTGCTGTTTTCTCTTGGGGCATTTCTGGTTACCCATCCAGATACAGGATAGAAATAAATGAAAGAGTGGCTGTTGAGTTATTTTTGAGTGACTCATTATAACCCGCCCCTTATTACTGAGTTTGCAGGGACCTGATTTTCAGGGTGTTGCTCCAATAGATTCACTAACTTCTAAAAAAAAAAAAGAATGAGATAACAATGCCATTATTTTTTTTAAAATACTGGAAACCGTTTTGAACATAGCGGTTTTATAATTGTTTTTAAGCTTCATTTTAGAAACTGCTCTGAGAGTATCCAATATCTCTCCATTTTCGTAACTGACATGTTTCAGATTTGCTCCGGAAGAAGCATCATTTGATCACATGTAATATTTGCTTATTGTGTGAGTTTCCTATTGTTGCTGTAACAAATTGCCATAAACTTAGTGGCTTAAACAACACAAATTTATCTTATAGCTCTAAAGCTCAGAAGTCCAAAATGGGCTCACTGAGCCAAAATCAAGGTGTCAGCCAGGTGACGTCCATTCCAGAGGCTCTAGAAGAGGATCCAGTTCCTTGCCTTTTCCAACTTCCAGAGGCTGCCTGCATTCCTTGGCTCATGGCCTCATTCCTCTAAAGCTAACAGTGTAGTGTCTTGCAGTTTCTCTTTGACTCTTTCTTCCGCCTTCTGTTTCACTTTTAAGAGTGTTTGTGATGACATTGGGCCCCCCCGGATAATCCAGGATAATGTCCCTATTTTAAGGCAGCTGATTAGCAACCTTAACTCCATCTGCTGCCTCAACTCTCCTTTGCCATGCAACCTGACATACTCACAGGTCCCAGGGGTTAGGACATGGACATCTGTGAGCAGCCAATATTCTGCCTCCCACATTATTAAATACAATTCTGTGGTTGCTACTGCTCAGTGGCGCAGAAATGGACATATCACTCAGGATGTACCTTGAAATATGGTGACCCAAACAGCAAGGGGAGGGAAGAAAGTGTGATAAGAGAGGGGTAGCATCTACCCAAGTCAATACAGAGATAAGCAATGGTTGTCCACGCTCTGTTGTTTCTTCTGTCAGTGTTCCTTATAAACACAGGAAGTCATTCTCAGGGTCAGATACAGCGTGGAATCAGGTCTGGAGCCAGGAGAGAATGTGGGAGACTCTGGATCTGTGGAGAGGTTTCATGCTAGGGCAACACCTATGACAGAGAGACATGTCTGTGATAAAACTGGCTGAGGAATGAAACGAGTAGAGCTAGTGAATAAAAGTACCGGGGGGTCTTGATGGTCCAGACCACCAAGCCAATTCTTACGGACACTATTAGGACCCAAACAGATAATTATTGTCACAAAACACCAAATACCTGCACTTGGACATTGAGTCTGGGAGAGGGAGGATGGGGATGGTGGAGCCTAACAGGATTGAGGACCAGAAGTGATTTCACATTTCCATCACTTAAGCAGTGGTCACTTCAGAGCTGAGGCAAAACTACATTTTATGAAATCACACGGAGCCCCTGGCTGGTCACTCTTCTCTCAAGTGATTGTGAGCAGTTACTTACTGTTGACAAGTGTTTCTCTATGACAGTTCTACCTGCTGCTGTCTCAACTCAGCTCTCTCCCGTAACTGCGACACATCCAACAACATCAGGTAGGACCACCCCCCACCATCGCCGTTACCAGATTTATCATAACTCCTAAGTTGCAGTGTCGTGATATGGTTCTGCCACCATCTCTAGAAACCTCTAGTGTTCCATTTGAGATTGAATGATTTGAGAAGAAAGGGGCAAGAGAACCCTGAGGTGGCCTGGGTTTCACACTGTCCAGCTTCACTCTATGTTTGGTTATCTAAGATTTTATTGTTAAAGAACATTGTAACACAAGGCTCCTCATGTCACATGTTTTCACAAAGATAAACAGTAAGAGGAAAAGAGGTAGGGTGTGGATGTGTCTTTGTGTGTCTTTGTGCATCTTTGTGTGCGGTGTGTTAGAGAAAGAGAGAGAGATTACTAAAAGGGTCACCTCACATCTTTTGAATTTAAGAAATAAACTAGAGCATCTGGCCTAATGTCTGGGAAGTGTCCAACCTGGAGAGACTTCTTTTCCTATACCAGTGAGTCACACAGAAATGGGACACCTCTTCTTAAGTCGTGGTGAGCAGTGATCACCAATACAGGTCATTTCATTTTATCATCATGCCAGTTGATGCCAACTCCACTCCTTCATCATCTGTAACTGCTGACATTTCAATCATACCACCGTATAATTCATATGCTGACAATGCTGATGGTAATCTTAAGTAAGCCCTTATACCTGCACTGTCCATGTGGCTACCGAGTACGTGAAATGTGGCTCAGCAGAACTGTGACCTGCCGTGCGTGTCAAATACACACTAGATCTTTCAAAGACTTGCTGAAATAAAAAGAATGTAGAATTGCTCTCATTAACATTTTTCATATTGATTACTTGCTGAAGTAATATTTTGGTTATATTGGATTAAATAAGATATATGATTGAAATTAACTTTACCTGTTTCTTTTCGCTTTTTGAAATGTGGTTACCAGAAAATTTAAGATTACGTATGTAGCTCACACTTTGTTTTTTTGGACAGCACTGCCTTATGCAGTGTCAACCCCATGCTGACTGCCCTATGAGGACTTTCTTATCTAATCTTCCCAACAGCCGGATGAGGGAACTTCCATAATCCCCATTTTCTAAATGGGGAAACTCATGCTCAAATAGGTTAAATATTGTCCCCAAAGTTGATGGAATGGTAACACAATCTGACCTCAGAGCCCTAGAGTTTAATCTCTGAACTCTTTTAACTCTCAAAACCACATTAAAATCCTACAAACTACTAAAAAGACTGACTAGGCGTGTTGCCTATTCAGAAACTATGAGGATCCATTTGACATGATGGGCACTTGGAGTGAAAGGATGGGCTAATCTCTGAGCCAGGCCTGCATTTGTTTTCTCACTCTTGCACTTACTTCTCCCAAACCCACATGTCCATTGCCTTTAGGGTGCCCCCTGAGACCCCAGCCTCAGTCCCCCAGAACTCCTTGTCCAGTCCTCCCCATCCCAAGCTGGCAGGGTGGTTCCCTTGGCTAGATTTGCACAGCTCGTCATCTGTCCTGACTTTTTGCTCTTATCCCTTTCCTGAACAATTCTGTGTGTATCTACTTGTTTCTCTAGTGACATTGTCAGCTTCTGGGAGCAGAATCCATATTGTTATCATCTTTGACATTGTCCCCAACCACATGACACACACACACACAGAGTCTTGAGAACACTGTCTGCTGTCTGGTGGGCATTCAATGCTTGTTAAATGAGTAAGTAAGTAAAAGCTTGAATAAATGTATACCACTCAGCTGATCCAAGTTTGCACCTTTATGTCCACTTCCAAGTGTTAACAAAAGAGAGAGTGAACACATTAAATTCTTAGATCTCATGTCTAAAGGACTAAGGATTCTTTTGAAACCTGTGTGGCATAGTCCATTTACTTAGTACAATGTTCAGAGCCAACTGCTGGACTGCTGGGTTTGGAGCCAGTCTCTCCTCCTGGCTGTGTGACGCTCACTAGGCTTTTTTACCTCTTTGTGCTTCAGTTTCCTTATCTGAAAAACGGGGATAATAGCTACGTATTTCAAGGAACTATTGTGCAGATTAAATCGGGGAGTTAGTGGAAAGCCCTTAGGTGACAGCGCGGTGCACAGCCATGTAAAGTGAGTGTAGGCTTCTTCTGTGCCTTGAGGTGAGTCCTGTGGAGGAGCGCTCTTCAAGGAAGAGGGAATTCTGCTGCATGACTGATGAGCTGGGTGAAGAGGGTACAGTATTTCTGCTCTTCGCTAGTAGCCATGGCCATTTTGTCACAATTGCTACCCCCAGCACCTGGTAATCACCAACTTGCTTTCTATCTCTATCGATTTACCTCTTCTGGATATTTCACACAAATGGAGTCATACAGTATGTAGCCTTTTGTGCCTGGCATAATGTTTACAAGGATGCTGGTTGCTTTTAAAATTCTCTATGTTGGATGAGCTTGTATAAAGCTAATTGAATTCTTCTCCTGGAAATGTAAAGCAGAAGAAAATAGTCTTTCTCTTTCCATTCAGTATAAATATCAAGAGTCGTTTTCCTTGTATTGTTGTTTTCCAAACAGCCCTCTCAACTTCCACCATCCTGGAAGACGTTAACCACCCAACCTTAGCATCAGGTAGGTCAGTGAGCTATGAGTTAAGATGACAAAAAATGGGTGTGTTACATTGCATATGCCACTTCCAGCATTTTAAGCCCATAGGAAGGATGAGTCGAACCTCAGGGTCAGGGGAAATTCTCTTCCAAGGGATGGAGGGATGGCCCTTCGCCAGCTGCTTGTTGAGTCTGTTTCTGCTATGTCCTTGTGTCTGTCTCAGGAAGAGAAGCTTCAGTCCTAATCACCATTTCCTTGTTGTTCTAGCTGTCCCTGTGATTGACTCACTGTCTTCGAGTCACAGAGCCAGTGTTCCTTGGCCCAGCCCATCAGGTCAGCAGTGTTCCTCTCAGGATACACCATTGCTCTTGCAAACTCCACGGGGGATGGTCACAACCAGGGAGGGACCCAAGGGAGCTGCACAGTTGGAGGCCTCGGAGGTGCCTGGGGAAAGGCCTTAGGGAGAGGAAGAAGGGACCCAGCCTCCAGGACTGGGGCTGATTGGCTGGGCCCCCAGATATGACACATGGCACATGTGCCAGACATGATGGCACATGACATCCTCACTTTCCTGTTTCCAGAGAAACTCTTCAAAGTTCAGAAAATATGGAGAATGAGGAAGCAAATAACCATGTCTCCTTTACTTAGACATGACTGACGCTTACACTTCGTTGCATTGGTTTTCCAGTCCTATCAAGAAATAAAATATTATAGGGGCCGGCCCCGTGGCCGCGTGGTTAAGTTCATGTGCTCCGCTTCAGCGGCCCAGGGTTTCGCTGATTTGGATCCTGGGCGTGGACATGGCACCACTCATCAAGCCATGCTGAGGCAGCATCCCACATACCACAACTAGAAGGACCCACAACTAGAATATACAACTATGTACTGGGGGGCTTTGGAGAGAAGAAGAAGGAAGGGAAAAAAAAGAAGATTGGCAACAGATGTTAGCTCAGGTGCCAATCTTTGGAAAAATAAAAGGAATAAAACATTGTAGATAAATTTGAAGTTCCCTAATTTCCCCAATCTCAGTCTCTGTTCTCTCGTTCTTCCTCAGAGACAAGCACACTCTTGAATTTTGTGAATATCTTTATAATTCACTTTTAATACTTTTACAAATATGAAGTGATCTCTGTAGATGTTATTTTACGTTGCTCTTTCACACAAATTATATTAGTGCCTATATACCATTCAGTATCTTTTATTCTTTACTTAATGTTACATTTTTGAGGTTCATCCACATTTATATAAATACATATATATACGTTTCACTGCTTTTAACTGTTGTAGTGTTACATTTTTTAATAAGCCATTTAATTTATGCATTTCTCCACTGACAGAATACATCAATTTTTCATGTCCGCTCTGCTGATGTCAAGTCCTAAAGCACCAATGCATGAGAAATACATATTCTACAATCTAATCTGCTTTGTTGAGTGACTAATAAAGAGCACATCACATGTGTAATTATTAGCAATTTTTTCCTACAATACTCTTCTACATGTGGAGGAAGCAAAAGATTTCCCTTAATTTGTAAGCCAGGCAAACAGAGCGAGTTCAATAGGTAAGTTTCAAAAACGTACATTTATTTTTGTTTCCACAGAAGACTGGCCCGAGCTGAGGCTGGTAAATGGCACTGGAAGATGCTCTGGACGGGTGGAAGTTTCCTACCAGGGCACTTGGGGGTCGGTGTGTGACGATGGCTGGAGTCTGGAGGAGGCGCACGTCGTGTGCAGGCAGCTTGGGTGTGGCCAGGCAGTGTCTGCCCCCCTGGGCGCCCACTTCGGCCCAGGCTTTGGAAAGATTCTCCTGGACAATGTGCACTGCAGTGGAGAGGAGAGCCGCCTGGCCCTGTGTGCCCACGACACCTGGTTCACTCACAACTGTGGTCACGAGGAGGATGCTGGGGTCATCTGCTCAGGTGAGGGGTCTTTTGCATTCTTGATGACTCATGGACAGAATGGGTCGTTACAGAAAATGAGGAGTGAGCCAGTGGCCTCCTCCTGTGAGGGCTGACGGTTTCCTCTCTGCACACTAACAGGTGCTCTTACGGCAAACCCCTCCCCTCCAGGTAAGACTGATTTGGGCTATTCCTATTCATTCTACTCACTTCCAGTTCTGTCTGGCTACTATTCTGTGTGGTAGAAATAGAATGAAAATGACCCTGTTAAATCAAGCTTTAAGCAGTTTACAGAGGCTGGTTTAATTGATCCATGTTGCTTGAAACCTAAAAGGTTTTCCCAGTCTATAGTTCAACCCACCCTAACAGATGAAACTTGGAGCACAGATACATAATGCTGACCTAGCTCTCATGTGCTCATGCTCTCCTTCTCCAGGAAACCTGCCAATCTTGGCCTGAACGGCCCCTCTTCCGTGCAGCTGCCCCAGGGTAGATCCAAGACACCATTTAGCGCAGCTTGGTGGAGAGCTGAACACTGACCGGCAACATCGGCAAAGAGGGAGTTTAGGAATTAGCTAACTATCCGATCACTGGGTGCAGGAATCCTCCCAAATCAGAACTAAATTACCAGGCAGCTGCAGACAAGATACAGCCCTTGAAGGCCTGTAATTAATAGTCATTGACTTTAGAATATAGTTTTCTATGACCACACCCATCAGTCATCATGAATCACTTATTTGAGAGAAAATTGCCATTTACTTTCCAGAGTGATTCGATGAGAAAATCATCCCTCTGGAGTCTGTGGGGACTGAGCCTTCCTAACAGGCAAAGAAATGACAGCAGTTGAAAATTTCTGCTTATGTGATTTTAGAGTACCTCTGCCGTTAGGGAAAATCATGCGACCATTTCAATCATTTCTTTTCTATCCTAAAGCAGTGGTTTTTGAAATTTACTGTGCATCGAAATTACCCAGAGGGCTTGTTAAAACACACATTACTGGGTCCCACCCTTAGAGTTTCTCATTCCGTAGGCCTAGGATGGGGTGGGAAATTTTGCATTCCCAACAAGTCCAGGATGCTTGTGCTGCTGGTCTGGGGACCACACTTTGAGAACTTCTGTCTTAAAATAAAACAAAGAAGGAATCTTTCTTATCTTGATAAATAGAAGCGGAATTATCATCATCTTCATCACCATTATCATCCTCATCATTAGCATCATCTTTGCCATTATCATCTTCATCATTGCTGTCATCATCATTGCCATCACCATTGCCATCATCATCACCATTGTCATCATCATCCGTGTCATCATTATCAGCATCGTTGCTACCAACACCACCACCATCAGCATTATCACCAGAAACTAATCTATCTAGTAAGTTGAACTTTGTATTCATGAATCACTTCCCTGGTTGTTTTTAGCTTATGTATTTTTATGATTGTGTATATACAAAGCTAAACATCCAAACAAGAATATTAAGTAAATTATTAAGATATCTGCAAAAATCTGGATATCTGGTATTTTTAAATATGTAAATAAACAGGTCTCTGTGGAGGAAGACTTTTCCATTTATAGCTGGGAGGCTGAAGCTGCATTCAAGGCCTCCTCTTCATCTGACAGCCATTGTCCTGTTCCAAATCCTCATCACCTCTTCCAGTCTGGAAGAACACAGAATTCTCCTAACTGGTTTCCCTGCCTACAGGCTCCCAATATTCTAGTCCATTGTTTACATGCAGTCAGAGTTATCCTTTTTTTAAAAAGTTTGTCTTATTGAGATATAATTTACCTACAGGAAAAATCACCATGTAGTTCAAAGAATTTTGATAAATGGTTACAGGTGTGTAAACCTCACCACCATCAAGATATAGAGCATTTCCATTACCTTAAAGAGTTCCCTTGTGCCCCTTTGTAGTCGACCCCTTCTCCTGATCCCCAAATCCTGGCAACCACCAGTAGGATTTCTGTCCCTCTAGGTTTGTCTTTTCTGGAATATTGTATAATGGAATCCAACAATATGTAGCATTTTGTGTTGAGTTTCTTTACTTAGAATAATACTTTTGAGTTTCATCCATGGAGTTCCATGTATCAGGCATTCATTCTTCTTTATTGTTGAGTAGTATTCTGCTGTATGGATATACCAAAATTTGTTTGTCGTTTTACCACTTGATAGATATTGTTTCTAATTTTTGACTGTTGTCTACTAAGCTGCTGAAAATATTCACACACAGATTGCAAACTATTTTCCAAGGTGGCTGTACCATTTTGCATTCCCACCAGCAATGTATGAGAGTTACAGTTGCTCCACATCCTTGTCAACACTTTGGGTTTTCTATTTTTTGTCTGGTCATTATCATCTCTCCACTGTAATGAGAAAGTGATATCTCTTTGTGGTTTTAATTTGCCTTTCCCTAATGACTAAAGATACTGAGCACATTTTCATGTGCTTATTTGCATCTCTTCTTCACTGAAGCATCTGTTCAAATCTTTTATCCTGTTTTTTAAACTGGATAGTTTGTCTTATTTGTTGTAAGACTGGTCTTTATTTATTCTGGATATAAGTATTTTCTCAGACACATGTTTTGCAAATATTTTCTCTCAGTCTATGACCTCACTTTCCACTTTTTAACAGTGTTTTTTGAAGAGCAGAATTGTTTCATTTTAACAAAGTCCAATTTACCAAGATTTTTTTTCTTTACTGAATTTTGCTCTTGTGTTTTATCTAAGAAATCTTCACTTAACCAGGGTCTCACAGATTTTCTCCTGTTTTCTTCTAGAAGTTTCATAGTTTTAGGTTTTTCATTTAGCTTTATAATCCATTTTGATTGGTTTTTTAATTTAGTTTAAAGTATGGCTCAAAGGTTATATATTTTTCCATATAGTTGGCTAATCATTCCAAGACCATTTGTTGAAAAGCCTTTCCTAACTCTGTTGAAATACTTTGGCACTTTTGTCAAAAATAAAATAACCATTAATACATGAGTCTATCTCTAAACTCCCTCTCTTGTTCCACTGATCTATGTGACGCCATATTATTCTCATGCCCCCTCAGTGTCTTGATTGCTGTAGCTTTAGAGTAAGTCTTGAAATCAGGCAGTGTGAGTGCTCCAACTTTGTTCTTTTTTCTTCTTCAAAATTGTTTTTGCTAACCTAGGTTTTTTGCGTTTCATATAAAATTTTAGAATTAACATCAATTTCTGCAGAAAAATATCTGCCAAGATTTTTAATTTGGATTGTATTGAGTCTATATATAAATTTGAGGAAAATTGATATCTTAACAATACTGAGTTTTCTGATCCATCAACACAGCATATCTCTTCATTTATTTAGGTCTTTATCACACAAATATTTTGTATTTTTCTGTGTACAAATTTTGCACATATTTATCAGACTTATCCATAAGAATTTGATGGTTCTTGATACTATTGTAAAGGCTTTTTAAAATTTTTCTATTTCAATATTTTTGTGGCTGGTGAGTCAAGCTTTTCCCCAAAATAATGAAGTATTTATTGAATTGGGGATATTATGATAATTTTTTTAGTTTATTCACTTCTCATTTTATAACCTTCTTTCCTATTCATATCAGATCTGATTTTACAGATCAGGAAACCGATGTCCTTTTATAGTATGTGGTGGAATGAGAACTGGATCCCAGATTAGAACAATCATGTGTTTAGGCTGGAAATTCACTAAGCTCTTTAGAACTGGCCTCTTGTATTTCACAAAGAGACGCTAGAAATCGGTTTGGCGTACCCCATAGCTTTCTCCTTACTCAGCTTTAGTTTCGTTTCTTGGAGGTGCTTTTCATCACTAATTGGTGTTTTCTTTTCACTGTAGCTGCTGAAATAACAATCGCACCCATCACCACTGGGGAGGAGCAAACACCAGTGGGTACGTAAAAATGAGCTTTTTTGAGTTTACATTGAAACCTTATATCCTATATATTTATTCAGGTTTACAAGTTGCTTCATATTTCTAGAAATAAGCACAAAAATGGAAATTTTATAGCAAACATTGCTGGGAGTCTTCAGCCCCTACCAAGATCGTTGAGGTAGCTAAAGATGTGTCCGAGAATATGCTCCCCGAACCACTACTTCAGCAAGATGTTAAGATGCATTGCAGGGGCTGGCCTTGTAAGGTGGTGGTTAAGTTTGCGAGCTCTGCTTTGGTGGCCTGGGCTTTGCAGGTTCAGATCCTGGACACAGACCTACACAGCACTCATCAAGCCATGCTGCGGTGGTGTCCCACATACAAAATAGAGCAAGATTTGCACAGATGTTAGCTCAGGGACAATCTTCCTCACCAAAAAAAAAAAAAAATGCATTGCACACATGCGCACACATACACAGACACACACAAGTTCTATGGTCCTGTGAATTTAGGAAACATTACATTAAACAAATTAAACAGGTTTCTTTACCACAGGATGTCTAGGAGACTTTGATATACAATTAACCCTATACATTCCCACTAGAAGTCATAGGATCCCATGCTTATGAAATACACTTGACCCAAACCCCTTTTTCTTCACGTACCATTTCTTAGGAAGTTTTCTGCATTATATAAGTAAGGAAAATGTGGAATCTGGGTATTTGGAATTAATGCATATGCTACCACAATATTCTAATCAAATGGAAATACATGTTACCTCATCTTCCTGAATATCTAAATTGGAGGTTGCTGCCCTCCAGTGCCTGCGCTGCCTGAGACAAGCCCTCCCCCCTCCTCCTTCACCCGCTGAAGTCCTGCCATGGCTTTAATGCTCCGTTTCTCCGGGGAGCTTCCCTGGTCTCCACAAGAAGACGTATCCTCTCTATCGGTATCTTTTCTGTTCACATCCCTCCCAGTCCACCTCACATTACAGTTACTTGAACACTTATTCTAGCTTCTGACTGAGTTATGAGCCTTTTAAATGCAGGCACTCTGTCTCACTTTCTTTGCATTGGATAAAAATTTGTTACTGAATGATGGCACACAGCATTATTGATTTTAGAGGCTGCTTTTATTTTCTGTAGGTGTCCTTAAGTACAATGTTCTGAAGTTTGTCTTCTATTTTTTAAAGATTTATTTCTACTGAGCCACAGATTCAAGGACGAGTTTATCATGAATGTATAAGTGATGGGTTAAAAGCTAGACAATCTTGTTTGATAATGGAGATAGTGATTCATTTGGAGGACTTGAAAGAGAACAAAAAGCTTCAGAACGCTCTTACAGAGTTCTTCCAGCAGTGTGTCCACTTTGCTCTTTCCACCCTACCGGCTGGCGGTGACCTAGCTTTGTTGTTCCTTCTAGCTGACGGCTTCTCAGAGCCTTCGCTGACCACACCCCCTGAGGTCTTGACACCTCCTCCTGCAGGTACTGGAAGCGGTTCCTGAGAAATTAAGGGCTGATGGATAGTGTGGAGAGAGGCATTTCTCCAAGCTGGAGGGAAACCACAGGGAGAGTTAAGGGGGGGCATAGCCCTCTGACAAGCTGTGAGATTTAGAGCAATTTTCTTCACTTTTCTGAATCTCAATTTCTTCATCTGTGAAATGGAAACCCATCCCCTACCACATGGGATTGCTGTAAAGATTAAGACAGAAACTTTTAAGTTAGTGGCTCTTTGAGGCTCTGGCACTTAACTTACAAAAAACAAATGTTAATTCTTGTCCTCAGTTTCCTTTACATGGTAAAGTCATAACGGAGGATTTATGGGGCCAAAGGGACCAAGTTGCTCTAAAGCTAATGTAGTCTGGAGGACAAGGGGTCTATTTAGCTGTGATCTGCCTATGGATAGTCTAGTTTCCTATCTCATTGTCTATATTGACATCTCATATTTCTATCCCTGTCTGTGGCAAGAGGAATAACATAGAGATAAAATGGTCTTGTCAGGAGAACTTAGGAATTTTGGAAATTTCTGGAAATGCTGGAAAAAGAGTTTCACCTTTTGGAAGGGGGGATATAGCAAAGTCTCACTCAAGGGATTTGAAATTGAAGATCATTCTGGCTGTTCTTAGTGTGGGGTGCATGAGGACTGTGTGATCGTGCATGTTTGTAAACTGGGGATATGACCACCTAGGGATTTAAAGGGATGAAGAAACCTTCCAGAGATGGGAGGGCCAGCCCCCAAGCGTCTCTCCGCCTTGTCCTTCCCAGGAGCCTGGATGGCCGTGAGGCTGGTGAATGGCACCGGGAGGTGCTCAGGCCGCGTGGAGGTTCTCATCCAGGGCACATGGGGGACTGTGTGCGATGACCTCTGGGAACTGGCTGAGGCCACCGTCGTGTGCCGTCAGCTGCAGTGTGGCCAGGCTGTGGCCGCTCCCACAGGGGCCCACTTTGGGGCAGGCTCGGGGAAGATTGTGCTGGATGACGTGCGGTGTGCAGGCAGTGAGAGTCACTTGGGGCAGTGTTTGCACAGGGGCGAGGCTGGGCACAACTGCGGGCACCTGGAGGATGCTGGCATCATCTGCACAGGTGAGGGACTGTCATCTCCCAGGATGTTGCTGCTTTCGTGCCCCTTCAGGCATTTTCAGCCTACGTTCACACCAGTCATTAAGCAATTTATTGAATTATCCCTTTATAATAAGTCATGCTTATGTCTTTCAACCCTCAGGTCGTGACAGTCCACAAGCCCCCTCCCACACCCCAGGGCCCGAAGCCACCTCCTCACTGTACACACTCACAGGTAAGCCATCTGTGCTTGCTACGGTTGTTTTCGGTTCTTTTCACCCTTAGAAGACACCGTCTCAGTCAATACTGTGGTACGGATACTTAAGGATCGCAGAGCTACCCACATGCTCTTTACTGTGCAAGGACTGTTGAGAAGAACAAAAGGGGCAAGAAGTCTTTCAAAACGGGATGCTTATCCAGCACCTGAAATTCTTGATGTTTCCTTTCCCTGTCTGTCAGTGGTTATTGCCGGGAAATCCAAATTGTATCCCACTGATTCAGGAGTTGAATCCATTGTTATTTAATCCACTTGAAAAGGGTCCAAAGAAGTTAAAAGCATTATAAAAAGTAGATGATGCCCCAGCATATTACCCCACCTATCAGATGCTAGCGGTGGGCCCAGCTAACCTCGAGTTGATGCTTGTAAAGCCCACAAGATTGAGGAAGGCAGCAGAGCGCCTAGTGCTGAGGCACCCAGTGTGGGCACCGTTCCTCCTGCATCCGACCTGTGCTGAGCCTCCATCTCCTCCAACAGCAGCCTGAGGGTTGTGGTTGAAGACTGAGGCCAGCTCTATCAGCACCAACTAAAAAATGAAACCACAAATTGGTTCTCCACGCTCAAAAACCAGTTTGCTGCGTTAATTCCTATTTAACATTTTAAACACTGATTTGGGCCAATTGACTCCATAATGATATGGCAGTAAGGTTGTTTGGATTGATGTTTTATGGCGCAAAATGAGAAACAAGAGCTGCTCAAAGATGCTGCATACGTCTCACATAGCTTAGATAAGCATAGTCTAGATAAACTTGCCAAACACCAGGGAGAACCTGAAAAGTCCATTCGTCGATACCCACGTCGTGTCTCCGTAATTGCACACAGCCGGTTGTCTCCCAAAAGAGAAATAAGAGAGATCCCAAAATGGAGTCGTGGGCATTCAGAGAGCTCTCATGTACAGACCTTGGAGAATGTTGTAAAACCTGACCTTCGAGCCTGGATAACTAAGCTTAAAGACAGGGTGAAGTGAGGTCTTCGTCGCCTAAAACTTTGTTTGTGGGGGAAATCGATGGAAGACCTGATGTCATATTTGAGTCTGACTTTTCAGAATGTTCTCATTGTAAACATCATCTTTTCCTACATAGAGTTAGAAGGCTCCTGGTCACAGTGATGTCTCTGTTTCTACCCGTTTACAGGTGATGGACTGTCAGCTACCATACCCACAACATCCCCTCCCAGCCTTTACTCCACGCTCACACCAGCAGGTAATGCCTCTCTGTGACCTGGTTAGTGTTGTGCTTAGTATTTTCTGAGCACCTACTATGTGCCATGCACAGAATTAAGTGCTTTCACAATGTTGTTACTGCTCAATAACCATAAAGGAAGGTGCTATTTCCAACATTTCACAAATGAATAAACACAACACAGTCTCAGAGAAGACAGATGAACACGTGATCCTGGTCAAATGACTAGAGTCACACAACCATAGGCAGCAAAGGCTGGGTTCCCCGAGACCTGTCTGACTAGAAGGAGGGTGTCAGTTTCACTGTGTTTTTCATGGCGTCATGGGTCAAAGCTATTTCAAGCGCACTGGAGAAGGAAGGTATGAGCAAGGACTAATTGCTCATGCAAAGATTATTTGAGAAAATTATATGGAAATGTTAAAATGTTAAGTATATTTTTAGGCTATCTATAACAGAGAATTTATTATAATAAATACATAGAAGATAAAATGTTGACTATTAATTTGGTTTTACCATTTTTCCCCACATTGCTTCATTTGGGCAAAATCTATCTCAATTGTCCCTAGGCCTTCTCACTAGCACACAAGGTCTCCATTTAACATTTCTTGGCATGTTTCCCCAACTATGGTCTAGTACAATCTTTACAACATTGCCTGGTAACCAGGGAAGGTGTTATTTCCATTTTACAGTTGAGGAAACTGAAGTTCAATTGTAATAAAAGGTAGAGTCAGGGCCAAGCTTTGGATTAGAGAAATCCTGTTTTCATGTTGAGAATTCAGTTGTGTCTCTGGAATGGGGTCCCTCAGTCACATGCCCTAAAAAAGGCTAGGAATCCATTTGGAGAAACAAATATCGTCTTTTATCATTAGCCGAGGGATTGCCCATTTGAAGCGACTTTTCCTTATCAATGGGGGCTTCCCCCTTTGCCTGTGACTGCTGAACCAACATTTCCATAAGCTGTATCTCCTGTATGAACAACGTCACCAGGTAATCAACAAGCAAATCCTTTAAAAATGACCTGAGGATATTCATTCCGGCTCTGTTGGACTGCATTGTAGAAGATAAGTCCTCCCAAAGAGAAGAAATAGAAAAACCAAATACAATAAAGAAAGCTACAAAGGCTATTATTCTACTGTAGGTGATGAGGTATGTCACCAAGAGACAGCAATTCTGAAAAATTGAGTTATTATCACCTACAATATATCCAATTTAGGAAATCTCCCTGATCTCAGAGAGCTAGGTCGCCAGTGTCTCTCCATCCTGTGCCTCCCAGGAGCATTGATGGCCATGAGGCTGGTGAATGGCATGGAGAGGTGCTCAGGTCTTGTGGAGGTTCTTGTCCAGGGCACGTGGGGGACTGTGTGTGATGGGACCTGGCTGAGACCACTGTCATGTGCCACCAACTTCAGTGTGGCCAGGCTGTGGCAGCCGCCACTGGGGCCCACTTTGGGGCAGGCTGGGGGAAGGTTGTGCTGGACGACGTGCAGTGTGTGGACAGCAAGAGCCACCTGGGGCAGTGTGTGCACAGGGGTAAGGCCGGGCACAACCACAGGCACCTGGAGATACTGGTGTCATCTGCACAGGTGGGGGGCTGTTTTATTAACAGAGATCACTTCTTTGTTTCCTTCAGACATTTCTGAATGGTTCATTTTAATGAGTATTCTATTACAAGTAGCACCATAGACCTTAGTATGTGGCTTTCTTTTGGCCATCAGGTGCTGACAATTCACCAAGTCCCACTCCAGTTATAGAGCCTGAAGCTGCCACTTCATCATACACTTTGTCAGGTTAGTCCTGTCTTTGCTCGGTTCTTTTGTTTTGTAGCTTTTGCTCACTAGAAAGTCCCTTTCTTAAGCCAAGATAGCAAGGTCTTGGCATTGCATAACATCAGAGGGCACCATCTCCCTAGGATGCACTGTGAATTGCATCTTCTGGTAGGTCATCACATGTTATGTGTGAATGGTGGTCCCTGGAGTCATGCAGTTGGGTGGTCCTGCATGGTTGAGTAACTCCAGGGGTAGAAGAGTTAACAGCCATTCTGCATCATAATAGGTCATACAGAGGGGCACAGACCGAAAGAGTAAACAAATTTCTCATTCCATCCCATAGACATCTTAAATAATTCCTGAACTTGCCTAAATGATGCCTGTACATTGGGAATGTACGGTTGTCCCCAAATGGTTCGGGGGCTCAGTCAATTAGAATAAAATCAGTTAAGATTGAATTAGTGTCTCCCAAGAGATATTTGGTGATCAAAACAGATTTTAAAAACTGCTTGTAGATTCACAAACCAGTAGACACTTGTGTGATTAGTATGCAGCGTCTTTTTAATTTCAAGAATCTGAAAAATGCAGAAACAAGCAAATAAGTGGCTGGAAGAGGACACCAAGAACATGTAAGAATGAACAGTTCCTCCTCTGAAGGTATTTGATAGGGGAGCAGTGAAGCCTGTTTCCTTAAATACGTGATAACATGGATGTCAGAACAGAACAATAGTTAGAGAAATCGCTACTGGCAGTAGCCACACATTCCCAATGTCCCCTTCTTCACCCTGACTGAAGCTGACTGCCAGCTGCTTCACCATCAGGAAAAAGCCTCTTGGTGTATTTTTGACATCTTAAGACTCATTTACATTGTACCAGTACAATGCACCATGTGGCCAACTCAAAAAAGAAATTACGTGATCATTTCTTTTTCTATTCCAACCCATTTTAAGGAACCAGTTTGATGGTTTAACCACTTTTAGATAGTCTATTTTCAAAACATTTAAACTATAATGAAGTGGCTATTCAATTCAGATGACTAGTCACAATAATGAAGTGGCCAGTCAATTGTTTCGCTTTATATACACATGTAAAAGAATGTTATGAAAAATATCAAACTCACTGACAAATGTTAAGAATAGTATAGTGAACCTGTGGGTATCCACTACTGAGTTTTATCAAATCCTAATATTTTTCTCCGTTTGAGATCCTTTTTTAAAGAAAACAATATAATAGCACATTAAAAGGATCATACACCATGATCAAAGGAATTTTTCCCTGGGATACAAGGACTGTTCAGCATATGCAAATCAATGAATGTGATATACCGTATTAATGGAATTAAAGATTAAAAAAATCACTTGATAGGGGCTGGCCCCGTGGCCGAGTGGTTACGTTCGCGCGCTCCGATGCAGGCGGCCCAGTGTTTCGTTAGTTCGAATCCTGAGCGCGGACATGGCACTGCTCATCAGACCACGCTGAGGCAGCATCCCACATGCCATAACTAGAAGGACCCACAACGAAGAATACACAACTATGTACTGGGGGGCTTTGGGGAGAAAAAGGAAAAAATAAAATCTTTAAAAAAAAAAATCACTTGATAGTCTCAATAGATACAGAAAAAGCATCTGACAAAATTCAACACCCTTTCTTGAGAAAAATCCTCAACAAACTAGATATAGAAGGATTGTGGCTCAACACAACAAAGGCCATAAATAACAAACCCACAACTAACATTATTACTCAGTGATAGACAATTGAAAGCTTTTTCTCTAAGGTCAGGAACTAGACAAGGATGCCTACTCTCAGCACTTCTATTATTCTATAAAATACTGGAAATCCTAGCCAGAGCAATTAGGCAAGAAAAAGTAATGAAAGGAATCAGAAAGGAAGAAGTCAAATCATCTCTGTTTGCAGATGACATTATCCCATATGTAGAAAACCCAAAACACTCCAGGAAAAAAAAATGTTAGAAGTAAAAATTGAATTCAGTCAAGTTACAGGATGCAAAATCAGCATACAAAAGTCAGTTGTGTTTCTCTACACTAACAATGAATCATCCAAAAAGGAAGTTTAAAAAACAATCTCATTTACAATAGTATCAAAAAGAATAAAATACTTAACCAAGGAATAAACTTAACCAGGGAGGTGAAAACTACAAAACATTGATGAAAGAAATTAAAAGAGATACAAATAAGTGGCAAGACATCTTGTGTTCATGGTTTGAAAGACTTCATGTTGTTAGCATGTCCCTATTACCTGAAGTGATCTACAGACTCAAGGCAATTTCCATCAAAATCCCAATGGCATTTTTTACAGAAACCGAAAAAGTCATCCCAAAATTCATGTGGAACCACAAAAGACCCAGAATAGCCAAAGCTATCTCGAGAAAGAAGAACAAAGCTGGAAGTATCACACTTCCTGATTTCAAATGAATTATAAAGCTACAGTAATTAAAACAGTATGGTACCAGCATAAAGACAGACATAAAGAACAATGGAACAGAATAGAGAACCAAGAAATAAACCCACACATATATGGTCAACTGATCTTTGACAAGTGTGCCAAAAATACGCAATGGAGAAAGGATAGTCTCTTCAACAATGATGCTAGGAAGACTAAATATCCATGTGCAAAAAATGAGATTGGACCCCTACTTTATACCATACACAAAAATTAACTCAAAATGAATTAAAGACTTAAACACAAGACCTGAAATCATAAAATCCCCAGAATAAAACATAGGGGAAAGTCTTTTTCGCATTGGTTTTGGTAATAGTTTCTTGGATATAACACCAAAAACACGGCAACAAAACCAAATAGATAAGCAGGACCACATCGAACTGAACAGCTTCTGCTCAGAAGAAACAATCAACAGAATGAAAAGGCAGCCTACGGAATCGGAGAAAATATTTGTGAACTCTATAAATGCTAAGGGGTTAAATTCCAAAATATTTGTGGAACTTCTAAAAATAACAAAAAAATAAATAACCATATTGAAAAATGGGCAAAGGACTTGAACAGACATTTCTCCAAAGAAGACATGCAAATGGCCAACAGGTATATGCAAAGATGCTCAACATCACAATTATCAGGGAAATGCAAATCAAAACTACAATGAGACATCACCTCACACCTGTTAAGATGGCTATTTTTTTTTTTTTGGAAAAAAGATGTGTTGATGAGGTTGTGGAGAAATTAGAATTCTTGTACCCTGTTGACGGGAGTGTAAAATAGTGCAGCTGCTGTGGAAAGCAGTATGAAGATTCCTCAAAAAGTTAGAAATAGAACCACCATATGATCCCGCAATCCCACTTCTGGGTATGTACCCAAAAGAACAGAAATCAGGATCTCAAAGAGACACCTGCACTCCCATGTTCATTGCAGTGTTATTCACAGCAGCCAAGATATGGAAACAACCTAAGTGCTCATCAACAGATAACTGGATAAAGAACATGTAGTATATACATACAACGGAATCTTATTCAGCCTTAAGAAAGAGGGAAATTCTGCCATTCGCCACAGCATGGACGAACCTAGAGGACATTACGCTAAGTGAAATAAGCCAGTTTCAAAAGGATAAATAATGCGTGATTCTGCTTCTATGAGGTACTGAGTGAAACTCAGAAGCAGAGAATAGAATGGTGGTTGCCAGGAGCTGAGGGGGGCAGGGAATTGGGGAGTTGTTAAACAGGTATGAAGCTCCAGTTACCCTAGATGAATAAGTTCTGGAGATCTGGTGTACAACATAGTGCCGGTGACTAACAATTGGGTATTGTACACTTCAAAATTTGTTAAGAGGATAAATCTCATGTTGAGTGTTGTTCCCAAAAAATCAAAATAAAAAGGAGACACAAGGACACTCTGGCAGGTGTTGGATGTGTCTATGATCCGGGTTGTGGTGATGGTATCACGGGTGTCTGCATACGTCTAAACTCAACAAATTATACACATTAAATACTTGCAGTTCTCTACATATCAGTTATACCTTGATGACGCTGTTTTAAAAAAAGAAAACAATAGAGTCTCTGATTGCTCTTTTATGAGTTAATAATTTGAAAACAGGGCTGCCTTAAGGCCCCGTGGAAGCCTCACATGGCTCAGAGTACTCAGAGCCCAGATAAAGCCACCAAAGATCTAAATGGAAACCAAAACTTTCAGCCATCTAATTGACTGCATGTCCCTGTGGTAGAACATCTGGATTGCTCCTAAAAGAAAAGGAGGAAAAAATCCACCGTGGTTTTGGAGCACTTAGAGAAGTGGAGTGTACTAACGAAGGGTATGTCCTCAAAGTATTAGCGTTTGCCATCCCACGGTGGAGTCTGATCTCCAGTGTTGGATGAGTGTGGCAGGGAAGGAGGTGGGAAGAGCAGACCCAAACCCTGACAGGACAGTTTTGGACGCAGCCATTCTCTCTCGCTGATTGTCAGAAGTTTACTCTGTGTGGTGAGGTGCCATGTAGCAGTGGACAAGGCCTCTCTTTGTCTACACTCATAGGTCAAATACTGTCAGCAGCCATGCCCACCACAGAGCCTGCTACACTGCCTGCAACTCCTACTCCAGCAGGTAAGTTGGCATGACAAGTTCTATGGGGAATGGGGGAAGGGCACCGTGTGCCAATCACTGGGCTGGCACCTTCCCAGGCTTGAAGCCACATTGAGTGCTGACGATAGGTGCAGAGTCAGGAACTCTTGCTCATATTTGACCGTGACCTTCAGGTTGGGTCTGTTTCCAAACCTTTGTCTTCCTGAAGTTGGGAATAGGGATGTGCTAATTACTGGGGATGCCTCTGTTTGTCCCTGCCGACAGGTGATGGAATACCTGCAACCAGAGACACAGCAGAGCCTGTGGCCCTGTGGTCCACACCCACGCCGCTGGCAGGTAAGTCCTTGGGAAAGTGGGGGAAGGAGCTAACATTCATGGAACAACGAACATGTGATAAGCAGGAAATCAGATGTTGTCACACAACTTCATTTAACGTTGTTGATGCTCGCAACAACCTGCAAGTGTTATTCTCCCCGTCTTCATCACAGTTTTATAAAATGAGCCACAGAAAAGATCACTTTCCTAGCGTCACCCAACTGCAACATGGTGGAGCCAAGATTCGAGCACATATCTGTCTGACTCCAAACCCATGTGACTCCAGCCTTCTGGGTTGGGGGACAGTGAGTCCAAAGCTACCTTCAGTCTACTGGGAAGAGAACATTCCGGGAAGCCTAACTGCTAAGGTCCAGGTTCATTAAGACCATAACCAGGAAATCAGGGCGTCGGCTTTGGGGAGTCATCTATTCTATAATTGTTAATATAAAATTCCTAATGGGAAAATTTTAAATTTGTACTCTTCACTGTAACAATTAGGCAAAAGTTATCCTTTTAGTGTACCTAGGACTCTGTATCAGGAATCAGCCCAAATCTGTTTCTCCCTTCCTCACTGTGGAGGAGCTGCCTGTGCACTTGCTTTGCGAAGAGAAAAACTCAGCCCATTTTGGCGTCCGAAGGCTGGTCCTGCAGTAACTCTCATCAGCGGTAACTCACTTTGTCTAGGCCAAACCTAATCGTGCGTGTGTGTTTAAAAGAAATACTACAGTGGAAGCTCGTGGCTGTGTAGAGGTTCTAACCTGGCCATGTAGTCCTTCTGCTCCCTCCTCAGAGAACACTGCACAGCAGCCCCACGCCACCTCCTGTCTCAGGCTTCAGTTTGGGTCACTTCTTGACATTCATGGGTCCCTGGGCACTTTTGCCTTCAGGGACCCCTTCCTTCACAAAATGTATATATATATAAAATTATATTTTATGGCCGTGTTAGTACAAAGATGAGTGTAATCCAGACTAGTTGCAATCTTTTTTTTTTCTGATTTTAAAAGTAATTAAGACATTTTCAGGGGCCCCAGGCACCTAGCCTACCAAATCTAATTGATGAGTGTGTTCTTCTCTTCGGACTTGTTTCGAATAACTAACGGATCCGGATCCACCACCAGCACCACAGGGATATTTGGGGTAGGAGATTGCGATGCTTTTGCCCACCATGAGTCTGCTTCCGCTCTGGGGGTGGGAGAGAATTCTGGCTTATTTATAACCTCTCTGGGGGGCGGAATCGTCAGTGTCCTCCTTTGAGAAGGGCTCCACAGGCCACTTCACCTGTTCTCGTCAGTTTTTGGACTAAAGTTGCTCACAGGAGCCTTATTCAGAAGAGAAGTTTATCTTTCAGGGAACAGCACACACAGTGCCCAGTGGACTTGGTTGACAGTAGGTGATAGTCACACTGGGATATGTCCATGCTTGGCCTGAATGATGGGCAGTGGGGTGTCCGTGGAGTGTGTGAGGACAGCCCGGGAGAATATGGGCTTCTAAAGGGGACCTTGACCTAGAGCTTCCCTGGCAGGCTCCTCACCCTCTCTTCTGAGCATAATCTCCTTGTGCTTACGATAACAACTCACATTTGTGATACAGTTTTATTCACATATATTTTCTAATTTGATCTCAACAGAACCTGTGTGTTAGTTGGAGGAATATTATTACTTATATTGTTACATTGTGTTATATTGTATTTCTACTCCTATTTTGTAAGCTAGGGAACTATTAATGCAATGAGACACAGACTCTGAAGCTTTTTGTTTAAATAAGAAATCCAGGGGCCGGCCCGGTGGCTCAGAGGGTAAGTGCGCACAGTCCTCTTTGGTGGCCCAGGATTCACTGGTTTGGATCCCAGGTGCAGACATGGCACTGCTTGGCAAGCCATGCTGTGGTAGGTGTCCCACATATAAAGTGGAGGAAGATGGGCACAGATGCTAGCTCAAGACCAGCATTCCTCAGCAAAAAGAGGAGGATTGGCAGCAGATATTAGCTCAGGGCTAATCTTCCTAAAAGAAAAAGAGAAAGAAAGAAAGAAAAAAGAAGTTCAGTGGAGCACTGGGTTCTGCTTTTTACCTCTTTCATGTCGGGAAATGGGACTTGCCGAAAATCACCACTGGCTTAACAAAGAAACCTCACCAGTGTTTCCAAAACATTCTGGAATGCAGAATGTCAATATAAATATTATGGCCAGGCCAGAGTTGCTAAATATAGCAACCGTCAGAATTATAGACCCTTCAGAAGTTACCTTCACTAGACAGAAGTAATCTCTGAGATTCTTTCTCCTTTCATAAAAATTACATTTGCAAAGACAGCTTTACGGTGCAAAATAGTATCTGTTCTGCATCTACACTGAAAAGGCCGTTTTCTTCCTTTTCACCCTGCTGAGATCATTTCCTCAGCAGCAGCGAGGGGCTGTGAGAATCCCTTCTGTTAGCAGTGAAGGAGAAGCGCAGGTCTGAGAACTCTACATTTATGATGAGAAATAGAAAACCAAAGACAGAATTTTGACAAAAGGAATGTGAGTGTGCATGCTTTGCATCTATAGAATCAGACCTTCATCTCTAGTAAATTAAAATTTATCATGAAAATTCTATGTGGTGGAAACTCATTAACCCCTTACTAAATTTCTACATTAAATAACCAAAAAAAAACCACAATATTTTTCTTTTAAGAGTAAGACATCATTCTCTTTTCACCCAATTGCTTTTTGTTTGGTGTTTTGCTATTTCTCTTTTTACTTTAGCAGCTGAATTACTAGCTCCAGATTAGTCTATATTCATATGTATAGTAATATAATTTTTAAAATATAAGTTGGTACTTTACTCCTGCAGATATGTTCATGCTTAAATGTTTCAAAATAAAATGCAACTTATCCTACAGATAAGAACAGAAGAATAAGACTGTTAGTCATTATTTCTAAGAAAAATTTGGTTTTGGTTCTGTTATTGGGATATGTCAGTGTTTCCTAAAATGTGTTGAGTGGGGTCTGAATTCTTCAAGATTGTAACATTGATACTCAAACCGGGGTTCTGTTTTTGAATATCAGAAATTCAAGTTAAACGAGTGGGACAAATTTTAGTTCTGTTATAGTTTTACTACCGAACTTCTAAGGGATTTTAGTCTGTGAAAGAACTTACGGATTTCCGAAAGGGGTTAAGTAGTCATCATCTCCCAAAATTCTGTCTGACCAGGGAGTATTTTCATTTTTCATGAAGCATCTCTTAAGACTAGTATTTGGCCTAATACACATTTGGGAAAGGTTGAATTCTAAATTATTGGATTCCTACATGTGCTACTATGAATAATTCTAAACAAATTTAGGTGAAAAAAAATTTATTTTCCTGACTATTAAAACAGAGGCTTATTTCTAAAATTGGGCCCAGGTTCTCATCTTGTTAATGCTGCGGGATAACAAGGCCTCTTCCTTCTTTCCTTCTTTTCTTCCTTCCCTCCTCCCCCCACCCTCCCCTCCTTCCCTGCTTTCGTCACAGTGTTAATGCACATGCGTTAAAAATCACACAGTGCAAACCAACTTACTGTAATACCTCAATTCCTCCTCCAGCTTCTACGCACTCCCTCCGTTCTCCACCCACAGTATATTAATCTGATTCTTCTGGGATCTGTCTCCAGTGTTTTTTTGGTTTTGTTTTCTCCTAAATAGATCGCACTTAGATTTTTTGCATGGACTTTGGAACTGAATTTCCTGGTTTCCAGTACTAGCTCCCCAGAACTGTGTGATCTTGGACATGTGACTCAACTGTTTGATGCCTTAATTTCCTCACCTACACTGTTATATATATAGTAGAATATAGATCATTATTCTCCACACATCTATATACACACACAGAGAGATATAGATGCAGATATCAAGGCTGATGTGAGGGGAAAGGAGTCGAAAGAGGACATCACTCAGAGCCTGACACGTAGTAAGTGCCATACAAATGTTAGCTTTGTAATAACTGTCGTCATCATTGCCATCAACAAATATTTGCTTTTTGCTCAAGTGAGAGAAGTGACCTAGAGAAATGTAAACAAAATGAGAAACAGTGCTCAGACTTGAGCATCTGCATGGGGCCTGACCTTTCTCCCAGCATGGTGGCCGGGTTCCAGGAGTGAAGACCCAAGGGCACAGAGCACAGGTGCCTGGCGCTCCCCTCACCTGGGCTCAGAAGTATTTAGCGTCACGGGTGCCACTCTCCATGGGTCAGGACAGTCACACAGGTCAGCCCAGGTTTGAAGGGACGGCGCAGAAATTCCACCTTCCGACACGGGACTGTCAAGGTCCTAGGAGAGCTTGCGGAATGGGAGAGATTGGGTAGAAATCTTTAGAAAACACGATTTGCTGCGCTCCCCTTCTTAGCCGGCACCTCCCTCCAGCATGGGCCGTGGAACCCCTTGTTCCTCCACACACATCCCCTTGGAGGTTTCTCCGGGCTGAGTCAGCTCAGTTCCGTCAGCATCCACCCCGACCTGGGACCTTGGAGCGTCAGTTTAATGCTCTGCTGACCTCTCACCCCACCTCTGCTCTCTAATTTCTGAAAAGGATGTGTTGAAATGTTCCATCAGCTCTTCTTTCTCCTCCCACCCTGTTTGTTCTTGTGGATTCAAACACTTTAATTCCTTCAGCATGCTTTGGGAAGGAGAGGAAATAAAGGAATTTAATCGAATTGCATTTCACACAAGTCCCCGCAGCTTTTCCTCTTGTGTGAGCTTGCCCTTCTCTTTGCTCTGCCTGGGATAAACGCCCTTCCCTCGTGATTAACCTGCAGAATCTTGTTTCAAAGCAAGTTCTTCGTGAGCTGCTCTCCCAAAGTGGACCAAGTGTCTGTTACCGGTGAACGCTATCAGAATCCCTATTGAGGCATTCCTCGGATTTGTTCTGATGTGTAAATGTCTGTGATTTCTCCGTCCCTCTCACTGACTATAAATCCTGAGGCATAGACTCTACCTTCCGAGCTTTGCACCTAATAGACATTAAGTGAAACTTTTTTTGGTTAAAAGTGCAAGTGTGCTGGCAGCAAAGAAAACAAATGTCTTTAATGCTGGAAAGAGTGCTCTGTGATCTCCAGTCTGTCATGCCATGCTGGGCGAGACTCCCTCCGCAAGGAGACTCTGGTCAGCTGTCCCCCAAGGCATGGCTGTAGCAGGGCCCCGTCCACAGGGCCCTCAGGTCAAGGGTTGTCTACAGGGTGAGATGAAGGGACGTGTGTAAGGCTGAGAATCCAGGGCCTCCAGCCTCCCCTCTCTAGAAGTCAGATGCAGCTGCTCACTGGGGTCACCCAGCCTCCTGAGGCGCCTCCAGGAGGACGGAGGTCCAGCCGTGATGTCCTAACACCTGTAGAGCTCTCTGTCTGCCCAACACGAGGAAACGCCCTTTTAGTGTGCAGGCTGGAGTAAGCCCTTCTCCCTCTCAAACTTGATTCTCTTCTGGGTCTCAGGCTTTGAAAACAAATCCAGGACACCCCACAGGCAACAATAGCTCCCTACTCTGCATGTAACTTCTCCAAGGCAAGAGGCACTGAGTTCAGTCTGAGAGACGAAGGGAGAAGGGTAACGTCAGGGCGAAAAATATCACAAAGTTCATTGGCCTTAGAAAGCAGTATAGAGTACTGAATCAGACTACCTCCCCGAGTGCAAATTTCGGATGATCTCTGGAGCCTGAGAAAGTTACCTTGGGCTTTCTGAGTCTCAGTTTCTCTATCTGCAAAATGGAGATAATAGAATCAACAAGAGAGGTATTGTAATGGTCAAAGAAGATCAAGCTTGTAAGGTACTCAGGATGGCACTCACAAAATGTGAGTAGTAGCATTTAAGATTATTATTATTACTATTCAATAATATCATATGAAAGATACGAATACTATGACATCAGCAGTATATCCACCCAATATAACAGGATCAAGGCAATATCCTGACACAAAGGTCAGTCTCACAATTTCCCACTCCCTTGTAGCTCCCGGGAACCTGAATAGCCTTGAGAGTGGTGAATGGCACAGGAAGATGCTCAGGCCAAGTGGAGGTTCTCGTCCAGGGCACGTAGGGGACCATGTGTGACGACCTCTGGGAGCTGCCCGAGGCCACTGTTGTGTGCCACAAGCTGCAGTGTGGCCAGGCTGTGGTGGCTCCCACAGGGGCCTACTTTGGGGCAGGCTGGGGGAAGATGATGTTGGACAACGTGCAGTGTGTGGGCAGCGAGAGCCACCTGGGCAGTGTGTACACAGGGGCGAGGCCGGGCACAACTGCAGGGACCTGGAGAGGGACTCTCAGTCCTCATTTGGAGGGCTACTCCTATCCCCTCACTACTCACCCCTACACAAACACACATACACACACACACACCCCACAGCCTAGTCTAGGAATGTCGGTGGATCCAGGCAGGCGAATAGTGATGTCTACCTCCTTTCAAAGTTATGCACCAAAGTTATGCATCAAAGCAATAACTTGGTGCCATCCCCTTGACTGCAAAGTTTGCTAAGCGTGGCTGCAAAGATTGCTAAGCAAGGCTCACAGGCTGGATCCAGGCTCAGGAGTGGCCTATTTGGTTTGACAATTCAGGTTAAACTTGAATTCAGCTGAATGAGAATATTTGTCATAAAAACCCAAATTCTTACATTTTGTGAGAAAGCAGAAGTTCAGGATCAAAACAACAAATTCTTTCATTATATTAACTGTCTGGATCTGAGCAAAAGCTGCCCATTTGATCACAGAACAACTTTCCTGTTCACGTGGTCCCCATCACTCCAATCCCCTGTTTATCTAACCCCTATGGCCTTTGGAAACTTTTGAGATTGTGACCTCTGGATGATGAGCCCTATTTGTCAGCTGGTGTTCCACACCTGCCACATCTGGGTCTGGCAACCTTCCCAAACCTATGTGTTCCTCTGGTTGACTCTCGGCCCCACGGTACTCCCTGGTTTTTCCTGACTCTCTCCCCATGGCAGCTGGAATAATGTCACTATGAATGACAGGCTCTGGGCCCATCCTGAACCGCACCTCCCCCTCAACACCCTAGGCAGCACTGCCTTCTGAAGCTCTGCTGGGACACTCAACATGTGCTGCCCAGTCTCGTGTCTCAAATCCCCAGGAAATGCCAAGCTCCTCAAGGGCGGGGTCTCTGCCTCTGTTTCCACTTCCCACAGCCCCCTAAATGTAGGACATTCCCAGTAACCATTCACCAGTGAAGACATGATAACATGCCAATCTCTTCACGTTGACAGGTGCTGGTTCCACAGCTGCTCTGCCCACAGGTAGGACGCGTGTTACGTTCCATATTACCTACTGGACTCGGCATGATGTGAAAAAGATCATGAGGTTTAGACACAGATCTGGTTTGATTTCCCTCTTCATTCATTCCCTTCCCCGTTCATTCCATGGATATTGACTGAAACTCTATGCCAACCAACACCAGGGCTACAGCAGCGATCACAGCCCTCTTGGTCTCTTCTTTCATGGGGTTTGCACCCTAACAGGAGAGACAGACATAACATCTGATCACCCTCAGTTATGTGACCTCGGCCAAGTTATGTCATCTCTCGATCCATTTCGTCTCGATTCTCTTCCTTAAAGTAGGAATAATAAAGAGAATTGAATAAGGACATGAATTTGACAGCGAATTGGTGAATTTGATGCTGCCTAAAGTCACCCAGCACCTGGCAGGTGCTCACATAGCAGTGGTTCCTTCCTTTGGTCACATGCCAACCTAAGGGAGGTGGTGGGGGATGGAAAGGGCCCTGAGCTATAAGAATCTGATTCTGGCTGGGCTCGCGCCAGCCGAATGACCTTGGTCCTCAGTCTCCAAGCATTAGGCAGGTACATTGGAGTCCATGCTCCCTAAAATTCTGTGCCTTTGACTAACAAGGAGAGAATAAGCAGCCCGTGGGTTGGCTGAATTAAGTATATGCCACTGTGGGAAGTGGGAGGTTGCCTTCACAAAGCAGAGATGTTGGTCGTGTAGTAGAAATTGAGCGACACCTTTTCTTCTGACATTTATTATGAGAAATTTTAAATATAGAGCAAAGTTCGAAGAATTTAGCAATGAATTCCTACCTAGATTCTGTGATAAGTGTATCGATCTATCATTCCTCTGTTCATCCATCAACCCATCTGATTTTTCATTAAGTTTTGATTTTTGTACCGTAAAGTTCACCCATTTTAAGGTTCACTTTGGTAGATCTTGGTAGTTGTATAGAGTGGTGTGATCACTGCCATATTTGTGACATAGAACAGTTCCCTCCCTCAAAGGTTACCTCATGCCATTGCAGAGTTGACACCCTCCTCCCTGTCCGCGCCAAGGAACTGCTGTGTGACTTTCCTTGCTCTGTTCAGGTGAAGTCACGACACACCTGGGAAGGGAGCAGCAAAGAGAGACATGATGGCCAACTGATGGCCTCTCATACGGCAGGCCACTTGGGGCCAATTGCCCACAAGCTTGCTTTTGCTAATGGCTGCCTGGTGCATGTTAGTCAACAGGCAGCAATGCCATGTTCTGCCCTCAAAGGATATCTTGGGAATATGAGATGACTGGCCTTACAATGCAGTGTCATCATTATTCCTACTGAATCCTGGGAGGCAGCAGGCACCCCCTTGAAGCAACCTGCATCTTCTCCCCATGTTCTGACTGTTCCCTGATGACAGTCCTTCCTTTTTACCCATCAACAGCCCGTGAGAACCTACTTCCCACATCACTGGTGATATCAGTGACTCAACACCCACCTCCTTCTGCGCCTCCAGGTAAGGCTGATTCTTTTTGCATCATCTCTTCTGAACTACTTTGTTCATTCGACAATGAGTGAGCGAATGAGTATGTGTCACTGAGGATATTTAGAGTCATTGGGGATACATACAGCAATAAACAAAGCAGACTCTCACATAAGCTGAGCCCACTGGCAGGGGGAGGGGGGGTTATAAAAGAGTGTGATGAATGTTGTGATGGGGGAGCACAGGGTCCCAGGGGTGCCCAGAGAGTCTCCATCTAGACCTGAGGAGTCAGGGCAAGAGAAAATAGTATCTAAGCCAGGCCCTGGAGGGTGACGGGGCAGTAGGATTGTGCCAGGCAGGAGAGAAATCAGGTAGTTAGACTCCCTATTGGCTGTAGGGTGGGAGACGTTAATACTCTTTGCAAGTTAGAGCATGGGGCTGGCCAATAACCATACAGAATTGGTGAAGAGTGAGGTGGTTCTTTAAGACAGCTTTTCGCTGTGCTCAGGGATGAGTAATATTTCAGGATATTCGGCCTTGAGTTGGATTTTGTTTTTTCATGAATTAAGTCCAGTTTGAGGCCAGACAAGGCAGGAGTAAAACATTGGACGCCTGATTCCCTTAATCTAGCTGTACAACCAAAAGATTCAGGGAGGACCTAGAAGAGCCATGGTCACTGCCCCAGGGTCTGAGAGCATCCCTGTGGGATACTGCCCTGCAGGTGCTGTAGCTCCTGGCCTTTGGCCATGGCCTTTGGAGTGTGCCGATTACCAAGGGCACCATTATTGACTCTGTGAGTTTCAATTGCCTGAATTCACGCTCAACATATTTCTTTTCTTCATTTGCTTAATAACTTTTCATCTTGCTTGCCTACCATGTGCTGAGCACTGAACCAGGTTGTATGGTGGGCACAGAGATGACTCAGACATAGTGCCAATTCTCAGAGAGTTTGCAGTTTGATTGGGAGACAAATCCTGTGCACAGAAAGCTGTAATGTAAGAAGAAAGTGATCTGTGTTGTAAGAGTCCCTGCCATGCTATTTCTGCACCCCGACACCAGGGGGAGAACTCAGTTCAGGAAGTACAAACAAGAAAGGAATTGAGCTGCCATAGAGCCATTCTCTCGCACCCTGACTCTCCTTTCTCCCTCCTGTTTCCTCTCATGCACCTTTATTCTGAGCAGCTTCTTTTCTCAATTACCCACTCACACGTGATTTATCATGACTGCCCCAAATGGAAGAAACTGGCTCTGCATCCACACGACCTTCCAGCTCTCTTCCCAATTCCAAATAGCCAGCAGAGAATTGTCCCGATCCCGCTCATGGACTGGTTCCTCTGAAGTCAGATGTACACTCCAGTCCAGTCAGTCTGCCCAGGAAGACTCAGTCACGGGGTATAGAACATTAGCCCCATGCCCCCCTGGCTTTGGGTGGAGGTATGGACAAAGATGAAGTGTATAAGTTATCTATTGCCACGTGAAACCACCCCAAAACACAGTGACTTAAAACAACAATCATTTATAATTGCTCGTGAGTCTATGAGTCAGCTGGGCAGTTCTGCCAGTCTGGGATAGGCATGGCTGGTACTAGCTGATCTTGGCTGGGCTTGTTCATACATCTTTGGCGAACCAGCAGGTCATTTGAAGACTGCTTAGCCTAGGATGGCTTCCCTCACATGTCTTGCAGTTCCATAGCTGTTATCTGAGGTGACAGAGCTGATGAGGTCAGGTGTCTTTTATCACCCAGTAGGCTAGCTCAAGCTTATTCATGTGATTATCTCAGAGCTCCCACTGAGTGAATGGAAGCCTGTCACACCTCTTGAGGCTTCAACTCCACATGGATGCGCCGTTACTTCTGCCACATTCTATTGGCCAAAGCAAGTCTCAGGCCATCAGCCCAGAATCAAGAGCAGGAAAATAAGCTCAACCCCTTGATGGGAGGAGCTGCAACGTCACATTGTAAAGAGTGAGGATATCAGGAAGAGGAGAACTGCGGCCTTTTTGTAAACAAGCTACCACAGGCAAGCTGTCTTAAAACAGGGTGTGGACGAGGAAGACACTAGGCTTCTTAGAGAAGACACGTCTGGGGAATGACGTAGGATCTCTCATGACAGCGTGAAGGGTGTGATAGCTAAGTCATGGGAAGTAAGGAAAGCTGGGCTGGGCAGATGGTAATCCAGTCATCAGCAGACAGAGGGGACAGGTCTCAGCCCCTCACCACCTGGTTCTTTCCCAGGAGGCTGGGCTCCCATGCAGCTGGTGGGTGGCCATGGGAGCTGTGCAGGCTGCATAGAACTTTTCTACCAGGGAGTCTGGGGGACTGCGTGCGATGACCTCTGGGACCTGCCAGAAGCAAACATCGCCTGCAGGCAGCTGGGGTGTAGCCGGGCTGTTTCAGCCCCAGGTGACACCCATTTTGGGGAAGGGTCTGGAAGATCCTCCTTGACAATGTGCACTGCAGGGGAGATGAACGGCACCTGGAGGAGTTCTCCATGTTGGCTTGTTTTCCCACAGCTGTGGGCACGGGGAAGATTCCAGCGTGATCTCTTCATGTAAACACCTGCTCCCTTCCCAGGCAGAGCCCGGCTTTGGCTCTTTCCAAGAGAGTACTTTTCAAAATACAGTGTAAAAATAACTATTGAAAATGAGCCAGTACATTATTCCCTCACAGTAGATATTTTAATCCCTCACACTTACAGATGCTGAATACTCTATGGCCACACCACCAGGTAAGGAAGGCAGTGTTTCCACGTGCAGTTTATCAAAACCTTGGAGAAGGAGTTCTGCTGGAAACTGGATATGTGTTATTCTCCAGGCTGGTGGAGTGACTGAGAGATGCGGAATCACCTGATCATCCAATGGGAAAGAAGGATAGTAGCTTAGAAATCACCTGGACCAGCCTCACTTTCTACCTTTCTTCCCACTCCACTGTGCATTTTACACATAGGAAGCAGATTCCACATTTCTCAGACTTTTGTATAGCACTTTTGGTTTGTCAGTTCTGAGGGTCGTGAGGGGATGGCAATGAGATGTGGGCAGGGAGTGGTTAAGATATGAGAGGTGGTTAAGGATACTTCCTGCTCAGGGGCAGATGGCTGGTGGCCCAGACCTGGACAAAGTCAAGGTGACCCAGTTCTGTTTCCACCCTCTCCTTCCCTCTGCCTGGTTCCTGGTGCAGCCCTGGCCCCACAGAGCTTTGCTTGCTGTTGCTTCTCCCACATGCTCTCAACGCCAACACCTGGAGCTCTCCATGCCAGCCCCCTGTCTCCTTCACCAAACCTCCAGTTCCCTTGAATGCCCTGCCCTAAGCCAGCTTGCTCAGAGTGAGTCATGAGTAAGGCTGACTGGACAAGGTCTAGAAAAGCTTCAGTCACATCCCCTCCTGAGTTGTCAACTCTAGCATGTGGGAATGGATTGGTCCTAGGAGAGAATCTTCAATGGCAGGTTCTGGGCCAAGTGTCACGGGTAGGGGAGATATTGGGGGCATGAAGGAGGATCCACAGCATCCTTAGGCCCTGACTCACCATCTCTGAGGAGCCCCAGGTCAAAGGAATGGTGAATCGGTGCCTCTTCCTAGTCTCAAATCGAAGCCTCGTAATTCCCGACACTTAGGTCTCTGGAATTGGCTACAGGAGCCAGAATTTCACATCATTAGCTTTCTTAAGCCCCCAAATTTCAAATTATCTCATTTGTGCATATGACAAGAGAATAATGCAAAATAGATCTGAGAAGAATATAGATCAATGCTTCTTCTCCCCCGCACATTAACATCCCCTACACGCTCTGACCTCAACCCCAAAGACTGACTCAATATTTCTGCAATGGGCCCAGACAGCATATTTGTTACAAGCTCCTCAAGGTGCTATGTCCAGGCCAGGCTGTGGACTCTGTACCTGCTGACAATCCATGTGTCCTTTGTGTGTTTGACAGGTCACCCATTGGCTGCAATGGCAGAGACGATGGCTGCAGGTGAGATGTTGGTGTCCTTTGCTGCCCTGATCATCATCTTCTAACTCAAGTTCTGAAGTGACTCTTCAAGGAAATTGAGCAAAATACTACTGTTTTGTCTGGGTCACCCCTCTGAACCTGTGTTCCAAGTGAAGAGTCCAACAATAGGGGCCAATGAATTTATAGTTCCAATTCCATTTCTATTTAGTCAAAGAAGGAAGTCCAAGTAAACAAGTGATGCCAGCCTTCTTGGTCTCCCAGCAAGGACATCACAGGTGGAGGACAGACATGTGACTGTTAACAAAACAATGTTGCCAGGGTGCTACCCCAGGACATCATTTCAGAGGGCTTCCACCATGCGCATGTTTTTCTTCTATGTCCTTTCTTCTTCTCTGACAATCTCTGTCCTCATTCTCCATTCCTTCTTTTTCATCTTTCAGTTTTTTTTCCTCTGCTCTTGCCTATATCTTGGGCTTCCAGAAGCCGCCACTAAACTTTTCTTAGCACCACCTGGAGATAAAGGGCTAAAATAGAGCCATGGAGAGGCTGGCTGGCCCTTCTAGGGAAGAGCCACAGCCAGATGACTAGAGACAATCGAGTGTAGGTTCAATTCTTACACAGCCAGATAATCTGATGGAGAAAGCCATTGCCACAGGTGTCATCTTTAATTGTGGACTGAATATTGGGCAGATGGATAGACAAACAGACAACAGATAAAGAAGCATCTCATGCAGATGCCAAGCAGATGGATGGGTGGATAGTTAGGCAGACACAGAACAGTATCAGTGTTGCAGGGAGTGGATAATTCAGGGAAATTTCTTGCCACTTAGTAGTAGATTCTTCTTAATGTAATTTTAATAAATTACAGCTGATGGTGAACGGAACACTGCCATCTTCATACACATAGAGGCTCCATGTCGGCTCCGCCTTACTTGGGAAAATGAAGCAGTTTACTCATTCCTACTGGTGACCTGACAAAAACCAAATCTACAGAACCCACCACTAAGAATAACCAGAGGGAAAGATTCTGGCTGATATTAGCTAACTGCTTTGCCCAGCGAGCCCACGTCAATGGTAGAATTCTCAAAAGAAGTGAGAGATGTTTCAAAATTCAGACACTTTCATGCACTCATTTCCTAAGTTTGCAAATGTTTTTAGAATATGTTATACTTCTGATATGTCCTAAGATATACCCACAAAGTAACGACCAATGAAATCTTTTTGGGAAAAAAATGAAAGCAAAAAAATGTGAATTACAAAATTAGTGAACTTAACAATGAAAAACTGAAATTCTAAAATATCTTTCTTCTTTTAGAAACATCTCAGTGTGGCAGCATCATCACTAACTCGTCTGGAGCGATTAGGAATCCGCCAAAGAATGAAATGCATGACAACATGACCTGTGTGTGGGAGATCAAGACCAACGCATCCAACCGGATACTGCTGGCATTTCCATATCTTGAGTAGGTCATGGTACTTAAGTACACCGTCAGGTTTAATATTCCAAGCGTGTATTCCCTTGGTTGATTCTCATAACTAAAAGAGTCCTTTGTGGGTTTTTTTTAAGTTTTTATTTTGAAATAATTATAGACACAGAAGAAATTAGAAAAATAATACATAGAATCCCATGTACCCTTCACCCAGCTTCCCCCATTAGTGGCATCTTATCCAACTGTAGAACAATATCAAAACAAGGAGGTTGACGTTAGTACAATACTGTTAGCTTGACTACAGACCTTATTCAGTTTTCACCATTTTTTACACGTACCTTTGTGTCTGTGTACATGTGTGCAATTTTGTGTAATTTTACCCTGAGTATAGATTCATGTAACCACCACGACAATCTGGATACAGAACTGTTCCACCACCACAAAGGAACTACCCCTCTACCCTTTATATTTGCAAACCACTGCCTCCCTGTCCCCTGCAACCACTATAGAGGTGTTTTCCACCTCTATAGTCCCATCATTTTGAAAATCTTCTATCAATGGAATCATACAGCATGCACCCTTTTCAGATTGACTTTTTTCACTCCACATAATGCCCTTGAGATCCATCCAGGTGGTTGTGCGTATCAGCAGCTCATTCTCTTTATTGCTGAGAAGTATTCCATTTGTGGATACCAGAGTTTGTTTAACTGTTCCCCTGCTGAAGGACATTTGGGTTGTTTCCAATCTTGCTGTTATAAGAAAAGGCTCTATGAACATTCATATACAGGTTTTTGTATGAATATAAATTTTCATTGCTCTGGGGTAAATGCCCAAGAGTACCATTGCTAGGTTGTATGGTAAGTACACATTTAGCTTTGTAAGAATATGACAAACTTTTTCCATAATAACTACCATTTTACATTCCCACCAGCAACACATGAGAGATTCAGTTTCTCCATATCCTAGCCAGCATTTGGCATTTCTGACCTTAGCTGTTTGTAATTTTCAGTGTACAAATTTTGTACACGTTTTGTTAGATTTATGTGTAGGTATTTCACTTTTTTTGGAGTGATTGTAAGTGATACTGTGGTTTTAATCTCGGTTTCCACATTTGTTGCTATTATGTAGAAATACAATTGATTTTTGTGTGCTTCCACAAATTTTTAATTGAAATGAAATTCACCTCATATGGTTTGGATAGATGTGTGTGTGGATGTGAAAGAGAGAGAAAGAGGGAGAGAATGTATGTATTTCATCCTGCTGGGTAAAGATGCAGATTCCAGGGAACCCCCAGACCTAATGAATCAGGAAGTTTTAGGTTTTAATATTATAAGTAATCCAGATTGATGTCACTCATAGATGAATGTCTTATAGAAATTAATCCTTGGAAACAACTAAAGTTATTTATCACTTCTGAATTTTGCTTAATCAAATTATGACTCAGAATGGATGGCCCATTGGGCTGAGGCAAGGAAGTGGTTTTCTGATTTTAGCACTCGTGGCATCTGGACGAAACTTTACAGTGAAGAACAACAGCCAATAACATCAGACGACTTCCGCAAGCCAAGCTGAGCAGATTTGGTAGTGCGCTTCCCTCTGGGCAATCCGGCTGCCCAAAGCTGGTCAACAGGTTGTTTGGAACCTGGAGCCATGTCCTTCTGGCAGGCCGAGCAGCCTCTTCCCTCTTCTGGACCCTCGATCAATTGCCTTGATTTACCTGGCCCTGCCCTTGGCCTTAGGCTTTGAAGTACCATGCAGTCTGAAGCTGCTGGAGGCCTCAGCAGGGGTACACCTAGGGTTTCAGCCTCCTCTTCCCTCTTCCAGTTAAAATCCCATCCCCTTACGGCAATGGAGAGAAAAAGCAGGATGAAAGGAATCCATACTATGTTTGAATGGCTGACAGGCTTCTAATCTGTCCCCAGCCTCTTTATAGTAACAAAATAAAGGGTCTGCTCACAGCATATCTCTAAGATCCTCTGATGAGGACACTAAGAGGCATCCATCGGTGTTTCCTTCCCCAGCCTCAACTGCTCCAACGAATATTTTGAAATCCTGGACGGCCCTCCATCCTCGGCAAAGTCCCTGGGGAAGACCTGCTCTGGTTCCTACCTCACCTACGCGTCCTCCTCCAGCTCAATGACCCTCGTGTACTTCCGAAGCTTCAACACTATAGGAAAAAACTTCGTTGCTTATTATTATTCCGCAACCAAAGGTAAGAATGGTGGTACAAGCAGGAACTCTGGAGCTGGACTGTCTGCCTGGGGACAGTTATAGTCCTGTCACTTACTCCAGGACCTTGAATAAGAGATTTGACCTCTCCATGCCTCAGTCCCTTCCCTGTACAATGGGGATAATAAGAGAACCTCACTTCCTAGGTTTGTTGTGAGAGTTCCCTGAAACGATGCAAGCAAAGCACTTACCACGGTGATGGCTCATCATAAATGCTCCATAATTGGCAGCTTCATCATGGGCTGCTTAGTTTCACGTAAACACATCATCACAGTCAGGCCATTTCTGAAGGTATTCCGAGTCTAGTACCAGGTGAGTGTTTTAGGACCTACAGAAGAAGAAGGTGTGGTCCCAGCCTAAGAGGGGCTCGCGACAACCTAGAGGGAGTTCATGACGAACACATATGAAGCAATTAGAGGACAAATAGAATACAATAAATTAAGGCAAACAAATAGAATATACTAGAATATACTAAATTAACACAGAGATGCATCTCAGCAGAAGATAGGAAAGAGAAAGCAATGTAGGCTGCACGTATTAAGGAAGACATAGAAGAAGACAGCCTTAGATTTGTCTTTAAATCTAGATGGGCTGTGGGTAGAGAAACAGGGAGAGGGTACAGCTGGTGAGAGAGCAGCGTGGGCACAGAGAGGGGATGGGCGAGGCGTGTGGTGAGAAGGCAGGCAGAAGCTAAGCCAAGTACTGCTCATGAAACGCGTGTACTCGAGGTTGGGTAATGACAACAGCAGTGATCAAGATAACAGCTAACATTTACCGAATGCCTATTTTATGCCAGGCAACATTTTAACCACTTTTCATTTGCTATCTCTCTTTTTTTTTTTTTAAAGATTTTATTTTTTTTTCTCCCCAAAGCCCCCTGGTACATAATTGTGTATTTTTAGTTGTGGGTCCTTCTAGTTGTGGCACATGGGACACGGCTTCAGCATGGCTTGATGAGTGGTGCCGTGTCCACGCCGAGGATGCGCACCGCTGAAACCCTAGGCCACCGCAGCGGATCGCATGAACTTAACCACTTGGCCATGGGGCCAGCCCCCATTTGTTATCTCTTTAATCCTCATGCAAACCCGTGGTTCTTCCCCTTTTACAGAAAACTGTAGGAGGACGAGGAAACTGAGGCTTGAGAGGTTCAGTAATTGTCCCGAGGTCAGCCAGTGATGGATCCTACACTATTTACCACTAAGAGAAAAGAGGCTGAGCTCATGGACAGGTCTTCCAGCATCCACCTGTCCAAAATGCTGTTCAGAAGAGTCTCCTGGACTTTTAGCAAGCACAGGGGTGACTCATTGAGCAAGCTTGGGAAACATGCTGTAAAACACAGAGGAGGTGCTCTAGGTCACAGAGTGGACCGGGGAAAGTCACTATAATTGTGGTTAAACTGTTGTCGATGATGGTTTCCTTGTGTTTGCAGAGGCAGTTTCACGGACCCCGAATCTAATCAGTGAGTCATGTTTACTGTTGCTATTTCGTCTTCATTCCTCCTTCATGTTTCTTCCTCTGTCCCCACTCCTGGTGCTGTTACCTCATAGCCTGATCTCTCTCATATGTGCTTCCAAATTTCCTGTATAAACCCACAATAGCTAAGAGATTCTGCCCTTACACTGTTTGCACAAGTATGATGCCCATTCACACTGGAACCAAGTTACACATATCAAGGATTAGGTCACTGTCTATTGATAGTTGTCAATTTGATTTCCTAATTCTTTGTTTTTATCAAGACAATGAAACACCCTTAGTCAGACTCTACATTCAAGGAAAGTTAACAACAGTTACACTAAAAGCAGAAACCTGCAGAAGAAACAGCTGTCTTCTCCTGAAGGACACTGACTGTGAACACACGTCAGCACAGAATGGCACAATTTAGGTGTCGTTATATTATATTCCAATGACTGGGCAAAAGAGGGAATGTTATTTCTGTTGGATCCCACACAGCTGAGAAACAGCAAGACTCACATGCAAAAAGAGTTTGATGTGGAAGATCACTTAGCATCAAGATGACAGGAGAATGAATCCGCCAGAATTTTGGCTTTTTAGCCGAGACTGATCTCAGAATGGTGCTATCTTGACTCGCCCGAGTGCCCCCTTTTTATTTAAGGGTGTCTTGTATCCACAGCAATCCCGACATCACCACCCAAGCTGGTAACAGCAAGACCAGGTAAGCCCCGGACTACGCCCATTCGTCCCCAGGTGTCCTTTCCTCTTTGTACCTGCACGTGTATCTATATTTGTACCTGCTTCACGGGCAGAAACTAGACCAACTGCGAGTGGATCATCTATCTGGAAAGAGTCCAGTGGACTCTATCCAGACTTCTCAGGGCCACTCAAAGCTATTGGTGCCTAGCATCCTGGGGTGAGCAAAGCGCATTTTTCTGGAGTCTTTCAGAGTCATCAAACCCTGAGCAGCATACAGGTGCCTTGTAGCCGGGTCCTATCTTTCCTTTATATGGCCAGTCCTGACCATAGTTAGTGTCACGTCTGCATCACTAGTAGCCTTTTTCAAAGTGAGTCAAGTGTCAGAGCCATTACAGAGGCAGTGAGAGAGAAGAGCAGAGAAAAAAAGAAAAACAGTGAGCTTTGGAGTCAGGAGACCCGAGTTTAGATCTGCTATTTACCAGATATGGGGTTTAGGGTGGATCACTTGCTTCTCCAACTTTCAGTTTCCTCGTAGATAAAATAGGAATACCGATTCCTGGGTTGTTGTAAAGGTGAAGTGAACACAAATGCACACGAATGCACTGCACAAAATCACAAATCACCGTGCAAATTATTTGTAGTGTTTTTTGGCATTGAACCAAAACAGATTAGGATATACCTCTTGTGCAATAGATACTCAGTTAACGGACATTTTAGGCTAAATGTTATTTTGACAATCTTAATGACTTCTCAACTTTTGACTAGGAGGTTGACGAGCTGACTGACTCTTTTACCAAGATCTCAACGCCCAGTAGTAGTGTGGGTTGGGGAGCTCAACCAGCTCGGGAAATGTGCAGCATCCCCAGAGGGCAACAGTCACCAAGTGTCTGTCTGCAGGGGACTGGCCGGAGCTGCGGCTGGTGGGCAGCTCAAGTCAGTGCTCAGGACGTGTGGAGGTCCTCCACCAGGGGGCCTGGGGCACCGTGTGCGATGACCTGTGGGACCTGAATGAAGCTGAGGTCGTGTGCCGACAGCTGGGGTGCGGTCAGGCCATGTCCGCCCTTGGGAAGGCCTACTTTGGCCCGGGCTCTGGAGACATCTTCCTGGACAACCTCCAGTGCTCTGGGGTGGAGCGCTACCTGGGCCAGTGTGCCCACTCAGGCTGGTCAGAACACAACTGCGGCCACCACGAGGATGCCGGTGTTATCTGCTCAGGTACCCTCTTCTCTTTCAGACAATCACTGTCAGTCTCAAAGTGCTTCAAGACCCCCTGCTAGAACTCAGAATCAGCCACGCAGACAGGACCCTCAAACATGTAGCCTTTGAGTTTTACTTTCTCTCTTCTAACTTGATTAAATATATAAGATTTTAACTGCTGGCCTCCCAGAATAAAACTTTCTAATTTTCTAATTTGGTAGAAAGAATTACCAAAGGTATGTGTGCTTTACTGAATGCAGACATACGTAAAGGACACGTTTCCCTATGGGAATTTTTAAGGAGTTTATCCAAAGGTCTCTCATTCAAAGAGGCAGCGGATGTCGTAAAGCTAGAGAGACTCGGAGCTGGGCAGCCCCGAGATCTCAGGGCCACTGCTGACACTCAGGCTGCATTTGGGCAGCACGTAAACTGTCGGAGCCTCCGTTTCATCTGTAAAATTAGGAGCTAATTGCTTTCTCGCAGGATTGCCGGAAGGATTCAAGCTGTCTTTTGTAAAGCACTCGCACAGCACCTGACAAAGGGGCTGCCTATTTCGTAATTTTTACGACCATCTTCCTCACTCAATCACAACACCAAGGAAACCAGTGAATTAAAATGGCTAGTTTTAATTGCCTTGTGACAATTTTTTAGAATACTTTGGATTTACTCAAATGTAAACGATAAGCTGGGAGTAAGTTAGTCACCTCTGGAATGTCTATTAATAACCTTTGCGGTAATGAGATGCCTTTTGATAAACTCTCAGCTGTAATGCCCGGTGTGACTTGAATCAGCAACTCCAGCTCGAAGTGGCGCTTGTTACGTAGAGGTGCCCGTGGGAGAGGCAGCTCCGTTGTACCCCAGCACCTGCTACCTGTGATTCTTAATTTGAGGCACATGTTTAAAAGTATCGTCTTGTTCATTGTGCATTCATTTGTCCATCTGTTTGCTTTGTAGTGTCTTGTTACACACAGCATGTCTAGCCTAGTTACAGCCTCATGGGCTGCACCTTATTCCCAAATTTCGATATTCTGGAGGATGATCATGTAAATCTAAGGTGCCCCCGAAGTGAAACTCATCTGCTGCAAAATCATAGTTTAAGTCACATCCCAAATTCTGGGTGAATTCATTCCATAGATGAATCTAGATCTCCCAGTACCATGTTGTTTGAAGGGACTGACTTTTCCCATACCAGATTAATGAACACTTATAAAGATGCAGTTAAAATCTTTGTCTTCGGTTATTTAAGTCAGGATTTTGGGAAAAGACTGACATGTTTATTCTCTATATAAACAGATGCTGACGAGTCACTTATTAACAGTCCGGGTAGGTGACACTTTTTTTGATGGAACTTAAATATCAGCTGTTCTTGATTTTTCTTTGAGCTATTTATTCTTCCAGCTCTAAGTTCACTCTCTGTCTAATCTGCAAAGATTTTCGTACTATTGAGATGCCATTCAAAAGTCTCATTTGGAATTGTTACTTTGGATTTTCCTGTGTGTAATGATGCCTGTGTGTGTGTTAGCGATACATGCAGGAGTGAAGTGGCATTTCAGGATCTTTTTGTACATTCTTTGTCTTCTGACTCAAAGGCCTTTCCCCAGCTCCTCCCCTCACCAGCTCCTTCTCACTGTTTTAAGAGAAGCCTTCCCAGGCCCCTGTTCTCTGTTAGTCTTCAGAACGTCCTGTTCTTCCCCTTCATGACATTTATCATGTGGAATAGTGCACTGTACATTGGACTCTACATTGGACTAATAGACTTTAGGCTCCTTGAGGGCAGGATCTGGATCTCTTGATTGACAGTTGCGTCATAAATGCCTAACAGGGAAAGCAACAAGTAAATGCTGTTGAAGTGAAATTGAACTGGCTGAAGACCCCACAATCTGCAGCTCAGGAACACATGGGAAATGTGAGGGACAGGCCCCAAGGCTCAAGACAGGGCATGGCCCCCCCATCCCCATAGTCCTGCTGGCCTCTGAGATCTGATGCTGGTGGACCCCAGGTGGGTCTCGTGGGGACTCACATACCCCATCTCTATGTGCAGGAAACTGGCCAGAGCTGCGGCTGGTGGGCAGCTCAAGTCAGTGCTCAGGACGTGTGGAGGTCCTCCACCAGGGGGCCTGGGGCACCGTGTGCGATGACCTGTGGGACCTGAATGAAGCCGAGGTCGTGTGCCGACAGCTGGGGTGTGGACAGGCCGTGTCCGCCCTTGGGAAGGCCTACTTTGGCCCGGGCTCTGGAGACATCTTCCTGGACAACCTCCAGTGCTCTGGGGTGGAGCGCTACCTGGGCCAGTGTGCCCACTCAGGCTGGTCAGAACACAACTGTGGCCACCACGAGGATGCTGGCGTCATCTGCTCAGGTATCTTCTCCCCTCTCAGGCAATAATTTCTCATGTTGTGGTTGAAGACATTTTGAAACTATGCATCCCAGATGGAATTTTTATCCATCCATTCATCTCTTCATTCTTTCACCAAACAATCCTTGAGCATCTACTCTGCACCAGGCCCTGTGCTCAGGCACATGCCCTGCCATGGGCAACTCCAGGTTGTACACGAGAGGTCTTGAATGTTAGTGTGCACCAATACCCCCTGGGGCATTGCAGTACAGAGTCCAGGGCCCCGCCCTCAGAGATTATGACTAACTAGATTTGGGGAAGGGCTCTGGGATCTGCCTTTCAACAAGTGGTCCAGGAGATTCAGCATAAGAGTGGCCACGGGTAATCCAGCCCTGGCTGTTGTGGGGCAGTTGACCCTGTTGGGGGGCAGTTGCCCTGCCCCCTGAGGCCAAGGACTCAGCCAGAGGAGGGCTGGAGTTGCCCAGGAGGCAGTTCTGGTGCTCTGGGTTCCGTGTCCAGAAAGGCCATGGTCTTCTCCCCTTCATCCCCCATGCACACTCTGTTACCCTACCTCCTCTAAACTTTGGATTCACTAAAGATAGTGTCCTATTGCCTTTCTTTATGGTTCAGATGCAGAAGGCCTGCCTCCTCCCACACCTCCAGGTATGTCCATGTTTTTTAATAGTCCAGGCAACTTTCTAACAATAATAATGATAGGAATACTAGCATCAAATACTTATAAATGCCAAGAATCAGGCACTGTTCTGAGCCCTTGGTGTAGATAACTCATTTAATCTCTACAATAACCCCTTGAGGCAAGTGCTTTTCCAGAGAGGTAAACTGAGACTTAGAAAGCTAGTAATGTACCCAGGGCTGGCCAGTGGGTTTGAATCCAAGCTGTTGATGCTCTTGGCTACTTTGCTTTTGAATGCACATGGCTGTCCTCACACAGCCTCAGACAACACCCAGAGGTCACAAGTCATTGGCAGAAGTCTCTCTCGGACACTTGCCTGGAGAAGAACTTGATATCTTCTGGACTTTTCTAGGGGAAGGCTAGCTTTACGTGTTGGGGGATGAGTGAGGGGGCAGAGCTGTCTAAAGTTAAAGGGCCATGGTTGGGGTCCAGTGGATATTCAAATGAATGCTCATCTATTGTTTTCTCATTTTATGTAACTCAGCTAAGCTGAAAATTACATGGATGATTGGGAAATGAGGAAGACCACATTGAGTGAAAGGAGCCATTCTGGTTACCTATTGCTACTTTAAAATGTAGTGGTTTAAAACAACAACCATTTAGTTATATGTCACGGTTTTGTGAGTCAGGAATTTAGGGAGGGCTCTGCTCAGAGATTCTTCTGCTCCACATAGGACTGACCAGGGTCAGTCAGTGGTGTTCACCTAGTGGCTGGTCTGGAGAGTGCAGAACAACTGCACTCATATGCCTAGAGCCTTGGTGGGGACACTTGGAAGGATGGGCTCAGCCAGGGCCCTCATTCTTTGCAGGGGCTCTCAGGGCCTCTTCACATGGTCTCTCCAGCAGGAGAGTCAGACTTCTTACAAGGTGGCTCAGGGTGCCACTAGCAAACCAGTGACAGGAAGTGGAAGCTGCATCTCTTAAGGCACAGTGTCACTTCCACCATATTCTGTTGATCAAAGCGGTCACAGAGCTCACGCAGGGTCAAGGGAAGGGACCTAGACCCCACCTCGTGACAGGAGGCACATCCAAGAATTTGTGGCCTTCTTTAATCTGCCACAGGACTGTCGAGAATATTCACTGAGCACCTTCAGACTTTTCTCAGTTCACACTAAGTACATCAACATTTCTAAGAAAACTCTGTTCATTTCACTAACTTGTAGGCAAGACTAAGTATTTTTCCCCTGTATGTCATCGTTATCTCCCGTTTTTTTCCCTTCTAGGTCTTTCTACAGCTTTTCAGGATCATATAACAGGTAGTCACTTGTTTTAAATCAAAATGGTAACTCCATGCAAGAGAACCATCATAGTAGATGTTGGGCGGTGTGCCCAGGATGTGGCACAAAGGGACTGGCACAGCGTGGGTGTGAAGCTGCTTCTCTGCTGCCCATGCCAGTCCTGTCACAACTCCTTCTGTGAGAAGGCCAGGGCAGTCAGGGGCTCAGTCAGAGGAGCCCCTCAGTCCTCACCACAGCATTGCCAATGGGCATGGCACTTGTATTTCTAATGCCTGTAAATAATCACTTTTTTAACCAAAGGAGCAGGCTGGGAAGGGAGCATGTGGATCTGCCCAGGGCTGAGTAGACAGGAGAGTGACAAGAGACTTGAAGAGAGTGTGGCAGTCCATCTGGCCATACTCAGCCTGCCTTCTCTGGGTACAGTCCAATAGTGGACACCAGGATGGGCACCAGTCCATCATCCCCTGCCACATGTAGAGTTTTCAGGAATTCCGACTCCCTGGGGTTTCGGTGTCAGTGTGACCCGGTCCAGTTATTGTAACCTTAAAACGCAATCAACAATAGAGCAATGGGATGACTGGGCACTTCACCACTTCCCACCATCCGTCGCAGGAATGACCAGGAATCTGTGGGATTCTCGGAGGATTACAAGTTGGTCAGGGGAGAACAGAAAGAAGAAAATTAAGCAACTTCATAATTTAGTGACAAGATCAACAAAGCATATTGTGTTTTCAAATTTCCTCTAAAATAATCCTCTAAGTTTTCTGCTTTTTTGTGTAGCATGCTGCTTTAAATATATATGTCTGTGTGTAAATGTATATCTATTTATATTAATATGACAACTCATATGGAAGAATTAGACTTCATGTGTTTTACTCTTACAGATACAAAAATCTGTAAATTCCAATCTCAGTAGATACTGAGTTAAAGGAAACACAATCTACCCAGAAAAAGCGATGAAAAAGTACTTAAAGGGAAGTCCCAGTCATGACCTCCAGAACAGTTCCCAGCGTCCCCTTTCCCTTTGCTCCAATTCGTCAGACCCCAGAGTTGTTCTAGAACCTCTTGTTCCCAAATCTCTTCAGACTCGCCTCTTCCGCCGGCACGTACAGCTTCTGTCTCTCCGGCTCTCCTGCCTGATCTCTCATGTAGATCTACTCTGCCTGTCGCCCAGCAGGCAAGAATCCTTCCACTTTAGAAAGAGGGAGGAAATGGTAAGTAGACAGGACAAATACAATATTTTCTTTATCAGATGGTAGGGAGAGAGGGAAAGGCAGGGAACTCTCGCACATTAGTACTTTTTGACCCATCAGAATTAGATTGAATGGACTCTCCTTCCCAGGAGACATTTAAGCTAAAGATCTATTCAGACAGCCCTGTGTACCCACCCATGGGGACTGCTGCCTGACTCCACCAGGCCACTAGGAGTGAGCTGGTCATCACCGAGATCACACAGTGACACCATGCGGACACATCCTGACATCCTTTTTCCTGTTGTTTAGGAGGAAGTAACTCTTGTGGAGGGGTTATTTCTAGTCTCTCTGGCTCATTTTCCAGTCCGCTGTATCCAGAAAATTACCCAACAGACATCCAGTGTGTTTGGGAGATCCATGTGGATAAAAAATTCCGCATAGAACTCATGATCCCAAGTTTGAAGTAAGAAAACAAGTTTTTAAGAGAAGTTTCTGTCTAAATAAGAATATTGGTTTGTGAAATCATAATGATACTTCTTTTAATGGGAAACATTTAGGGGTAAAACCAAAGAACACAAAATTCTTTCCAAGTTGAAGCTCAGGTTAATTTTGTAGTGCTATCCAATGAGTTACTTCTAGCTTGAAAAATTCAATAACTGGCTTATTGACATATTTGACTTAACCTTATTTGGTCATTTTTCTTTTGATTTTTTTCTAAAAATATCACAAAAATCCTCCTTACCAACTTTGCCCTTATTGTACACTAGGTACCAATATTTACCCTCTTAGACTTTCTTTTTCCTTTATTTAAATTTTAAACAAATACCAAAAGGCTTTCCACGCATACACACTAGCCAATTACTCCAGCCTTGGGCCCTGCATCTTCTAAATGTTGCCTCAAAGTCAAATGAGACCATAGAGCCATTGCCTCATATTTGACATGATGAGAATAGATTTTCCAAAGTCACTGCCTTTTTTTATCTCCATGGCATAAAATAACAGCTGACATTTTTTAGTGCTGCAGTGTGCCCAGGCTCAGTACTGCCCTTTGTATGCTTTGTCATATTCCAGTGTCACTACAGCCCTAAGATAGATGTCCTTGTCATCCCCGTTAGAAATGAGGAAATTAAGACTCAAAGAAGTCGACTAACTTGCCAAAGGCTAGCTCACCTAGGTCTATCTTATGTTTACGTCTTTTAAAGACCCAGGTCTTCACCCATACTTAATTCTGTAAGCAGAGTCTACGCAAAGCCCTTCTTCTTTTTGGATATGACACACAGCATGATACAAACACAGCAATACTGTGAAATGCTATGAAAATCTACCTTTAGCATGCATCGAATGCATTGTCCGTGGAGGCAGACATGCCCTATGTCAAAGAATATTTTAGAAATATGTTATCTTTGTTGACAAAAACCATAAGGACACAGATAGCCCACAAAAGTGAGAAACTTGAACCCACACCTCCAAAGTCTATTGTGTTGTCAGTTGTCTATTCCTTCAAATTCTCCTCATACACATCCCTTGTGAATAACTGCCAAAGGGCAAATACTCTACTATATGTGACATTATTTCTATTTTAAAATCAAGTTTTTTCTCCCCAAAAATTTGGGTAGGGAAATGTTGTGAAATATAGAGGTAGGAAAATCTGCCTGTGATGTTGATTACATGCTGATCATTGAGGTGATTTGACTGTTAAGAATTTATTTGAAGTGTACATTAGCATTTTCTAATGTTCCATATAGGTTGTGATTGGCCAAAACCATTATGATTTTAAAGTTTCTCTTACTGTTATAACAATAAGCCTCATATATTCCCCCGGACAAAGAAGATAAGAGTTTCAATAATAAGGCATCTAAAACAATTAATTGATATTTTATATATTAATATACAATTTAAAATATAATCCAAATACTCAATTCTATGATTGCCATACTTTCTAAGCTTTAGGATCTAGGAAGTTCTAACCTGCTGCTGACCCTTCACTTTGATTCCCCCAGACTGGAAGATGTCCTTGGATGCCCGTATGACTCAGTTGAAATCTTTGATGGCCCCAGGATTGCCTCGCTCTCCATGGGGAAGTTCTGTGCCTCAGCAGTCGTGATGTTTTTCTCCTCTTCAGACATCATGACAGTGGTGTTCCGAAGTGACTCTATGATCACCAATACTGGCTTTTATGCTCTATTCAATGCGATTCCACAGGGTGAAAGAGAGTCAGGTAGGAAGCTTCCAGTAGGTTTTTGGTCTTTAAAAGACAGAACAGTTTCTAATTTGAGGAACCCCCTTATTAGCAGAGGCCTGGGATTCAGTTTTAAAATCCCCCCACGCTTGGCCCCATAAGCCCTGCTTCATGGCTGCTAGATTTTCCCACTAAGAAGCCCACGTGGACGATTGAAATAAGGCAGTGATTTGCAGCCTGTACGTAAACGGGCAGGCTGCTCCTCTCCATAGCTCCTTTGTCGTTACCCTCCGTTGGGAACTGTCCAGAGTGCTGAAATCTAAAAGCCAAACTTTCCTAAAGAATACACTTTCCTCTACCGGCTGGCCCACTTAATACCTTGCATGCACTGGACTCTAGACTCACCCCAATGAGAGGATTGGGGACCCCTTCAGCCATGGCCCTGTAGGCAGTCATTCCAGAGCCAGGTCCAATTTTGCACCCAGCAAGCATACTACCTGCTGATTGTAGGGCATCTGATAATCAGGGGCCCTTGCTGAAGCCCCAGTGACGCTTTCAGGTCACCAAGGAAACCAGGTAGTAAGTCTCTGGCTTCAGTTTGAGGTGAGGGGGTGGGGGTATTTGTTTCTGAGTAATGGAATTCCTTATATATTTGACCCTGAAAGGCATGTTTGAGATCTTGCCCTGGGGAGGCTAAGTAAGGTCCAGCATTAGAAATCCAGACCATTAATTGACTCAAGATCATCATTCACTCACCCAATAATATTTACTGAGGTCCTAGTATGTGCCAGACCCAGTTATAAGTGTGGAGACACAGCAAACTGTATGGCACCCTTGTCTCCTGGAGTTTATAGTAGGGTGGACATGGGGGAGAGAGGGAGAATCAAGACACAAGAAACAAGTAAATAAACAAGATGATTTTGGGCAGTGATAATGGCTCGGAATACAGAGCAGGTAGAATAGAAGCGAGTGCCTGAGGTGGATGAGATGCTGCTGTGGATTGAGTGGGAATGGACGGCCTTGCACAGGAGGTGACATGTGATGAATGACAATGAAGGGACATTCCAGACAGAGAGAATAGCAAATGCAGAGGCTCTCAGGGAGAAAAAAGTTGGACATTTTGGAGAAATAGAAAGAAGGCCAGTGTGGCAAAGCCTGTGGATACAGTACAGGAAAGCTGTCCCTAGGGTGTCTCCAGGAGACAGCAGGTAATTCCAGCTGTCCACAGCCTGTCAGCCCAGAAATAGCCATCTCCATTGGGCTTTATGAAGTCATGAACACTCTAGTGGCCCACGTGCCCTCAGGGGATTAAATCTACACTTATCCAAGCACTTATCCAAGACATATCAATAAAAGCCACTGGGAACCCATTTCCCCAGGAATCCAGAATTGTGGCACAGAGAACCACATGGCAAGATCTGCAGGAACCATGGTGTGCTGGGAGCTGAGCACTGTGCTTTATATTCACATTCTTATCAACTCTTCACCACAGCCCTCTGAGATACAGGCTGCTTAGAGTCCCCACTTTACAGATGAGGAAACTGAAGCCAAGGGAGATGAAGTAACTTGTCAAAGTTTGCACAACTAGGAAGCAGTAGAACTGGGGTTTAAACCCACCTTTATCTCACTCTTAAGCCCTTAACTCTAACCTAATATGGAATCAAGACACCCTTAAAATTTTGCTCTTGCATTTGTTTGCTTTAGCCACAAACGTGGGAGCTAGAAATCCTTCCTATTTCAAACTTCCCCAACTCAAAAATAAAATCTTCCTCCATTTAGAAAATGCACCAGAGCTGCGGCTGGTGGGTGGTTCCGGACGATGTTCAGGACGCCTAGAGGTCCTCCACCAAGGGATCTGGGGCACTGTGTGCGATGACCTGTGGGACCTGAAAGAAGCTGAGGTGGTGTGCCGACAGCTGGGGTGTGGACAGGCCATTGCTGCCCCTGGAAGGGGCCACTTTGGCCCAGGCTCTGGAGACATCCTCCTGGACAACATTCAGTGTTCAGGAAGCGAGAACCACCTTGGCCAGTGCCCTAGCTCTGGCTGGTCAGACCACAATTGTGGCCACCATGAGGATGCTGGTGTCATCTGCTCAGGTAACCTCTCCTTCTATGGCAGCTTCTCTCTGATCTTTCAGCTAGCAGCTTCTTAGTGATGGATGGAGGGCATTCACAGAACAGGGCCAGGGAAGCTAAGGACGGTGGCCTGACAGATGAGAGTTCCTTCAGCCAGGTTGACAGTGAACCCTGAGAGCCTGACTCCTTTCTGAAGACACACATACAATTGGCGGGTCCTGTTCTCTGCAACTTTCCCAGGTCTGAAGCTGCTTTTCTAGAATTTAAACATGCTCTTTTTCTTGTGTGACATGAAGACTGCCTGCTTGAGAACTGCCCGCACTAGAAAACCACCACTTCTTTGTCTTCATAGAACTTAATTTAGATTTCCTAAATTTGCCCCTCTTTGCCTGCATACAGATGCTGGAGACTGGGCTCCAGATGTGACCCCTGCTCCCCCAGGTAGGTCCAACACTGTGAATTTCTAGTATCTCTTCAAAGTGAATAAGAAGTCTAATCTCTGTCCTGACCTAGACACTGATGGACAGTGACCTACATGCTGGAATCACCTAGACAGCTCTTAAAATTCCTGATGCCCAGGCTGCACCCCAGACCAGTCACATCAGAATCTCTGGGGTCATACCCAGTCATCAGTCATACTTAAAGCTTCCCGTGTGATTCCAAAATGCAGCCAAGGTTAAGAACCAGTGACTTGGACAATGAGCTAAAAACCACATTTCCCAAATGAAATGACATCCAAAACTCTCCTCTCTGGATGGCAAAGCAAGGAAGGGCAGGAGGGGAAAGAAGGAGGCAGGTTCCATCACAGTGGCTAAGAAGGGGGTCAATACGGAGAGGAGAGAAAGTGGAAAGGTTTGCCTCTCGGGAATGTAGATTGGAAAGTGAAAGCATGCAAGAAAACAAAGGTGCACTGAATGCCAAACTCTCCCAGTGGGTCAAGAGCAGACTGGAGATGAGAAGTGAAGCCATGTGGGGCTTTTTTGTGGGCCTCCTGGCTTAGCCAACACAGCAGGAGTAGAGAAAGGGTAGACCTCCTCCTGGTAATCTACTCAAAGTCCATGTGTGGCAGTGACCTCCTAGACTCAAGATTCCAGCTACATCAGGGCATGTGTGGTCCTGCCTCCTGCAGCTGCCTGCCTCTCCAGGACAGGTTCTCAGCAGCCACTGCCCTGCCTGCTAGCACCCTGGGCCCCTCCCAGCCTCTTCTCCAACCCTGACTGGTGACTGCTGCCACTCTCTGCCCTCAGTGGGGTCCTGGGTAAGGGGAAGGTCAAGGTCAGGTTAGCCTTGTGGTGTTTCAGGGCCAGGTAAGGTGGCTAGCATCTGTCTCTACAATGGGCTGGCACTGCCATGATGCATTTGGAAGCACACTTGGTAGGGACCTCTTACCTACTCCAATCCAGGTCCCACAGGCTTCCTAGGTGGAGGTTGCCATCTCTTGTAGGCTGCCCATGTGGTGTGGGTTGTGAGGTGGACCTGTGGGAGGAAGAGATTGATTTCCCCACCACTGGCTGAGACCTCACATTTTCATTTTGCACTGGGAAACACAAATTATGCAGCAGCCCTGGAGAGGAGGCAGGGCCCACAGAACACTTTCTCAGGGACTGTCAAGCAGGGAAGTTCCCTTTGATTCCTGCTGGCCTTTCCTCTTCTTGCCCAATGAGGACTCTCTCCTAGCCTGGGAACAGGAGGAGGGAGGGCATGGCTTTGGGTCCTCAGAGAGCTCTGGGCCCAAGCCTTCTTGCAGCCTAGGGTTTCAAACCTCAGAAGCTTTTCTATTTTTTCTCTCTGATATAATATCCCTTTCCTGAGGCAGAAATGCATGGCTAACTAGAAAAGAGACCGGGTCATGGAATAAACGGAATTCGGGGTTGGGGTACAGGGGAATGGAACCATTTTTGTCTAAATAGTATCCAACCGTAAGCAAACCTCTTTGTGATAGAACACTATACACCTGCCTGGACACACACAAAATAAGGCCTTTGGCGTTTAATTCGTTGAGAAAAATGTTATATATCAAACATTTTATCACAGGAAAAATGCTTCTGAGACACTTTAGTTTAGAAAAAATTTGTTCTCCTGCTATCCAACACTCTTTCTGAAGAAGGACTCAGAAGGACAGCTCTTCACCTTGCAGCAGCGCTGCCTGAGGAGAAAGACAATGGGGATAAAGGAATTCTCATATGCATCTCACCCATTTCCTTCAAACTCCTTCCTCGCTAAACAGTGAGAGTAAAACTCAAACAAGTTCCAGCTTTCCAGTGAGCAGGCTTTCTGGACCTGCCCAGCCCTTTGCCTGCCATGCAGTGGGGACTAAGGATACATCTAGAATATAGAAATATATGCTACACAGAAATCCAAGCCAAAAGGACACACGAAAGGAGGAAGAAAGGACCTTCACACGTGTTGGAAATCCCCTCTGAGCCCTGTCTTACTTCAACGGAGTGCTGTCCAACCTACCTTTCCCACCATGGGTCTTAGCTTTCCAGATTTTGTCCTGCATTTTGGCACTTGATAAATTTCTGCAGACATAGTGGCATGCTCATAAGCCCAGTAGTGTTACTGTGGGTGATGCCTCAAGAACCTCAGGACAGCCCCTGGGTTGGTGGACCCTAGCACATAAGAGAAAACAAGTCATGTAACTGTGTTTTCTCTGTGATTTTTCTGGTGAATCACTTAAAGAAGGAGAGAGGCTGCATCCCAGATCTGGGAGAAAAAAGAAGTGAGCGTCTCCACTCCATGTATTAAGACTCAAAGTAGTCACAGGCTTATTCATTTGTACTTAAGTATAAGGGATTTTATGGTGTTAAGCTCTTTCCTGATTTTCTTCTGTTTTGACTTTTGCAGCTGCCACTCCTCAAGCCCCTATGCCACAAGGTAACTCTCTTTCATTGAAAGTATGACCTGTCAAGGACTGAACCTCTTTGATAATTCGTAAAAGCAGAATAGATGTCTGTCTGTCCTAGCTGCCATGAGGGGAAGGAATTGGTGGGATGGAGTCCTCACAAGTGGATGGATCATCTACATCTGAATTGAGCTGGTTTGTATGACAGGAAGTTGGGGAGAGCATTAATGAAGCATCAGCTGGATGCCCCACACCTGCTACATACATGTCCAATCCCATTGCCAGTCTCACCTACGATTTTAGAGTCCTGCCTGCCAGTCATACATCTTTCCCCCTCCTTCGTTCCCTCTCAGGGATACAATCACATGCCAGCCAAGCATGGCTACATCTAATACCAGCATGATTCCTTCCCATTTTGAGATTTTCTGTTGAGCTTGGTGGAATTCTGGATTCTACACCTGGGAAAATTGAGAAAATGCAAGGCGCATGTCTGAAGAAGCCAAACGTAGGTCTCTTGTCTGCTTTTACAGGAGGAAGTAACTCTTGTGGGGGAGTAATTTCAAGCCTCTCGGGCTCCTTCTCCAGTCCTTGGTATCCAGCAAACTACCCCACCAACGTGGAGTGTGTCTGGGTCATACAAGTGGCTGAGAAGTTCCACATAAAACTGATGATCCCAAGCCTGAAGTAAGCAGCTTTTCCCTTCTCTACTTCAAAGGCCAGATTCAATTGGAAGCCATGCTTTCCTCAAAGAGATGGCCTTTCTGTGTGTCTTAGTCTGTTCGGCAGCTATAACAAAAATATCATAAACTGTAGCTCAATAAACAACAGAAATTTATTTCTCACAGTTGTGAGGCTGGAAAGTCCAAGATCAATACACCAGCAGGTTCAATATCTGGTGGGGACCTGCTTCCTGTTCACAGATGGCCATCTTTTCACTATGATCTCACATGGATGAAGGGAAAAGGGAGCTTTCTCAGCCCTTTTTATAAGAGCATTAATCCCATCGTGAGGGCTCTGCTCTCATAACCTAATCACTTCCCAAAGGAACCCACCTCCTAATACCATCATACTGGGGGTTAGGTTTTAACACATGAATTTTGAGATGACACAATATTCAGCCTACAGCACTGTGTAACAAATCCTTTCACTTCTTAGATGAAAATTGGTCTGGTCATCTGAGCTTAAGAGAGTCTTATAATCATTTAGCTCAACCTCCTATGCATTTGGAGAATATCCCATGAGCATCCCTGACACCAGGCCATCAAGGGAGCCTCAGCTGGGGTGACCCACACTTGAAGACCTCACCCCTCTACTCTCAGCCAGCTCCATTTGGGACACAGAAAAGAAAAGGAACCCAAACCTTTTCTTCACTCTCATTTTCCGATCTTCGTTCTTTCCTCTGATGCTACACAAAATACATCTGTTTGCTCCTCCTTTCAAGAATTTCTATCATGTTTCTACTAAGCTTTTTCTTCTACAGATTAGGCAGCCTCAGTTCATTCATTCCTCTTATCATACATATTGTACTTCCTACTTCTTTCTCCAAGCATCACACATTTTTAAAGGAATTCATCCTATTTTAGTGCATATTTATATGTATATATACATATATATTCATATACACATAAATGAGTAACTTTTTAATGAAAATATTACTTTTCCTGATAACATTTAACCCTGGTTTCATCTTTCTACACTGGATTGCATCTGGGTCGTTCTCTGTTCCTGACATCGTCATGCAGTCTGTCCCGGACCTCTGCCACTGCTTTCCATCTGTGTTCGTTGGCCACAGCAGTCAAGGATCTGAATGGTTAAATGCTGCCTTCAAATTTAAAATGGGTTGGGGGCTGGCCCGGTGGCGCAGTGGTTAAGTCTACACGTTCTGCACATTCCACTTCGGCGGGCCGGAGTTCGCCGGTTTGGATCCCAGGTGTGGACCTACGCACTGCTTGTCAAGCCATGCTGTGGCAGGGGTCCCACATATAAAGTAGGGGGAGATGGGTACGGATGTTAGCTCAGGGCCAGTCTTCCTCAGCAAAAAGAGGAGGATTGTCAGCAGATGTTAGCTTAGGGCTAATCTTCCTCAAAAAATAATAATAATAATAATAATAACAAATTTTTAAAAAAATTTTAAGTGAGTTGGCAGTGGAGTGAGGGATGGATTAAATTAGTTTTACCTGATGGCTAAAATTCCTTTTGAATAGGGAGGACATAAAACTAACATCAGGGGTCCTTATGTATTATGAGCAAAATGTATTTATCATTCACTCATTCATTCCACACTCATTTATTTATTGAAAGCAATGTGGGAAGATTTCGTACCATATATTTCAAATCCATGAAATTCACAGTTCTAATGTTTTGGGGCACAGAGTATCATTTCATCACTTCTGGAAAGTGTTTATTCCAAGCAGCTGTGATGACCCAAATCCCCTGAAATCTCAAGGTCACCATTCCAACATAAACTTACTACTATAGTTTCAGAGCACACAAATCAAGGAGCTGTGTAATGTGTTTCCCGGAGCCAGAGCTTAGTTGCTGACTTCCAAGTTTTGATGTTTTTAAATCTAGATTTATTGATATTTGGGGTTTTTTTCTTAGGACATAAAGTTGGTTATTTGCCCCAGTGATTCTCAACTGGGAGTGATTGTACCTCCCCACAGGACATTTGGCCGTATCTGGGGACATTTTTGATTGTCTCAAGTTGGGCGAGGGGGGTGTGGTGCCACTGTCATATAGTGGGTGGAGTCTGGTGTCCTACAATTCTCAAGACAACCCCCACAGCAGAGAATGATCCAGCCCCAAATGTCAATAGTGCTGAGAGGGAGAAACTCGCATTGCACTGAAGTTTGCTTCTATTTTTCTGTTTCAGCTTCTACGGAGATTTGTTTCACACTCAATTTGTAAAAATTATATCCATATTTAAAATATGCCATTTCATTCTTGCTAAGTGAAGTGTGTCCTGTTTTCTAATGAAATGATTTCTCAGATTGCAGTGTCATCTGTTACTGTCACACTGCTGTCACCTTACACACAAATGTTATCACTTTTTCTAAATTTAAAAATGGGTTATTTTGAGGCTCTTGGCTCTTTATTGGAATACATATGTTCCGCAATAAACAGGTTTTCAAATTCAGCAGTTTGTACACAAATGTAATTGTGTCCATTGTGTATGTATTATGCAATGAGCACTTATAATGCATGTATCAAAGGCTATTTACTGTTGTTTAAATGCCAATGTGCATATCTCACATTTTCATTGTGTTAGATAAATGTTGACATTCTTTAGCGTATGTTTAGTGATGCCACTTTTTGTGTGGGTCCTGGTCTAGGAATGGGTTTATAGGGCTGAATAAGACAGACAAGATCTCTACCCTCACGGAATTTGCATTGTAGATAGGGAGACAAATAGTACTCAAATAAATTGGTAACTCGACGGACAATTTCAATTAGTGATAAGTTGATAGGTGCTATGAAGAAAAAAAATGTGCGTATATGGTAATAGGAGAAAGTCAAGAGAACACTAGGCAGGATGATCAGGGCCAGCTTCTCTGATCATCCAAGTTGGATGAAACATGTCATGAAAACACTTGATTTGAACCAGGCAATTTGGGGCATCAGAGGGAAGAGTCCTACTCAACAGGCCCTTGGAGCTTTTACAGTTGTGACCACTTATCCCTTCTCTGGGACTTGTTGAGAGTTTTACCCAATAAGACCCTAGTAGACACTTGCTACCACCCCAGAGAGTGGCAGGGTGTGAATCAAGAGCCGGGGGACATTCAGGAGACACTCGAAGTTGAGAGGAAGAGAGACTGAAAGCCACTATTCCAGTTGGGAGGCCGCTGAAATCGACCAGGTGAGAGAGGATCAAAGGCTGACTGACCTGAGCAGTCCCAATAGGGAAGGACAGGAGGGCAGGTTCAAGCGATATTTAAGAGGTCAGGGCCACTAGTGGAGTGTGTGGTTGCAAGGAGGTGGCAAGGATGATTGCAGTTTCTGGCTGGGTGTGATGCAAATGATGATTCTATTTAAGACACCTCTGCACGTTTCCTTGGGGAGATTAACTCTGCCTGTACCTCTTCAGATTAGAAGACGTCTCTAGGTGCCCCTTCGACTTTCTTGAAGTGTTTGATGGACAGCAAGTTGCCTCACTCTCCAGCGGCAGATTTTGTGCTGGCTCAGATCTCACCTTCCTCTCCTCTTCGAACATCATGACCGCAGTGTTCAGAAGTGACGCCATGATCACCAATACAGGGTTTTATGCTCTGTACAATGCCGTTCGGCAAGATGAAAGGGACAGTGGTAGGTGTCCTAATGCTTACCTAGAAGGAAGTAGATCTAATTTGTGTCCTTTCCCTTTAAGAGAGGAGATGCTTCCTAAATCTGACCTGCGGAGTCCACCTTCATTAATGACATCCTGAGTGACGTCCGTCCGCTCTGACACTAACAGGCCCCAGCCCACCCTCCCCCTGCTCTGCCTCTCTCACTGTCATCTTCCTCCACCAGAACATCCCAGCTGAAGAAACAGATGGTTAAATCTCATATCTTGTATTGGCTGTGTGTGTAGATGAAGGATCCAAATGAGGGCCTCCTTTTTCCCCAAAGGAAGAGAAAATGCAATAGGGCAAATCCTTCTGGAACAAAACTATCTCAAACTACAACTACAACCCACCTTACTTCCATCTGAATTCAATACAAAAACACTCCAGAACACTCATATAGATCTCTTAGGATCTCCTGGATCCTTACAACAGTCATAAACCAGGAATATTCCAGGCAAATCAGGGCACAGGGCCACCCTGCCTAGACTCCAACAGCCCAATGTGGGAAAATATGCCCAAGTGCTGGGCATGCTCTATCTGGTGAAGGTCCTAGAGTGTGGGGACAGCACCACAGCTCAGCAGGCTGCTTTCTTGTCCCCCAGGTGCATCCCTGAGACTGGTGAATGGCAGTCACAGGTGTGAAGGCCGGGTGGAGGTCTTCTACAATGGCACCTGGGGCACGGTGTGTGATGACAGCTGGGACCTGACAGATGCCAGGGTGGCATGCCAGCAGCTCGGCTGTGGTGAGGCCTTGTCAGCCCCAGCTCAGAGCTACTTTGAAGGGGGCACTGGCCACATCATGCTGGATGACGTGCAGTGCATAGGGAATGAAGCCAAGGTGTGGCAATGCACACACAATGGATGGTTCTCCCACAACTGTGGGCACCACGAGGATGCCAGTGCTATCTGCTCAGGTGAGCCTTCATGGGACAGAGCACACTTCAGAGAGGGAGTCTCACCCACCAGCAGCCTCTGGGAAGGAAGAAGTCAACACCTGCAGGCAATTACTCAGAAAGGAGCCCTGGACTTTAAGCCGTCTTTTTAAATCAATTTGCTTAAGAGTTAGTTTTCTTCCTCTAAAATTGCTGTGCCTGTAAAATGTTCAAAGACCCACCTTAAAAGGTTAAGTAGGTGGTTTGTATCATCAGACATCCCATTCTTGGATAGACATGCCATGTGTTGGTAACAAGCCACTCTCTCCTGAATAGGAATAGTAGCTGGTGTCCAAAGCGTGCTTGACATGTGCCAGGCTCTCTGCTGAAACCAGTGCGTTCATATTCTCATTCATACTAATAAATACTAATACTAATGCATACTAATAAAGTAGAGACTATTAGCATCCTCATTTTATTGATGAGACAACAAAGGCATATCCAAGATCACACACAGGTCCGTACTCTGTAAGTATTGCCTACCAGGTGCTGTGCCAAAGACTGAGCTCGGCTCTGTTACTAAAGCTCCTTCAGCCCCATCACTGACCAAAAGTAAATAAATACCACCTTTTCAGTTTCAGCACTTGCGGCAACTAGATGAGCCATCACGAGACTGAGAAGCAGAGTGTGCTCCCTCACCCAGTGGGCTGCCATAGGCTAACAGTCTTTAACCAATATTGACTGGTTTTACTACTACAATCCTAGCTGCCGAGAATAGAATGTATTTAATCCTAAAAAAAAGGAACCTGATTTTTTTTTTTTATGAATTATGTGACTGCCTTACTCAATCCGTCTCTCATTATCTCTTGTGTCTTTGTGTAGGTATCGATGGCAATCCAAAACTAAGACCAACAGGTATTGCTCTTCCATACTTTTCAACTTGTTGCCAGGTCCCTGATGTATGTGAATCCTTTATCCTGAATTTGGGGCACAGTTGACAGCATAAATTCTCAGTTGCTAATTAACAAGAGCAATGCAGCTCATTAGTGTTGATAAAATGGTGGGGCTGGGGCAGCAGAGGGTGGGGAGAGAGGTGGGAGAGAGTTAGGAGAGAACGAGAGTTCAAACTCACCAGAAATGCATCTCTGGGCCACTGGGGTTCTCTGAGTCAGTATCTGCTGTGAACAGAGGGTTGATTGCTTGCAGTAATGATCATGCAGTAGATGCTGGGGGGAGCAAGGAAAGAGAAACCCCGGGGGCAGCATCTTCTCTGTTCCCCGGGGCACAGAGAAATCACAGCTGTGAGTGTCAATATTTTCAAGTACTTTAAAGGAGCATTCTGGATCAAAGTCCTTGCTCACGGTATCATTTTTTCTCCATGTGTTTTCACAGACCCGCCTGGTGACAGCCCCCCTAAAGGTACTTCAGCTTTATTGAAACCCTTCGCATGGTTTGATATTTACTCAGTTTTCAGTTTTAGCACTTCCAGCAACTAGATGAATGCTCTTTCTTCCTTTTACACGTGAAAAGCCCCAGCACAGAGGTGCCTTTAACAAATTCCACACCAGATCCAATATTTCAGCCATTAAGGGGATGCTTTAAGTAATCTTGGTCTTGATTTCAGCCAGGGTCTGTGGATAATAAAACGGAGGAAATTCTAGTCCATGCTGTTTTGTCGCATCGCTGCATTGTCTTCACATCCCTGTCATTAAAACGTGTGCTCACACCTATCTGTGCACATGGGTTCATAAAGCCCTGGTATGTCACCATCATTTCCCTTCACAATAACCCCATAAGCTTGATAGGCACATGTAACGATCTTGTCTGGTAATGAACAGAATTGGAAACTCAGAGGAGTCTCCAAAGCTGACTTTGTCAGTTACCAGCCAAAGCAGCCCCAGAACAAGGTCTTCCTTCTGCCCTCACTCCATCCCCTCTTGACCCTTCCAAAAACACCAGCAGAGGCCAATGCACCCTTCTCATGGGGTTTCTTCACTGTTTCTTGCAGATGAAAATTTCCACTGTGGTGGTTTGCTCACAAATAATTCAGGCTCCTTCTCCAGTCCTTGGTACCCTAAAAAATACCCCACAAATGTGGTGTGTGCCTGGGACATACAAGTGGATATCAGGGCTCATGTCAAACTTACATTTGCAGTGGTGAAGTAAGTAAATACTGCCTACATTTACTATCCTCTTCACTTGATTATAGACACCAGGAATACTGCCTGCTCCCTCACCTCCATGAAAAGAAAAACACCCAACTTCCATATTTAATTCTCAAAAGTGATTTTTCTTCAAAAGTAGTATTGATCAAAATTTTAAATACATGGATTTTTTACCCCAGCAATTCCAGTTCTGGGAATTTAATCCACAGATAAAGGCTCCTGTGCACCGAGGGCAATCAGGGCAGCATTCTTATAGTAGCAATAGGTTGGAAATAATCTAGCTGCCCATCAGTGTGGGATCAGATATGCAGATTTTGGTACAGTCATATATTGTTGTCCCACATCTAGGGTGTATTGTTATGGAATGATCTACAAGAAAACCATGGACAGTAGTAGAGTCACTGCCATTTGTGCGTAGACCATCCCCGGAAAGGAGCAGTTCATTGTAGCTGCTTCTGGGAAGGGGAATGAAGTGAGGGGCACTAGTCAGGCGTGGGAGAAAAATTTTACTTTTCACCAAATACTTGCCAGTACCACTTAAATTGTATTCCTTGTACTTATAATACATATTCAAAAAGTACAATTGAATGAAAATTTTAAAAATTAAAAGATTTTTAGAAACAGGATACATACTGCCTGTGTCAACGGGGTGATCATTTCCTCTGACCTGTGTGAAGAGATGTAGGTTTCAGACAGCTTTTCCAGAACCCTTCCTGAACCCATCTGGGCAGTGCTCACTGGGAAAAAGCCCCAGGGGATTGAGTCTGAATGATATCCTCACTTCACAGGATGGAAAATTTCTATGGCTGTCCGTACGACTTCATTGAAATCTTTGATGGGTCACAAAGTGAATCTTCTTCTCTGGGAAGGTTCTGTTCTGGTGCAATGCCAATATTTACCTCCTCCTCAAATCGCTTAACGGTGGTCTTCCACAGCGACGCTATCATCACCAACATCGGCTTTCATGCATCCTATGAGTCTCTCATGCAAGACGAGAACGGCACTGGTAGGTCCTTTGGTCATTTTAGCCCCTGTCTCTGCTTGGTATTGAGGGCGAGGTTGGATGGCCCACTCCATGCCTGGACACTAGGGACTTGAAAGTGGTTCCCCCCTCCTCAGTTTACCCCCAAGATCTGACTGGAGAAAGTGGTCAGATGTGGAGTCACGCGTGCACATGCATCTTCTCATATTAGCGCACATCACATGCTCTGGGAAAGGGTTAGCTGATGCTCTCTTTGAGCCTGTTTCATTCAAAACGCATGCGTAGTGTCTTTTCATCTGCCTGGAGAACGCTGTTCCCCACCAAGAGCAGCAGTATCCAGTGTTCACGTGCTTGGGGCTTCCCACTCCACACAGGGCTTTCAGGGGCCTCCTTTGGCCTCTGTCAAGTAGACAGTCCTTTCCAGGGAAAAAGCTTTAAAAAACACCCCCTGAAAATCACACTGACGTGAGAGATCAAACCCAAAGTCCCTTTGCAGTCACTTTAACCCACAGTAGTTCCCTCCCTCGTGGGAGAGTGGAGCTTTGAGAGCTGGTCGGCTCAGAAGAGATGCCCAGGTCTTCCGCGACAGCTGCAGAAAAGGGGTCGCCCCCAGCGCAGTGAGTCGGGCATGTCTGTGTTTCCCAGATGTGGCGCTCAGGCTGACCAACGGCAGCCACCGGTGTGAGGGCCGCGTGGAGCTGCACTACAACGGCAGCTGGGGGACCGTGTGTGACGACAGCTGGGACCTGCACGATGCCCAGGTGGTGTGCAGGCAGCTGGCCTGTGGCAGGGCTGTGTCGGCCCCCGGGCAGGCACATTTCAACCGAGGCCTGGGCCCCATTGCTCTGGATGATGTGGAGTGTGTGGGGACTGAAGTCAGACTGTGGCAATGCCTGCACAGTGGCTGGTTCTCCCACAACTGTGGCCACCACGAAGATGCCGGTGTCATCTGCTCAGGTGGGCCTGATGCTGAGGCAGCAGGTGGGTGAAATGACATTCTAGCTCTGAGTCTTCTGCAGTAGGGAAGTTCTGGACAGGCCATGTGTCACTGTTTTCCAAGCTTCAGCCTTCAGATGGCCCTGCACCATCCCTGTCATACCCACCTACCACCCACCTACCACCCACCTACCAACCACCTACCACCCACCTACCACTCACCTACTACCTACCACCCACCTACCACTCACCTACTACCTACCACCCACCTACCACCACCTACTACCCACATTATAATTTTAATCCTTTCCTTTACATTGACTCTCTTTTCTCACTTAAATGAACTCATTTTACAAGGAAACTTTCCATCACCACCATAAATGGAGAGCCAGGATCACTTGCCATAAATAGGCAGTAGATAAAAGTAAACACGCAATATCACAAGGTTAAAATGTTTAAAAATTAAAATATATGGTGAACTGTCTAATGAATTCATGCCCATGCATATCTGAAAATATTCTTAATCAGAATGGAACTAAATGTAAATTTTTAAATTTCAATGCAATAAATATGTAACCCTTAAAATAGAAGTTGCACCATGGCAAATTCTCTCACACCCCACCAGTGATGAGTCATGCCTTTGGGAACTATCTTTTTGGTTCAACCCCCTCGTTTCACAGGTAACACAGAGATCTTGCTGAAAGTCACAGAGTTGGGAGCACAGGTGCTAGCCCAAGGCTCCTATTCCTCAGCATTATCCCTGCTGAGTTTCTGCAAACAAATTCAGTAGTTGGAGTCAAAGCCCCCATTTATCTCTCCATCCGTCTAGGTTTGGCTGGAAAGAGGCAAACTGGCTTATCAGCTAGACATGGCAGCAATGACCTGAGATAGGATGAAAGGGAAGGCAGGGGTGGAGGTACTGGAAGGTTCTGAGAGAAGAGGAGAGAAGTCAAGGGGCAGAATCAATGTTCTGAGCAAATCAGGAGTGAAGCCACATGCCTAGTGTGACATCAGAGGATAGGGCCGGGGGCCTAAAGAGCAGGGGGGTTTGGAACCAGGGCCCTGGCCAGAGCTGTGGCGGGGGTGGGTCAGAGGTGACAGGGAAGGTCACAAAGCAGCAGCTCAGGGTTCTCTGTCATCCAGCCTTTCGGCTCCCTCCTGCTGCTGAAGTTGCAGGTGTATGTCCTTGAGATAAATGCGGTTCTGCCCTTTACAACCTGACAGTTACTCTGGGAGGCAACACCCACACACCCAGGAAGAATTACAAAACCAACCCAACTGGCAAGATAGGTGCTGCACACGAGCAGACCATCACTGTGGCCACAGTTTGCCCAAAAAGCACAAAATGACATTGCAGTGTCTGTCAGCAGGACAGAAATGAACCCGGAGACCCAGGACATCTGGAGCTTGTAACCATGGCAACTCAGGGCCATCTCAGATGCCCAGAGTAGGTGTAGTTTCTCCCCAAAACAAGACATGCACTTTTCTGTTTCAAATAAGCAAGTGGACCCCTTGGGTTTAAGAAGAATGAAGGGACGTGACGTACCCTCACCTTTTGACTTGCGTTTCTCGTAGCCTCCCTGCCTTACTCAACACCGTCCGCTGCTGTGAGTCACCCAGCTTCAGGTAACTTCAGTTGTTCTTAATTGATTAACTGTCACTTGCCTCGGCAAAGTCACCTTGGACAGTAGGATAGTGGTTTAGGAGTCAAATGTCCTGGATTCATCACTTACCAGCTGTGGGGCCTTGAAGAAATCCCCAAAACACTTCATGCCTCCATTTCCTCCTCTGGACAAGGATGAGGAGGAGGACAGCAGCATTTGTCTCCTAAGGCCGCAGTGGGATTCAGTGGCTCTCCGTGCGGAGGAGCTGGGGCAGTGCTTGCCATGTAGGGCACGCTATTTACGTGTCAGCCGTCGTTTTCTCGCTGCACCTGTTCCGAGCACTGCAGAGATGCATCTCTGTGTGCTGCTTTCTGCCCAACAGAACTGTAAAGAATGAAGGAGCTGAAAGCATGTCTTGCTAGCCTTTCTCTGCCTTTGTGATCGGCCCAATAGTTGTCACATTTCAAATCAGGTCAGCTGCTTTCCCATGCAGTGTCTTTAAGACTAAAATACAACACTCATGGAGGAGTTGGAAAAGAAAGGCCCCAAACCTTCAAAGGAAGCACCAGAGTGAGTTATACTGAACAGCAGTGATGCCCAAGAATGCTTTCTTGACTTTAAACTATATCTGTTTACAACAAAATCTAGCAACCACCGTGCTTCGATTTTCTTGAGCCTGTATCAGCTGGCTCTTGTGCCCTGCGCACGCACCAGATGGGTGATGGAAGGAGTAACCCCCACTGGGAAAGGGAGTCAATTTAGAATCTGAAACTGTAGATAATCCACAAGGTGGAGAGCCCACCGACAGGTAACTCGGAGTTAAATGTTTTTGACATTTAAGACATTTTTCTGTCTGTCCTTAGCATCGTTTCCAGAGCCCACAAAGCTGCCCACATCAACAGGTAATCTTTTCTTCTCTCTTCAATTGCCTTCCTTTCACAGAGTTTTAGCTCAGAAAAGTTCCAGCCTTATTGTGGGAGGAAGTGTCCCTGTGGAAACACACCCCTCCGCAGGCTCAGGCTAGCCATCCGAAAGCCTGTGGCTGGAGAAAGGGCCATAATGTCCAGGTTCACCTGGAAAATCTGTGGTTGGAAAGTGAGAAGAAAGAAGCTGTGAGATGCAAGAATGGCTTTTGGGGACGAGTTTGGAAGCTGGCACTTAGGAATGCTGAGGGTAGCCTTTGAGCCCAAATCTCCACCCCTTCCCACTGTGAGCTCACCCTGGCTGTGTTCAGAGCATATCCTCTACTCCCTTTCGTAACACTGCCCTTTGAGCATGGGGGTCAGCCTGTAATGACTGCTCTTTACACTCCCCAGAGCATCTTCACATATGCGGTTGCACCTGATCCTGGGAACAACATAGACGGGAATTATCATTGTTGTCACTGGAGCAAGGTGTGCAAAGGCACACAGAGAATCTTACACACACATGCACACACACACACCCTCCAGTTAGTGTGTGCATGACAGCTTCTCATGAAAATTCAACAAACCCCGTGCATGCCAGAAACCAAGACTTCACAACACGTAGTGAAAGAGAAGGAGGCAGCTATGCAGTGATGCAGGTGTCTGGGCCAGCTGGCTAAGGAGCACAATCGTTCCTTAACCAATTATACCCACAAAAAAACCACTGAATAATACCCAAGGCAAAAATAAATGAAATGAATGACACAAAGTGAAAGGAAGGGGTAGATTTCTTATTACCGATTATCAGTGCACAATTTCCAGGAAATACTGGCTCTTCTGGTGGCCTTTCTGGATGAACCTTGATGGAGGTCATTGTTTAGAATGTCCACCAAGGTCTGGGCCTGCAGCTGGTGAATGGGTCAAACAGGTGTGCGGACTGAGTGGAAGTCTACCACACCCACACCTGGGGCACGGTGTGTGATGACACCAGGCCATAGAAGATGCCCACAGGGTCTGTAGGCAGCTTGGCTGTGGCCTGGCTGTGTCTGCCCTCCCAGGGGACAGCTTCAGCCCTGGGTCAGGCAGCCTCATCCTGGACGATGTCAACTCACCTGGAAGCCAGTCCTCCCTGGGGCAGTGTCTTCATGGCAGCTGGTTCACCCACAACTGTGTGCACACAGGGACGCTGGTGTCATCTGCTCAGTGAGCTCAGGTGTCTTCTGGGCCACTCATGGAGCTCCCCAGGCCAAACCTGGAATTTACAGAGAGAGTCTGGAAATATATCTGTGCCTTAAACCTCCCCCCATGTCTGGAACAGCAAATTTCTGTTCTAACTCCGAAAAATATGCTAGCTGTTTAATATATGGGAGGGCGCCATTCATCTTGAATGTCCACAAAGGTAAATTAATTGTAAAATAAAGGAAATAAAGGTGCTTTTCTCACGAAGTTGTTGGGAGAATTAAATGAGACATTCCAAATAGAGCACTTAGTCAAGCATATAACACTCCATAAACACACAAAAATGTTAGCTATTTTGTTGTTTGTGGTGGTATTTTAGTTACTAAGGCAAATTCTGTCAGAATCACTACCTCAAAGTTTTAGCCAGGTGATACAATCCACACCCAGCTGTAAAAACCCAGAGGGGACAGTCCTAGATGCTTAAGAACAGTTGTTTACCAGCATTGTTGAGTCCCATTTAAACTGAGACAATGACCTTTGAGCCACCCCAGCATCCTGCTTTCTATTATTAAACCGCTCTCATGTTTCCTCCATCTTTGCAGATTCTGCAGCCGCTGTACATCCAGGAGTCTGTGAGTTCACATCCACTTTATCCGGGTATTGGTGACCAGCCATCTAGTGCAGGGGTCCCATGCTGGGTCTCCCTTTCCAGCCTTAACTTTCCTTGACGATGTTCTGAGTTCAGACCTTTCCACCCTCCCAGAAGACCCAGAGAATTTCCCATTCCCATGAGGCCCGGCTCTGCACCCAGAGGAGCAGCTGCTCTGGGTGTTCACAGGCCGATGTGTCATCCCTCCTGCACGTGAGATCTGCATTTCAGCAGGCCTCGGAGACACCAGTTCTTGACCCACAGTGATGGTTCATGCAACAGAGGCCGTAGCAGGCCAGAGAGGGTGGGAGGTTCTGGGGGCAGGTGGGCCTTGTGGCGGGAGATACTCTTCTGCCTGCAGCCCACCTGGGACTCAAGATGCTGCAGCTGAGCTCTGTGGTTCTGACAAGGTGCCCCAGGCCTGTGGGGCCTTATCTTCACACTCCCGACATCAATTTTTTTTCTTTTACTTTCTTATTCTTAATCAGAATAATGTGTACACATTTATGAGCTGCCGTCACATTTTAAAGGATAAGTATTTGATAGAGATTGAGTGGGGTTGTTTAAAAGCAAACTCCTGCATGTGACTGAGATGGTTTTTGAGAGGAGTATGAAATTTCATTGTACTTGTTTGCAGTGTACTTATGAGTACTTTTTTTTCTTACATGTATAGTTTCTTCAGCTCTGGGGAAACAGCCACATGTTTTCCATCCAATAGGTACTTTTTCCGGTTCTTATATTTTGTAACTATTTTTCTTAGGCTGGGTTCCCCACATCTGTGGCCAACAGAAATGTAGCCAATATTATTTTCATGGTCCTGGCGCTGTATAGAATAAGAGTTGTGCTCATTAGAGTCAAGCAGGTGATGTGGTGGATTCTCCTCACGTAGGGACCTTTTCAAGAAGAGCCAGGTCACCCACCCACCCTCAGTAGCATCATTGCAAGGCCTGTATTGAGGTCCTGATGCACAGAGCGCTCTTGTGGGCCCTTCTCAAAGGAGACCCCCTGAATCAGCCCCAATCTCTGAGACTCAGAAGCCAAGAATTGACTTCATCTTCTTTTGGTTCAGAGGTCGCTCTGACTTGGCCAATTCCTTCCCCTCTTGCAGCAGCGACGCCATCTCTTCTGCTCGCTTTTCCAGCCCCCAACCACCTCCACCACCCCCAATAAATGCATTACAATTTTCAATTCAAGGAAAGTTAAATTAATTCTATCCTGAGAATTTTATAGTATTCTTGGAAAGAGTTGGGTTAAAAATGCAAAGTCTAAACTCCAAGCATTCAGCTGAATTGTTTTGAATTTTTAGAGCAATGATATGAGAAATGACACCTAAAAAAGAATGAAAGCAGAAAGTTGTTTTTAAGTGTCTTTTCTACAAAGCCAGCTCGCAGCACGTATCCCCATAAAGAGACTGCCTAGTTTTAGGAAAAACATTGTAGAGTTTGTGCTAAATTTCAGATACACAAAGCAATCCTCTCATTTCCTCTGCATCTATAATTTCCCAGGGGATGTATGCTGCTTGAATGGTAAACTGCAAACTAGGGTAGAGGCCTCTGACTGGAACGCTGTCTTGTTCGAGAATCGAGGGAACCTTCTAAGCCATCTTGGCTCTTGGCTCTTGCAGATCTGCCCATGGTGAGGCTGGTTGATGGGAGGAGCAGGTGTGAAGGCCGCGTGGAGATCCACCACAACGGCACCTGGGGGACTGTTTGCGATGACCTCTGGGACCTGCCTGCCGCCCACGTGGTGTGCCAGCAGCTGGGCTGTGGGGTGGCCCTGATGGCCCCAGGGAGCAGCCTGTTTGGTGACAGCTCTGGCCCCATCTTCCTGGATGATGTGCAGTGCACAGGCAGTGAGACCAGCCTGGGGCGGTGCCACCACCGGGGCCTGTCTGTCCACAACTGTGGGCACCACGAGGATGCCGGGGTCGTCTGCTCGGGTACACAAATTCTCCCAAGGCTGGGTTTCCCCCACAAGCAGCAGAGCCATAGCTGCCAGGCAGGTCAACCCTGAAAGGCTTGGGGTTCCAGGTCAGGTGAACAACTTGTCCTAGTTTGCCTGAAATTTCCCAGTTTTAGCCTGAAAGTCCCTGTCTCAGGAACCCCTCAGATCCAGACAACCCAGGGTGTTGATCACACAGGTGTCAAGTGTGCCAATGTCACAGCTTGGCCCTAAGAAGGGAAGAGATCCTATGGGCAAAATCATACATAGGAAGCAGGAAGTCGTGTCCCTGCTCTGGGACGATTTTTAATTTCCAGGAATGATTTTTCTCTGTGTGTCAATCTCATCAGTTTCTCATGAAGCTATTTCTCAGGGAGTTCTATATATGAATACCCTCCTGATTTGTTGATTGCCATAGTTGGGTCTTTCTTGTCATTAGGGGCAATTTTTATGCAACTGTTCAAAAAGCTGAATGAACATTTAAGAACTCTGTTTTGTTACCTTTTGTTACTAAATGATGTACTCAGTAAACATCTGCAACCCCCACCCCACTGGCAAGTCTCTCCACAGCCCAGAGCCACGCCCTCCCTCTCAGTGGGTGGGGTGGAGATGAAGTTCCTGTGGGATGAAGATGAAGACGGGGTGAGGACATTTCTATCCCACTCTATTGTTCGATAGTCTTTTAATCTGAAGGGTGAGTGTTTGGACAACTCTGAATTAAAATGGCATCAAACCCTCATCTGTCCTATTTTGTAGCCTCAGATCTCCTGAGTGGGTGTTGGTGGCTTCTCCCTGGAAAAGCTCAGATAGATGCTTCCAATTAGCGTCAATAAGCCAGGGTCTCACCTAGACAAGGGAAAGGTAGGTCAGAGATGCTACCTAGTTTGGGCTCAGTCTTTAGGAAAGCTGATCTGCCTCTGACGGTGCTGCATTTCCAAGAATGTCCTGAACCACCATGCTGCCACAAATGTAGATTCATGTGCCCACTCAGCTTGTGCCCCATGAGCGTTTTGTAAGTGTTCACCTCCACTAACATGAACACCTTGGCTTTTCTCTTTTAGGTCCTGAAGCTGCCCCAGCATCAGCTCCTACAGTTGGTAATCCTCTTATTGTTTCTTTCATAGCTTCCTGGTCACTGAATCTCTCTAGTGGATTCTCTGGTTGCAGCCAGTAATGTCAGTCCCCATCCAGATTCATGCCTCACCCAGGGCTGAAAAAACACAGGGCTGATATGGAGCGAGAGGTTACCAGCAGAGCTGGCCGCTTGTCTAGTTTCTGCTTCTCTAAAACTTTTTTAACTTTGAATCTGGGCCAAGGAACAAGTTTGGACTAAAGAAAATAATGGAAAGTTGAGTTTGATGTAATCCCATGCTGTTAGTTAGCCATTTGATGACTCAGCTCCAAAATAGATTTTTACCCTTATCCTTGCAATGATCATATTTCAAATCCAAAGATGGGAATGATGGAACGGAATATTTGAAACCAGAAATAGCCTGGAAAAGCCAGTCACTGCCTTTGTGAGCACTAATTTGACTCATCCCTAAGGGACTTTGAAAAAGGAAGCAAGATTTTCTAGAGCACTAGAATTCAGGCTTTCTTATAGTAAAAACTAAAGACAAGCCCCATTAGAAATTACTTGCAAGAAGAGCTGATCACATTCCAATAATAACCCCTGAGTTTTCCCCAGACTTGCCTGTCATCAGGTTGGTGGACGGGAGGAGCCGTTGTGAAGGGCGCATTGAAGTATACCACAACGGCATGTGGGGGACGGTGTGTGACGACCTCTGGGACATCAACGCTGCCCACGTGGTGTGCCGGCTGCTGGACTGCGGAGAGGGCATCGGCGCCCTGGGGAATGGCCACTTTGGGGAGGGTGTGGGGAGCATCCTCCTGGACAATGTGCAGTGCCAGGGCAACGAGACCACGCTAGGCCACTGCCAGCATCTAGGCTTGTTCATGCACAACTGTGGCCACCGTGAGGACGCCGGGGTCATTTGCTCAGGTACTCACTCTTTGTTTCTCCAGAGGCTGCCAGAGCCCCTCTTGGTGGGGGGACCTGGAAATGCACATAAGGAAGCTTGGGTCCTGTTCAGGTCCTCCAAACACATGCTCAGGTCTGTTCTCAGGATTGGTTCCGGGAGGCCTCTCGGTCTTTCTTAGCCTCTCTTAATTTCCTGATCTACCCAAGACTTGAGCCAACATCCATGAGTTCACTTTAGAGCCCTCAGTCTCTGCCAGCTTCAAGGAACTACTGGATCCCCTCTGTTATCCACCTACTGGGGTAAACTGCACTTTCGAGACTTTCACTTAAAATTTTCTGTTTTGAGCTTTAAAGCTGACTTTGTTGCACTGCTTTGGGAATTCCATGAACAAAACCCGGCTCGTCTCATCTACACCCTTGGTGAAAGCTTCAACACCATTTCCTTTTGGCCTCGACGGTTTAAGATAGTTTCCCTTTCTTCTTTTCTTAATTCATCCCATTTATGCATTATCTAAGGCTGCCAGAAAAGTAGAACAGAAAAGGAAATCAGATGAAATGAAAATGTCCACTGCCCAGCTTATCTTAACTTTATGGAACAAAAACTAGGATCATAGGATTTAGTTAACCCATCCATTTGTTTGACAGATATTTATTGAGCACTTTAGGTGCACCAGACAATTCTAGCGAAGATGTAGTAATGAGCACAAGAGACCACAATCCTGCCCTCGTGAGGCTTACATTCCAGGGCAAGTGTTCAGGATCATCTGAGTTTCAACCCTGATAGATCATTAGCAAAAGTAAATGAACGTTGAGTTAGGAATCAGAATATGCTTTATCATGTTAAGGAACCACTGTCGTTTAACATTCGGACAATTTAGTGCTGGGTTACAAACTAGTTTGGTGAGGGTGAGAAATCAATGGTACAAACCTAAAGTCTGGATTAGGAAAATTTTTGGTATTTTAATTCTCTAGGAAATATTTCCTCTTCGTTGCATCTGTGAAACAGGCTTTCCGACCCATCTGGGGAGATTATACTGTTCTCACAACCAGTGAACATTTCTCACCTCCTGCCTTCGTGCTTCCCTGTCTCTATTTCAGTCTCATCCAAGAAATATTTCTTATTTTGAATTTCACATTTCAGAAGTCATTTTGCATCTAACTTTAGTATATCTGGGGTATAAAATTTTTTAATAAAAATGTATTTTCTAAATTTCCCATTTGTGGGTAGGATTTTTATTTTAATTTTATCTTATTTCTGTTTCAATTTTGTTTTACAATTTCAGCATCAGCCACAGAAATGACCACTTTACCTGGTAATGTTATTTTCTTTCTTGCTTTGTGACTCATCTATGTATTGCCTTGCATACAGTTAGGGTTGAATATATTCCTTGAATGAAATGGTAAATTGAACAGACAGTAATTGCACACCTTCCGTACTTAGGACACTGTATGTCCAGTTTGCTCCTTCCCTCCTGGGTGCAACAGCAGGTCTCTGAAATCAAGTTATAGTCACACGAGCTTAATTCATATTCTCATCAGGGTTCACACATTTGGGTATTCAGTGAGTTAATATTTTGTAACAGTCACAGAACTTCAGGTATCTCAAGCAAAACTCTTTCACTAATCTGCATTTTCAGAAACTAGTAGAGTACACATCTCCCACGTGTGTTTCACAGTGGAGTTCTCCACTCCATTGATAAGCAAATGTTAAAAAAGAATTTGTGTGGCCAAATAAGTTGGGGAAATACCATATCCATCTCTTGAAGTTTCATGGTCTTTTAGCACATTAAAGTCTCTGACAAGTCCTGCAGTAAGGGATCTTTTGTTAACTTGGCTTAACCCAATGTTTCTCAAACTTCCTTGACCATTGAAACCTTCTCAGTGAAAATGTAGCGTCACAGGATTTAGAGCCAGAGAACCTGGGATTATGTTCTGGCTCCAGACTTAACCAATAGGGTGATAACGGGCAAGTCCCCTTTCTTCTCAGAGCCTCGGTTTCCTCATCTGTAGAACAGGAGGATGAAAATAGTCGCCTGAGAGTTTGTCCTGGGGACTGAGTGGCACACACTTGTGCAAGCACAAAGTGATGGCAGCTTGGTAGCCACATTCCTGAGGGACGCATGTGCTGCCACCTGCCCAGACCTGCCTGGCTCTGTAATGTAAGCAACTCACATGTCCTTTGTGCACTTCCCTCTCCTGGACACTCTGGAGATCATCTTAGGACTTGAGTTGGTCAACATATGGCTAAGTAAGTCGGAGAAATACTATCTTAACTCAATTCAAGTCGACTCGACTCAAGTTTTCTCTGAACTGGAAACAGTTATGAAAGTAGCCCATGGTCCATATTTCCAAAATCTCAGAGCCCTCCACCAGGCTTAGTAGAAACTGACCTCTAAGGAAAAGGAGACAATGAAACAAACTTCCCTCTTTGTGATTGGATCTGTGAGAATCAGCCTCCAGCTCTTTTAGGAAAGGACGAGTTTGATATGGCACCATCCAGTGTAACATTTTTCCAAGAGTTGGAAAAAACCTTAGAGATTGTTCTAGACATGAAGACACAAGCGGGCAGCCCATGGGCCAGTTTTGACCCATGGATGGGTTTTGATTCAGACAAGAGAGTTTTGCCTAGGTGACGTTCAATTTTTTTTTTAATTTCACATTTTGAAAATGAGAGATTTCATATAAAAGTCCGGATTTCAAGTTTTGATGGAAAAACCAAAGGATGGGAAATACTAGCATGAATTTTGGCAGGGCACCAACTGTCTAGAGTTGATCAGGGAAGGGCTCCCCTTTATTTGGGCATGTACTGTCTGGTTTCCTCGTGGCCCATGCGAACTAGTTCTGGGCCTGGAGGCATCTCCATTTGGCTGCTTGGTGCTTCTCAAACTTTAATGTGTGTATAAGTCACCTGGAGATCTTGTTAAAATGCAGGTTCTGATTCAGGAAGTCTGGGGTGGGTCCTGAGAGTCTCATTTCTAACAAAGTGGTGCAGATGCTGCTGGTCCACGGACTGCCCTTCAGATGCAGCAGCTGAAGCTCAGAGATGCAAAGGGACTTGTCCAAGCTCACATGCTTGGTTACCCAAAGAGCAGAGTCTAGAACCCGGGTCTCTTGGGTCCCAGACCCATGTACCAACTTCCCCATTATTTGTTCTCTTAGCTTAATGAAACACAGAACAAGAAATCAAATAGGAACAGAACATAATCAAATATGAACATGGCTGGGGCATAATTTGAAAACAGTGATTTTTTAAAAACTTCTTTACCAACAAACTTGATTGACATGAATGGTATTTAATTACAATTTTCTTTAATTTGTAGGAACTGTTTGACAGTTCCTACCTCAGTTTCAGCCACAGAGTTGGTTCTTACACCCGATTACAAGTTTTCTCTTGATTTGTCCTCTTCGTACCTATCTAAGGGGTATTGCTGTGTTGAAGTCCTACCTAGATAGTACAATTTTACTGTTTGTCCAGGAGTCACTTGGCTGAATTAATCCCTTGGAAAATTGACTAGAAGCCAGCAATAGATGAGGAGGGCCTCTACGCAGCCAAGTTGAGGTCCCAACATTCAAGCCCAAGTAAAGCATTGAATACACACGGGCGTGGTCCACCGAGCCTGTTGTTCTTACTTTCTATGCACTCATAACAATTGGCCATCTAGTCTCCCTACTGACTGTGTATTATGAGAGACTACAGATTGGGGAGGGGGTGAGGAACTGGGAGGGGGAGACCTCATACAAGAGCCACATATACAATGGCAGGAAATGCTAACAGATAGTCTGACAGCCGCAGAAGTGTTCAGAAACCCATTAAATGTCACCACACTTTCTAAATGTGGTGACATGGAGCAAAAATGCCCACTGACCTCGATATCCTTTGAGACCCCTCTCTATGACAACCCTGAACAAAAACGTTTTTTTCCTAATGAGCCTGAATCATGGAGGTTAAAATATTATCAATAGCTTTTGTTTAAAAGGACAGGGAAGTGTTTCATTTCAAGAAAGTTTTAATTTATAACATTCACACGTTTTTAATTTGGGTACTTTACCTTTTACTCAGGAGGGTGGGAAATAACTAGTCCTCACACTTGAATTTTCCAACAACGAAGCCTGATAGATGAGATCATAGGAAAGGCAGAACTGTGTATAATCAGAAAATAAATACTGACTGTCCTGTTTATGTCATATTCAGGCATGATTTCCACTTTGGCAGAAGTGACTCCTTCACCCGGTAATGCCCTCTGCTGACTGCAAATGTAGGCAAATGGGACAACAAGATCACCTCTGTCATGCCACCAGGGCCAAGACTAGACAGCTTTGGGGATGGTGTGCTGTCAGATTGTCATTGTCCATGAGCAGAGCACCTAGTCTGGGCCAGACCTCGTGCCAAGCAGGAGGTAGTTTGGGGGCAGTGAGGAAGATAGAGAGGGGATCTCCCTGGCCAGGTCGGACCACCTGTCGTAGGTTCTCGTAGCATCACACATCTCTCCTTCATTGTTCTTGTCACAACTGCAGTTTTACAGAGCAGGAACCATATCTGATTTGTTGGTTGTTTTGCTCTAGCATCTAGCACCGCGCCTGCCACAGAGTAGATGAATGAATCAAGATTTGATTAAGTAAAGGAAGTCTATGGTTTCTACGCCCCAGGAACAGAGAAAAGAAAACAAGTTAACTATAAGACAATTATTTTTGCCATTTGTCAGGTTTTGACCAATTGCCTTTTCTTATTTCCAGAATCTTTGAGTATTGCTGTAGCCACTTCAACAGGTAATTTTGATGTTATTTTGGGTTCCATTCATCTTGCTTGCTATAAATGTTTTTATTTGATTTTTCAATGAGCTCATTAAACAACTATTTATGCCCTGAGCAAATGTTTAGATTGTTTAGAGTTTTTAAGTATGCTTGTATTGACCTGACTCACAAAAGCAACCTCTAGGTCCCCTGATGGTGAGTGAATTCTAGGCAACCCAGCTAAATGCATGGGCCAAAGGCAAAATTAGTTCAGCCAGTTCAGCCAAACATAAGCAATGAGTCATTCACTGGACTGACTGACAGTCTAACCATCCATGGGGAGAGTTTCTCCTGGAGACCAACCACCATGTGGGTGCTGCCAGAATGGTGGAGTGTCAAGCTATGGCTTTTACTGACCCTCCCTGACATTCAACCAGTATTCAGTGAGGATGGCTCTGTGCTGAGGCGGTAAGGGATGCAGAGTGGATCAAGGTAATACGTAGCTCTCCTCTTGTACCATAGATTTTGAGTGACGCTGGTTGGAATTATCCACGGAGTTCCTGATATTACTCAGGTTCAAGAACTCTACAAATAGAGTATTGGAGGTTTATTTTAGGGGAGAGGACAGTAAAGAGGGTGCTCTCCCCTACTCTAGGTGCTGAAGCAATCAAGAAATCAAATATGAGAGTCAACACCAAAATATGGCCTTTATTACTGATAAAGCTAGGTTGGAGGACAATGCTAAGTACAAGAGAAAAATGGACTTGCCATTCTCTCTTTTCCCTCAGTCTAGATCTTGGGACAGCCCACCTAGGGAAAGTTCCAGTCTGCAGAGCTCACCCTTTCCTGGGTCAGCGCCTCCCATCCATTTGAGGAAAGGAGGGAGGGCCAGGGAAAGCATGTCCCCCATTTACAGAATCCTTGTTAGATGGGCCCCATACAGTGGGGAAACTTGGACCAATGAGTGTTGCCCTTTGGCTAGGTAATCTCCACCTCCAAGGGGAGAAGTGAAGGGTGGGCAAGAGGAGTGAAGACCCGAGGAGCAGAAGGGCAGCCTGGAGGCAATGGAGGATCTGGAGATACCCTGCCATAGCCCCAGCTGGGAAAGCAGTAAGACAGGACAAGGCAGTCACCCTGATCTATGATGGCCAGCTTCATGTCTCCTGTGTCTTATAGAAACATGTGTGTCTGATATGGCTGTCTTATTGCTGCCTTGTTATTTTGTTCATCTGCAGCTTCAATCTCAACTGCTGTGACCTCCATACCAGGTAAAACACTGTCTACTGTCCCATTAAGTGCCTCTTCTTGGAGGTCCACTTATCGGTCTAGGCTGTTCCATGAAAATGTTGTCCCCAACACAGCCTCAGTAAAAACAGAAACCCAGGAGTCCTCTGCACTGGTATTGAAGTTTCTTCTTCTCTTTTTCTGTAGATATCTCTCCAACCTCAGCAGAGGCAATCTCTCCATCTGGTAAAGGTTCTCTTATTGTCCTGTTTAAATTAATGAGACCAGCTTCTCACTTGTCATGTTCTATTTAGAAAATGAGCCTACTCCATGACCATTTTGACTACAAAGTAAACCTCAGTAAGAAGACACATGGAAGTGTCCTTTCTCTCATTTTCTCATTTTTAAGTGTCCTATTTTCTTTGCTCATACACAGATGTATCTTCAACCTCAGCAGAAGTGGACACCCCCTCTGGTAATGTTTTCTGCCTGTCACATTTCTTAAGTTAAATATAATCAACTCTCCTTCTTTCTGTTGGACGAATGAACATATGTACTGAATAATTTGTCTATGGTATAAGCCCCAATGTAAACAGAAGTCCTAGCATCCTTTCACAGAATTTAAGGTTCATGTTCTCTTTATTCATCCATAGACACAGGACTGGTCCCTCCACTAGGAACACCTTCTGCGTGTAGCGCTAGTCTTAATCAGATGTGCCCAAGGGAGGTGCGGGCTGGGGGCCCACACTTCCACCTGCTTGGCGCTGTGTGTTACGTTTCAGGTGATGCTTTGACTCATCTAGTACACCCAGTGAACGTGCTAGAGAATTGGGTTGTGCTAGTGTTGGTTCTACCCATTTGCTCTTCCATTTTCTACCACACGGCTATTCAAACCACAACATTCCATTCTCCTTTTAGCTGACATTTGAGTTTGATCCTTCTTTGTTTGCAGATACAATTCTCACTTCAGGTGAAGAGCCTTCTTCACCAGGTATGCTCTCTGCTCCTTGCAGTAATCCCGATTAGCAACTTTCTGAGAAATTCCCGGCCCAGCAAGAATTTACACACCGAGAGTAAACACTTCCTGTTTCCGCAGGAGAGGTCAAGGGAGAAGAGAGGAGAGGAGAGGTCAGGGAGGCCAGCTCAACTCCAGGGAAGCTCCAGGCCACTCCCCCAGGAGTGGCTGTGATTCTGGACACAGTGAAGGCAGATGTGGGCACAGGATAAATAGGATAAAATAGCATCAAATGTCAACCCTGGAGGATACCTTAGATGTGACCTACACCCACAATTCTCAGATATTAGTGTGCAAGCGAACAGCCTGGAGAACTTGCTAAAAAGCAGATTTGGATTCAGGGGCTCCAGGAGGAGCCTGAATTCTGTATTTCCCACAAGCTCCCGCGTGATGACCACGCTGCTAGTCATGGGCCACATTTGAGGAATGAGGCACTAAACCACTGCCCTTGTTTTGTAGGAAAATGAGGCCCAGAGAAAGAGGACAATTGCTTAAGGTCACTGTCTTAGTCAGCTAGGGCTGACATAACAAACTACCAAAGATTGTGTGACTTCAACAACAGAAATTTATTTTCTCACAGTTCTGGAGACTGGAAGTCCAAGATCAAGGTGCCAGTAGGATCAGTGGTGAGGGCTCTTCCCTTGATTTGGAGACGGCCACCTTCTCATTGTGTGCTCACAGGGCCTTTCCTTAGTGTGTGTACACTGGTAAAGAGAGAGAAAGAGAGCGCCCTGGTGTCTCTTCTTATAAGGATACTAATCCTATCGGATCGGAGCCTTCCCTTATGACCTCAGGCCCCATCTCCAAAAACAGTCACACTGGGGGTTAGGGCTTCAATAAGCAAATTTTGAGGGGGCACAATTCAGTCCATAATAGTCACAGAGCTGGAGCAAGGCAAAGTTGGGGCTCTTGGCTCCTGTCCAAGGTCCTTTCTACTCTCAGGCTTTGCTGACGAGTCTACCTGTGTGACTCCTTCAAACCCATCTGACAATGATCTCTTCAGTAACAAGGCCTTTGCTTTCTTCTATTTCATTTATTTTCTTTGTTTTCAAGTCCTGATTATTTTGAAGATGTGTGGGGTCAAACTCAGTGAAACCAAAGTTTAGGACATTCTTTCCACTTACATTTAGTTATTGTTTTCCTCTCTCCCTCCTTCCCTATCTCCCTTCCTCCCTTCATCCCTCATTCCTCACTTCCTTCTTTCCCTGCCCCACCATGACTCCACTTTTGGCAGACGATTTCTTGTCCTGTACTTCCTGTTGGCTCTTGACATTGCACAAGGCAAGCTTTTCTTTGTAGCCCTGGTTGATGGTAACACACATATTGTGTGGCACTCACACATTTTACTTCCTTTAGGAAAGCATGACAACTAAAATCACTTCCTGCCTCTTGGAGTGTGAGGACGGATGTGATGGCCATTAAACCATTATCTTCCCTCCCACTGATCCCTGATTCACTCCATCGAGCCCAGAGTGAATGTGACTCCCACATCTTATGCTCCTGACAAGCAGAGTGGTGCAGAAAGAGTGTATACCTTGGGGGCCTCACAGGTTTGAACTGTGGATACCTGGGCATGTTACACAAGCCCTCCCAGTCTCCGCTTCTCCATCTCTAAAACAGTGATAGTATTTACCTGGCCCAGTTGTAAGGATTAGAGATGTAAATTATATGACACATTGTAGATGCCCAAAATGGGAATTGTTGTTAATCTACCTTGCGAAAAGCCAACTTCTCATTCACAATTTTACCCCTGAATATGTAACTTCACACAATAAATAAGCAGGGTTGATTCTGTTATAGGCAGCTTATGGAACAATCTTGTTTTCGTAAACTTATAGTCTACAGCATAAAATTTCAGTGAAGTCAAATTTTAAGCCTTTCTTTTAACTGGGAAAAACATTTTTTTTTGGCAGCCACAGATCTGATTTCAACAAAAGTGACACCATCACCTGGTAATGATCATATCCTGTTGCCAGATTACAGTAGTTTAATTTTGCAGTAATTTATATAACCATACTCAATCATAAAGGTCGTTGTTACTTTTCCCACTTGCTTCCCTCTATACATTATCTTATGGAATTAGACCTCTCAGGTATGATCTTGCTCTTCTCTAGAAAATATTTCTGAGGAATCTGACTTGATTTTCTTCATTTCATTCTCAGCCCCTGTAAAAATTTTTCCTATAAAATCTAATGCTTTCATATTCTTCCTTTGAAAAATTCAGCATATGTGTAAAGCTTCTTTATTGACCATTTAATAAATTATTTTATTTTTGGAGAATAAACAGGACACAACACCACTTGTTACATTTTGATGCCAAGAAAACAAAACTTAACAAACAGTATTTCTGCACCCAAACCAAAGTAGAAACTTAAACAAAAGCATTAATGTCTAAAATTAGAGAAAACAGAGCTGGCCCCGTGGCCAAGTGGTTAAGTTCGCGCGCTCTGCTTCGGCGGCCCAGGGTTTCGTTGGTTCGGATCCTGAGCACAGACATGGCACTGCTCATCAGGCCACGGTGAGGTGGCATCCCACATGCCACAACTAGAAGGACCCACAACTAAAATATACAACTATGTACTGGGGGGATTTGGGGAGAAAAAGCAGAAAGAAAAAAGAAGATTGGCAACAGTTGTTAGCTCAGGTGCCAATCTTTAAAAAAATAAATAAAATAGAATAAATTAGAGAAAAGGTTTGATTCTTTTTCAGCTTTGAATATAAATATGTGACTTTGAGGGTTCAGATTTTTTAAGCTCAGTTTTTCTTTTTTACAGTTACCATTTCAGTCCGTGAGGAAATGGTCCCTTTACCTGGTAATTTTTCTTTCTAAGCACTAAAATTATCATATTGTTATTAATACTGTTAGGATCATATTTCTTCTTCATTCAAATTCCCTACTGTTTACAGAAAACTTCTAAGAGTTTATAGGTATATATGTGCAGACACAGATGTGTGTGCACACCACACACACCTTTGTGGGTAGGAAGCCTCAAATTCACCTTCCAAGACCTCACTCTGAAGATATTTGCCTTTATTCACAGTTTAAACAAGCATGGTTACCTTGCTTCCAGTGTCACAGCAACAAATTAGATGAGGAGATAGAAACCATCCTAGACCAGGATGTTGCAGTCGTGAGAAGCTGAAGCCAGTGGTGTTTATTAACGTTCACTAAGCATCTTCCATGTGCCAACCAGTGCAGGAAATTGAAAAACAGTCACAAGTGACCAATTTATGTGAAGACAAATCGTTTTACACACATCTGTGGGTGTGGCACCACCAACATAATATTGGTTTTATTTTTTTTTTACCATTTTTACTTCTTAAGTCACCTTTTTTGAAGTATAATTATATACAATAAATTGCACAGATCTATGAGTTTGGTCTAATGTATACAACTGTGTGACCACCACCACGATCAGGATAGAAAGCATTTCCATCACCCCAGAAAGTTCGCTCATGCCCGTTTGTAGTAAATCCCTCCCACCTCCCCCAGCAGCCACTGCTCTGCTTCTGTCACTGTAGTTTAGATTTGTTTTTCTAGAATCTCATATAAATGGAATCAAATAATATGTGCTCTTTTCTGTCTGCCTTCTTTTGCTTAATAAATTGTTTTTGAGATATCTCCATGTGGTTCCATATACTGGTAATCTGTTCCTTTGTTTGCTTAGTAATATTCCATTGTGGGGATATACTACAATTTATTTACCCATTTTCCTGTGGATGGAAATTTGGATTGTTTCCAGTTTTTGTTTATTGCTGAGAATTCTCCTATGTACAAATCTTTTTTTATTGAGTTCATAATGGTTTACATCAATGTGAGATTTCAGTTGTACATTATTTCTTGACTGTCCCCACACAGGTTATCCCCTTCACTCCCTGTGACCTTCCCGACCCCCCTGCCCCTGGTAACCACTGAACTGTTTTCTTTGTTCACGTATTTGTTCATATTCCACATATGAATGAAATCATCTGGTGTTTGTCTTTCTCAGTCTGGCTTATTTTACTTAGCATAATTCCCTCTAGGTCCTTCCATGTTGTTGCAAATGGGGCGATATTGTCTTTTTTCTTAGCTGAGTAGTATTCCATTGTACATATATATATACCACATCTTCTTTAGCCAATCATCAGTCAGTGGGAACTTGGATTGTTTCCATGTCTTGGCTATTGTGAATAGTGTTGTGATGAACATAGGGGTGCATATGTCACTTTGGATCATTGATTTCAAGTTGTTTGGGTAGATACCCAGTAGTGGGATAGCTGGGTCATATGGTATTTCTACTTTTAGTTTTCTGAGGAATCTCCATACTGTTTTCCATAATGGCTGCACCAGTTTGCATTCCCACCAGCAGTGTGTGAGTGTTCACTTTTCTCCACATCCTCTTCAACATTTGTTGTTTTTTGTCTTGGTAAATATAGCCATTCTGACTAGTGTAAGGTGATATCTCATTGTAGTTTTGATTTGGATTTCCCTAATGATTAGTGATGAGCATCTTTTCATGTGTCTGTTGGCCATCTGTATATCTTTCTTTGAAAAATGTCTGTTCATATCCTCTGCCCCTTTTTTGACCAGGTTGTTTTGTTTTTTGTTGAGTTGCATGAGTTCTTTATATACTTTGGATATCAACTCCTTGTCTGATAAATGATTTTCAAATATTTTCTCCCAGTTGGTGGGCTATCTTTCCATTTTGTTGATGATTTCCTTTGCTTTGAAGAAGCTTTTTAGTCTGATGTACTCCCATTTGTTAACTTTTTCTTTTGTTTCTCTGACCCCAGTAGACGCAGTATTCAAAAAGATGTGGCTAAGACCAATGTCAAAGAGTGTCCTACCTATATTTTCTTCTAGGATTTTTATGGTTTCAGTTCTTACGTTCAAATCTTTAATCCATTTAGAGCTAATTTTTGTGTATGGTGCAAGATAATAATCTACTTTCATTCTTTTGCATGTGGCTGTCCAGTTTCCCCAACACCATTTATTGAAGAGACTTTCCTTTCTCCATTGTATGTTCTTGGCTCCTTTGTCAAAGATTAACTGTCCATAGATGTGTGGTTTTATTTCTGGGCTTTCTATCCTGATCCATTGATGTGTTTTTGTGCTGCTTGTCTATTTTTATACCAGTACCATGCTGTTTTGATTACTATAGCTTAGCTTTATAGTGTGTTTTGAAGACAGGGATTGTGATGCCTCCAGCTTTGTTCTTTTTTCTCAGGATTGCTTTGGCTATTTGGGGTCTTTTGTTGTTCCATATAAATTTTTGGATTCTTTGTTCCATTTCTATGAAGAATATCATTGGGATTCTCATTGGTATTGCACTGAATCTGTAGATTGCTTTAGGTAGTATGGACATGTTGACTATGTTTATTCTTCTGACCCATGAACATGGAATATTTTCCCGTTTCTTTATGTCTTCTTCAATTTCTTTCAATAATGTCTTATAGTTTTCAGTGTACAGGTCTTATCCTCTTTGGTTAAGTTTATTCCTAGCTATTTTATTCTTTTCGTTGCAATTGTAAATGGGATTGTATTCTTAATTTCTTTTTCTGCTAGTCCATTGTTATTGTATAGGAGTGCAACTGATTTTTAAAAATGATTTTGTACCCTGCAACTTTGCTGTAGTTGTTGATTATTTCTAGTAGTTTTCTGGTGGATTCTTTAGGGTTTTCTATATATAGAATCACATCATCTGCAAATAATGAAAGTTTCACTTCTTCCTTTCCAATTTGAATTCCTTTTATTTCTCTTTCTTGCCTAATTGCTCTGGCCAAAACCTCCAGTACTATGTTGAATAGGAGTGGCGAGAGTAGGCATCCTTGTCTTGTTCTGGTTCTCAGAGGGATGGCGTTCAGTTTCTCACCATTAAGTATGATGTTGGCTATGGGTTTGTCATATATGACCTTTATTACGTTGAGGTACTTTTCTTCAATATCCATTTTACTGAGAGTTTTTATCATAAATGGATGTTGGATCTTGTCAAATGCTTTCTCCACATCTGTTGAGATGATCATGTGATTTTCATTCCTCATTTCATTGATTAGTGTATCACATTGATTGATTTGTGGATGTTGAACCATCCCTGTGTCCCTGTAATGAATCCCACTTGATCGTTGCGTATGATTCTTTTAATATATTGCTGTGTTCAGTTTGCCAATATTTTGTTGAGGATTTTTGCATCTAAGTTCACCAGTGATCTTGGCCTGTAGTTTTCCTTCTTCATGTTGTCCTTGTCTGGTTTTGGTATCAGGGTAATGTTGGCTTTAAAGAATGTGTTAGGAAGCGTTCCATCTTTTTCAATTTTTCTGAATAGTTTGAGAAGGATAGGTACTAAATCTTCTTTGACTGTTTAGTAGAATTCTCCAGAGAAGCTATCTGGCCCTGGACTTTATTTTTTGGGAGGTTTTTGATTACTATTTCAATCTCTGTACTTGTGTTCGGTCTACTCAGATTCTCTGTTTCTTCTTGATTCAGTTTTGGGATGTTGTATGAGTCTAGGAATTCATCCATTTCTTCTAGGTTATCAAATTTGTGGGCATATAGTTTTTCATAGTATTCTCTTATAATCCCTTGTACTTCTGCAGTATCTGTTGTAATTTCTCCTCTTTCAATTCTAATTTTATGTTTTTGTTGATTGCTGAGAATTCTGCTATGTACAACTCTTTCTGTGGACATGTGTTTTTCATTTATCTTGAATTAAACACCTGGGAATGGAATAGCTAGGTTACATAATGTAGGGGTTTTTTTTATTATTGAGATTAATTGACGTATAACATTATATTAGTTTCAGGTATACAATATTTGTATATGTTATGAAATGATCACCACAATTAATCTAGTTAACATCTGTCACCATACATAGTTACAATGATTTTTTCTTGTGATGGGACTTTTTAAGATCTACTCTCTTAGTAGCTTTTTAGTACGTAATACAGTATTATTAACTATGGTCACCCTGCTGTGCATTATATCCCCAGGACTTATTTATTTTATAACTGGAAGTTTGTACCTATAATAGAGTTTTTACATTTAAAATGTTGGCTTTTATTCATCAAGAGTAAAAGAAATTTCATTGGATAGATTTTGTTTGATGAGTCAGGGCAGTGTCTCGCTTTAGAACAGTCGTCTTCCAAAGATTTGGGGGTTTGCCTGGTTTTGTTTTTTCTTTTGGTTCTTAGTATTTTCGTTTAAAGATTAAGTTCTTAGGTATCTGAGAAATTAGGCTGCCCATAATGGCCATTCCTTGAGGGTTTCAGTTAACGAAGGTTTTACTTTTTATGAAAGACTGAGCGTAACTGAGTGTGGAGGAAGGGAGGATTAGAGAGAAAGAAAGAGAAAGAGAGAGAGGAACGGTAGGTGGAGGGAGGGAGAGAAAGAGACACAGAGAACAATAAAACCAGACAGCACTCATTCCAGTGTTATTTTTTTGTGTCGCAAATACCCAGTGACGCCCTGAGATGCGATGGGCGGTGGGGACCTGATGTCGAGCTCTTCCCACCTGACGGAGTCTCCCTCTTGCTCCTGCAGACCGGCCCCTGCGCCTGGCTGGCGGGCACAGTGGCTGCGAGGGCCGGGTGGAGGTCCGGCACCAGGGCGTCTGGGGGACAGTGTGCGACGACCACTGGAACATCAAGAACGCCCGCGTCGTGTGCCGTCTCCTGGGCTGCGGCCTCGCGCTGGGCGCCCCGGGGCGCAGCCGCTTCGGCCCGGGCCGAGGGCCCATCCTGCTGGACGACGTGCGCTGCGCGGGCACCGAGGACACGCTGGAGCGCTGCGCCCACCTGGGCTGGGCGCGACACAACTGCCGCCACGGGGAGGACGCGGGCGTGATCTGCGCAGGTATCCGGCTGCCCCTCGATGCCCCCCGGCCCTGTGTCCCCCAGGCTCCCTCCCTTCTTTTCTCTCCAAGCGTTCCTAAGGTCAAAATTCACCACCCCAAGGAATATCACGTTAGCCAAAGGGCCAGATTCTAGGATAGCAAGGACATATTTGTTATACAAACGTTGTGGCAAATATTTTTATGGTACAGGTTTGGGGGTTCATTAATCAGTTTTGTCTAATTCCAATTGAGGGCAATACTTGTTCCAAAATATAGCTGAAAGATTATGAGGTCAAAGGAAGGAGTGACAGTGTAATAAAATGAGTCAGGACGTAGAACTTGCTGTTATCCATCAGACTGCAATTTTTGTCCCCTTTTCAATCACTAACAAGGGAATCAAGGGACAGTCCTTAACCTGGCCCTCAGAAGTCAGAACCCTACAGTGTCCAGGTTCCCCTTGTGTCCCTTTCATCCCAGATTTGGCCTATACCTTTCCTGGAATATTTTTTATTTTTACCCACTATCTGTCCTGTCATTTTGACTTCCATAGGTTGACCCCCTTCTGTGTAGAGTAGTACTTCCTTATATTTGTCCTAAATTTACCTACATAAATCTCCAAGAGTTAAGGAATTCTAACATCCAGTGAACAAGTCTGAGATCACCGTGTCTGTTCCATTCTTAGTTTTTTACAGTTTAATTAGTGGAATCATTGCTGTTGCTTTTACCTTTATGTGGGAGTTACTCTTGTGTCGCATAGAAATGGGACCCAAATAGAAAAGCTATCAGAGTCCCTTTAAGACAAACATTAATCCTGAAGAAGCCACGTACTATGAGTCTGTCTGGGTGGTGAGGTTCTTATCTTCCAGATTCTCACATATATCGTGTCTATTCGCAGCTCCATCCATTCCTCATGCTCTTGGGGGGGGTCCACTGTAAATGGTATTCATTTCCAGTTCGTGAATTATATACCAAGGGATTTCCTTTTCATGGGGTACGATCCTTTTCATTGGGTACAGTGTCCAAAGGACCAGTGGTCTGGGGCCAAGAGAGAATCCGGCTGGGCGTGCTTCCTGGCCTGGGCACTGGCCCTACGTTACTGTCCTGCCTTCCTTCTGGGTTGGGGAGGCCTTTGATAGCCACAAACTGCATATTTATTTCCCAGCCTGAGGTTCCACAAATGTCGTGTGTGTGGTAAGAGACACCAGCCAGAGGTCATACATGTGATAGTGTTTACAACCTGCAAAGCCGCCTATTTTCTATTCTCTTGCTCCAGCAGGTCCTGGTGTTGATGACATCTGTATTCTCAACGCTACTGCACACATGCCAGAATCCCTCCCTCAGCCCATCAGGAGGCCCTGGGCTCTCCTTTCCTTTGCGTTGCCCTGGAGTCTTTTAATGTCATGTGCTCCAGCTTTAATAGCTGAATCAAATGAGCCCATTTCCCTGCAGTTCATGTCTACTGCTGGCTACATCATCCTCTTCCAGTGTTTCTACACGCTGACATTTGCTTTTCATCATTCTCCCCTCACCAGGTCCAGCTGACTCTGTCGTACCCAAGGACAATGGTAAAGTCTTCTCCCCTTCTGGGACTACGGAAAGGGCGAGTTAAGAGAGTAGCTGTCTAGAGAAGAAATAGGGGGCGGGGAGGAGTGGGGGACCAGCTTCTGTGCCTCCATTGAGATCTCTGTGTCTCCATCCACTCACTGGGCTTTGCAAGGTTGGAGAAGAAGCCCCTTTACACCCTTCCCCTACACTTCCACTCTCTTTCCAACCTACCTCTCATATGAAAGCCCTGATAGATACCTCTTCAGGCTCAGGTGTTCTCAACATGTGAAATGAGCTGTCCTTTAACTCCTTAGCTGAGGCTCTGACTCACGGTCCATGGGACATGTGCTGTGGGTAGGAGTCCCCATGGATATGGTGTGACTTTTGGAAAAGGGAGGATATAAATAAAGTCAATGAAAGTCAAGTCAAGGGTGGAGGGTGATGAGAGCTGAGCCAGCCCCAACCCGTGGCACTGTCCATGGTATTTTCATAAAGTAAACATACACCCACACCCCGGACCTACACGTCCAGTGTACCAGGTTCTCTTTGTGAGGATCTCCTCCATTCTCCCCCTTCTGCAGCCCAGCTCTCCTGCTTACCTCACCTCTTCCAAGTCATCATTGACCGGGGCTATCTCCGAAGGCTGGGCTACTCTTCGTGGGACATCTACTTAAATGATAAGCTGTGTCGCCCCCGAGTCACAGGGCGCTACCTGATCTTCAACATTCCCTATGGCCACTGTGGCACCGTCAGACAGGTAAGAAACCGACAAGGTGGTCATACTCTTCTGTAGATGGAGGCCAAAGAGATTGGTTTGGAAAAGTCAGCTGCCTGTTAAAAAGCTGGATAGGGACAGAAGAAAGGCACAAGCATGACTTTGTTTCTGAGTTTGATGAGACCTGGAGCAGCTCACTAATTTGTCTGACACTTTCCTTCCTTTTGGGAATTTGGGATACATACTGAGTTTGGAATACATAGTAACAAGTGTTGAGGGCTGCTGGACTGATGGATGGGTAAATGGATGGATGGATGGATGGATGGTAGGTATTCTCATAGCTCCAAAATCAAAGCATTTTTCACAACATGCTTCTTTATTCAGTGTTAGCACACATGTACCATGTCCAGGCTGTGGCGCTGGGCGTAGGGGAGGACAGATGATCTGTCTGTCTGTCTGACTGCTATATGTCTAACCATGTTGCTAGCTATATTTCCCAACTAGAAAGCAAGTATCTAGGGCATTTATATATAATGAAATGAAAATGCTTAGTTCATTTTCCTTAACCACCTGCTTATTTCACAAAAATGATGTCATTTAAGTTGGTAGGAAACAAGTATACCAAAGATATAGGAAGAGTGTATAACCATGACATCATTTTTCTCAGTACAATTTAACAATGTAACATTTTCCAAAACAAGGTCCCGTGCTATTCCTCTGTTCTTTGGCATCCATGTTTAGGCACACACAGAAAACACTTGGCATTGTTGGACATTGAATTCATTCAAACAGTCTACCTGATATCAAATAACCACTTCAACTCCACACTTCGCATTTTGTCCACTTGGTTGTGCAGACCATGGTCATTCTTATCCTTTTTGCTCTGAAATTTTAGTTTTTACCTCAGAGATTTCTGTCCCAGGAGCCATGCTGGAAACCCCCTTGTATCTGGAAAGCGGGCAGCCCCTGGAAGCTTCTGGGCCATCAGAGAGGACACTCAGATATCCTCTCTGGCCCTGGCTGGCCCAGCTCCCCCAGCAAGCCTAGTGTGCTGACCACAGTGCTGGGGCCAGAGGACACAGCAGGTCAGGAACTACTTTGAGTGACTGCCTGTCCCAGGCCATCCACATTGAAAACACTGCCTCAAAAAGGTCATATTTCAGTCAGTGAACAAGCAACCTACTAGGTGCTGATGGCACAGCAGCCAAAAGACAGACAAGGCCCCTGCTCTGTGGCTCCTATGAAGAAAGGGAAACAGACACCGAACAAAGGCACAAATGAGAAGCATTTTATAGAGAAAAGGTTAAGAAGACAATAAAACAGGGGAGGGGATAGGAAAGGATTTGGGGTAGAAGGAAGGCCACTGTGAATAGAGCAGTCAAGGAGCTGAGACCTGAATGAGGAGATGGAGCCAGTAGAGATGGACAGGAGCGCTCCATGCGAGAGGTCAGCCAGCAGAGGCCCAAGGCAGCAGCAAGCTTGGAGGGCTTGAGGAGGAGACTGGCGGCCTGTGAGGACCAGAGGCCCAAGGTCAGATTGGAAGGGGGAAGATCATGTGGTCACGGAGTTTAGTTTTTCTTCCAAGCTGTACATTCTCAATGAGTGTCACATGGAAGAAAGATATTGGTTTTTAGGGGCAAAAAAGAAAGATCTTTCTTTATGGATAAAACACAGAGATACACACAAAACATCTATAGCATGTTTGTTGTACAAAAATTTCATAATGGGGGCTAGAAAGGGGCTGGATGAATAGGAAAGAAAATGCATAAAAAGGCTCCTTAGGACGGCCATAACGGAAAAAGTTTGAGAAGCACTGGTCTAAGCTGACAGGGCAGTCCTTGGAGGGTACCAAGGCAGAATGTCACAGGATCTGAATCACACAAGCGAGGCTTCCTTGAACAAGTACCCACGGGCAGGCTGACTCTCTGGGCTACAGGAGGGAGACTGCCAGAGGCAGAGGCCCCCTACTCATCAGCACCCCTTTAGCCCCTTCAAGTCATGAAGGAGCAAGCTAAGAGCAAAGGTCAGCAGGGCTGGGTCCACAGCTCATGAGGAACCAGAACTGGTCTGGGGTCAAGAGCAGGGAGGAGCCAGAAGAGAGGATGAGAGCTGCAGTCAGGGGTGGTCTGTGGTTGCCTGAGAACACCATGGGCTGAGGGAGTGGAGTGTGTGGAGGAATTTGGCAGCCAGCATTGGCCTCCCACCCCACCTTGTATACCACAGTTTGGCCCTCACAGGAGGGAGAAGGGAGTCCAAGCTCACACACCAGGGGCTGCCTGCATGTACTCCAAACTCCAAGAAGCACGGACATAAGGTCACCCCATTATGGCATTAGGTATCACAGAAGTCTGGCCCAAGGCCTCCTGCCCTCCAGCTTGTCAGAGGGTGTGAAGAAGAGGTCTCTGCTTGTGAAGGAAGGTGACTGTTAGGGAGCCAGGATCACTACCCAGCAACTCTCCTCTCATCCTCCCAGGAAAGCCTCGGTGCCCTCAGCTACTCCAACTCCATCAGAGGCCGAATACAGGGCCACCCTGGCCGAGTCATTGTGCGGCACAAGGTGCCTCAGCTGAAGTTCACCTGCAGAGTGGACGGCCCATCTGAGGTTGAAATCATTCCTGGGGCTGATGTCCCAAGGGAAGGTGCCAGCTATGATGTGTCCATATCGTTCCTCGAGTTACCCATGTCCCAGCATGTGGGGAGCATGGGGCCATACTACGCCAGCCAGAGGAAAGAGGTCTTCCTCGAGGCCACACTCCACAGCCCAGATCCCAGCCTCAGGCTCTTTGTGGACACCTGTGTGGCTTCTCCAGATCCCCATGATTTCACAGCTGTCAAGTACGATTTGATCCGGCAAGGGTAAGGAAAATGGAAGGCCCTCTCGGGTTGACTGTTATATTCCTGTGGCATTCCTTTGGGGGACTTGTGGCTTCTCAACTGGAAGTCTTAAATCATAACATTGTGTGAAAGAGTCCTGCCCCAGAGGCAGAGTTGGGGCTCTCACCAACCCTCTGATCCCAGTTGGGACAAATAGTTATAGGAAGTCTGGACAACTTCCCTTGAATTCCCACAGAGTCCTGGGCAGAGCCCTTGCTGTCCCATCCCACCCTTTCATACCCAAGCCTCCCTTACCTTTGAGTTGTATGACTTTATTACACTTCCCATTGGTAGTTCAGGCCCTCAGGGCATTTGGCCTACATTGATGGGCTGGTGGTTTATCCCAGGCTAAACTCTTATAGTGGCGAGATTTATTCTGGCTCCTTTGGTTAAACAAAGGATTTGCCAACCTGGAACTTTGGCAAGTTGTTTGCCTTTATAGTTCTCTTGTCACCAGACAAGGGCAGAATGCTTATGGATGGGCAATTGGCAACCAGAGCAAAAACAACAGAAACCCATCATTTACTGATGGTGGTGAGAGCCACACAAGAAGCATCATTGTGGTACCTGTTCCCAAAAGCCAGAGGAGGGGCAAGACAAAGCACCTTCCACAGGTGGTATGAGCTATGATGTGAGAGTGCACAGACGTGGCAGTAAACTGCACTGAGTTGCAGGGTGAGAAAACTCTCCCTTTCAATTCTCCATACAAATATATCAAGGAAAGAGGCACAGTTTGGTACAAGTTTTTTCTTCTACTTGCTTTAGATTTACTTTGCTCTTCTATCTCTAGTTTCCTAGGTGGAGGCTTAGATTATTGATTTTAGATCTTTTTTCTTTTCTAATACATGCATTTTAATGCTACACATTTCTCTCTAAACACAGCTTTACCTGCATCCCACAAATTTTGGTAAATTGTGTATTCATTTTCACTTAGTTTAAAATATTTTTAAATTTCTCTTGAGACTTTTTCTTTGGCCTATGGGTTACCTAGAAGTGTATTGTTTAATTTCCAAATATTTATGAATTTTTCATCCACCTTTCTGTGATTAGTTTCTAGTTTAATTCCATTGTGATCTGAGGATGTATTTTCTGTGATTTCTGTTCTTTTAAATTTGTTAAGGTGTGGTTTATGGTCCAGAATGTGGTCTATCTCAGTGAATGTTCCATGTGGGCTTGAGAAGAATGTATTCTTCTATTGTTGGATGGAGTGTTCTATAAATGTCAATTAGGTTTAGCTGATTGATAGTGCTATTTAGGTCATCTATGTCCTTTCTGATTTTATGCCTGCTGGATCTGTCAATTAATGATAGAGGACTGTTGAAATCTCCAACTATAGTGATGGATTTGTGGATTTCTCTTTGCAGTTCTCAGTTTTTGTCTCATATATTTAGACGCTCTGTTGTTTGGTGCATATACTTAAAGATTGTTATGTCTTCTTGAAGACATAAAGATTGTTATGTCTTCTTTGTTATTATATACCCTCTTCATTCCTAATAATTATCCTGGCTCTGAAGTCTGTTTTGTCTAAAATTATTGTAGCTATTCCAGCTTTCTTTTGATTAGTATTGGAATAGTAAATCTTTCTCTATCCCTTTACTTTTAACTTATCTATGTCTTTTATCTTTAAAGTGGATTTCTTATAGACAACATATAGTTGGGTCTTGGTTTTGTTTCTTGTTTTTTTAATCTACTCTGGCAGTCTCTGTCTTTAAATTGGTATATGTAGACCATTCACATTTAAAGTGACTAAGAATGCAGTTGGCTTAAAACCTACCATCTTCATAACTGTTTTCTACTTGTTGCATTTGTTCTTTGTTTCTAACTCTCTTTTTGTTGCCTTCTCTGGTTTTAATAGAGCATTTTATATGCTGGTTTTAATTGAGCACTTTATATTATTCCATTTTATATCCTCTCTTGATGTATCAGTTATACTTCTTTCCTTAACTTTTTCAGTGATTGCACTAGGGTTTACAAAATATATTTTAAAATAATCTAAGTTCACCTTCAAATAATACAACCACCACCTTTAATCTCCCCTTTTGACAAAACAGAGTAGGCTTCTGAAGGCCACAGCTCTAACTAGAATGTAATTACCTTGTTTTGTTTTTATTTTTATTTTAGAGTTTCCTTCTATTTCTAGCCAGGAATAGTGTTTCTTCCACTCACGGTATTATTATAAAGTTTCTTTATAAAAGAAAGAGTGGGTAGTGTGAAGAACTCCATTTGGAATTCAGAGGTTTGGGTCCAAGCCTGATTATTTGAGTCAGAGTGAATTCCTACCATGCTTTAAGTTAATCCTTTTGGCCTGGGGTTTTCTTCCCATCAGGTGCATCAAAGACAATACCTATGTTAACCTGCACTCCAGCCAGAAGAACACGGCCCAGTTCAAGTTCAATGCCTTCAGCTTTCTCAACAGCTACGATGTGGTCTACCTGCAATGTAAGGTCGCTGTGTGCAAAGTAGGGGTCCACTCCTCTCGCTGCTCCCAGGGCTGTGCAGGGCGGAGTGAGAGGGATGCAGGCCCCATGGAGACCATGGAAGAACAGACTGAGCATTTCCAAATGGTGGGGCCACTGGAAATCCACAAAAGAACTGAGCAGAGCAAGACCCTTGTGTGATTTCTCCAATTTCCACATGAATCTGTTAGAAATCAGAAGCTGTCTGTTTCTTTTCAGTAAAGTAATAAGTTTGACAAAGTTGTCTATTTAGAGACAGGATAAAAGAAATAGCCAAAGAGGTTCTCTCTGAGGTTTGTTGCTAAATAAGTCTCGACTACTAAGTTTCTAAGGCAATCACTCTCTTTGCAGGCTGGAAATGCATTTTCTAATTCTTCGCTATCAAGAACTGGATCATTGTCTTAAACTCCACAAAATGTTAACAGAGCTCTCTCTCTATACCACATTTCCAACTTAATTTTTTTAAATTGACTCTGTAGTGTTCAGATGCTAGTAGATGGGTGTTTTTTGTTTCTGTCCCTCTGGTGGTGTGAGAATTTGTTTTTAGATCTTGCCAAGAGTCTTATAAAAATAAATTAAATACCTGTCAGAAAGCCACTGCTCTTTTTTCTTTTAACTCTAATAAATGGTCAGTTAAATCAAACAAGTCATTTATTCATTTACTCACAGTCATTTGCACCAAACAAGCTTTGTTTGTCTGTTTCAAAGGGAAGAAATTGGACCCTGGCTTTGTTGGGTTGGGTTACAGCTTGCAAATGAAGAGTCTGAAACGTCATCACAGGAACCACTCGTGTCTGCTTTCTGAGCTACCATGATCTCAGTCTGTTTCCCAGACCCTCAAAGCGTTTTAGGAAAGCTGAAAAGTACACAAGGAAAGATTAGCATATTCCCACTTCCTCCCCAAAATGAGGGCAGCACCCACTTTATCTAATCTCTTTTTATCTTAACCGAGAGCGGCCTGTGCTAAGTTCAGTAACCTCAAAATTGTCTCCAAAGAGACAGACTTGAACATAGATAGTAGCAATATTTAAACTGAGTCCTCAACTCAAAGAAATTGTTCCTGTCTTTGTCAAGAAATAGCGTGTACAAGATAAGAAAACAGTATTGTTAAGTCTCCAGGGAGTGGGGCAGTGTTTGGTGGAGACTGGGAGCCAGCCCCGCAGTCCTGAGAGACGAAAATCTGACAACCCAGGGACAGGCATTGCCTCCCAAGGGGAGCATCTCAGTTTCATTACAAACATGTCATTCATTGACAATGGTCTTAGTAAAAATGTGATACTGACCTTTGTTTTTATGAAGTTCCCTGCTTCTATATAGTAGAAATTGATGAAATGCAATTACTGGTCAGTTGGGTGAAGACGGCATCTTTAAATCAAAAGTTCGGGCCGTCCTGGTGGCACAGCGGTTAAGTTCGCACGTTCCGCTTCCCGGCAGCCCAGGGGTTGCCGGTTCGGATCCTGGGTGCGGACACAGCACTGTTTGGCACACCATGCTGTGGTAGCCATCCCACATAGAAACTAGAGGAAGCTGTTAGCTCAGGGTCAGTCTTCCTCAGTGAAAAGAGGAGGACTGGCAGTAGTTAGCTCAGGGCTAATCTTCCTCAAAAAAAAAAAAAATTCTAAATCAAAAGTTAATCATTTGAAACTGAGTAGCTTCATCTTCAATCACGTGAAAAAATGATTTTAGCATCTGGTGTTTATTTCATGCAAGTAGTTCAAATAAATAAAGGACTTTTTCCAAGTAACTATGAGCTGATAGTTTCTACTTTCACAAGTTCCTCGGCCCATTAACTGTACCCATCCATGAAGAGGTAGGAGGCTAAACAGCTTGCAAAATCTAGCATTTTATGAATTTTAACAAATCCGTAATGTGAAAAGTGTTGATGATGACAGGACTGGAATTTTAAGAATAAATAACGGTCCAATGAACTTCCACATCAGGTTCTCTGGGTGTAGTTCAACAGGTGGGAGCCCGGAAGCTGCCCTTTCTGAAAACACTCCAGGTGATTCTTAGGAATGCTGACGTTTGAAAGCCATGGCCACTGTTCAGCATCCCATGCCCCATAGATCAAAATGCACTTAACCGGGAGACACCTGGAAACACCAATGGTCTAGAGAAAAAAGCCCCAAGAGAAGCCTGCTCTCTCTAGCCAAAGGATCAGCAAAGGGGCAGCCTAGCAAGACAGCAAATTTTTAGACAATAACTGCCCAGCTCCAAACACTGTGGGTAAAACTGCAGCCCCAGCCCCAGGCAGCCAGCAAAGGTAAAGTGGGGAGCCTAGACTTCCACTCGCCCCTAGCACTCCTTACATCCCCCCTTGCCTCCCCAGGGTGATGTCAGAGAAGGCAGAATGGGGAGCTGGGACTTTCATCACCTCTGGGCAGTAAGCAGGGCCTCCTCTGCGAGGAGTGGAAATCAGTTGGGGAGACTGGACCTCCACCCCCTCCCGCAGGTCCCAGGCAGCCCTTTGAGTCTGCTCTGGGGTGGTGTCAGAGGAGGCCTAGTAGAGAGCCGGGGCTTGTACCCACCCAGACAGAGGTAAGGAGGAGGTGACTCCACCTTCCTGGGAGGAGGGCAGCAGAGCCATGTGGGTAGCCTGGGTTCTACCCTGCTCAGCAGTAATGAGGTGACCCTCGTCATCTTGACTGTACACGCTGGTATTCCATTGTCCATCCTTTGTTTTTAGCCTTCCTCAAACACTTTGTTAAGCACATCTCTTACAGCATAGAGTCTGAAAATCCTGCTCTTTTAAGAGGCTCTGATGTGACACCCAGATCTCTCTCAGATGGAGTCACTCATTCTTCAAGCTGCTGGGAGTGTTGGCTCTCAGCTCCACTACTTTCCCAGAATTTCCCTCAGCTCAAGACATCTGCCTTGTCCAAGGTCACAGCCTTTATCCAATGACTGGTCAATAGAGGCACATAAAGGTCTGAGCACCATGCCTCAATGTGGGGCATCTCTAAAGGGTGAGCCCAGGATCCCCGGGGATTGGCTGGGCCTCTTACTCCAGCTGCTTCATAGTTCATCAACTCCCCCTGCCCAGTCCTGCTTCCCTCACTCCTCACAGGCTTCATCCTGAGCGCACTCCCTGGGAATCTTCCTGTACCCAAACCTCTGTGTCAGAGCTTGTTTCCCAGGAACCCGACTCGTGACTGAATAAATATTGTCGGGTGTGGGCTGAGGAAGCAGATTCTAAAATGAGACTTGCGGGCTGGCCATGAGGACTCAGCATTGGCGGCAAGTGGAATACAGATAGCCCCTGACTACAACTCACTCTCTCATTTAATCCTCATAACACTCCCAGGGGGTCAGCAGCTGTTACCATCCCTATTTTAAGTTGTGAACATCAAGGCTGAAGGCGACCTGGCCAATGTAACCCACCAGGTAAGTAGGAGGAACTAACACCCAGGCCACTAACTCCAGATCTAGGACCTTTAATCACTTCACTATAGTTTTCCTAGAGACAAAAAACTTACCGATATTATGTATTATTATATACTGGTAACGCATTGGTATAGCTCATTCGCTCCACTACAAAGGGTTTTTTGATTTATGGTGATAGGATTTTACCCTCTCTAGTGAATCCATATTTATAATTCTTAGTATTACACTATTGTGCCTGATGTGCCTCTGAATAATCCCCTTGCATGGCCACCAGCAGACGTTCAGTCAGTTCCTGACAGAGGGATGGCTGAAGGGCTGGTGACCAGATAGCTAAGGGCTGTTTTTAAGTACTGCATTTGATTTGCCCATTCCAATAGTGTCTTAAGTGTTTTCACATTAGGTTAGAAAAGAACTTGGCGGTAGTTCCATTTAGGTTATACGGACAGGCAAATGCAGAGGAGACTCAAACGCATGGCCACTTGGGGAAGTACTGTGTTGGAAGATCTACATGGAAATATTAAAAAGAAAATGGAGCAGATCTGTTTTGATTTGGAGCTGGAAATCAGTCAGGCCCCTAAGGACTTGTTCCATGAGGACAGAGATGCTGGTACATCTATGTGTTCCGCCCAGCCTACTGTGTACTCAGCATGTGTGGACAGGAGTGACAGAGAACACCTTGGGCCTTCAGAAAGATGGCTGCCTGTTTGGATGCAGATTAGAACCTGAAACAATGAGGGCTGTTAGGTGACGAGGTAGCGTTGTATCGTTCATCTAAGATAAAGAATTAGATGTGATGTGTGGCACGTGTCAAATGAGTTCACGTTGGGGTCTTTAACAATATTTATTCAGCCACAGCACGTAGGAAAGTATAAATCAGAACTGACTACTCCTTGTTAGGACTATTACTTTTGGCCTTGGTGCTTGATGCTAAATGGGAGGAGAAACATAGTTTTATCTCATTACTCAGAAACTATGCAGAAGTGTCTTCTTTTACAGACAGGTTCTTCTTTCAAAGCCCTTTTCTGAGATGTTGAACGTGTGAAACGCTGAGACTGCATTAAAGCAGTAAGGCATATGAATCAAGGAGATTTCAGCTCTCTCTGTCACACTTTAGCTTCAGAAATTATAACTAGTGTTTACGTTTCAAAGGGCAGCATATTTCCATCTAGAAAATAAATACGTCTCATGCTGAAGACTACTTTTCTTAAGCAAAAATAACCTTTTTCTTTTCACCGTATGTTTACTTAAAATGTTCTATGTGTATAAAAAAGGATGTTTTTAATACAATTAATATTTTGGTGGCTTTAGTTCTTTAACATGAGAGCTAACTTATATAATGTCTGTTCATTTCAGTTGTCCTGCAAGGAAACACACTCTGACCACAATGACATGAGGACCTGTACATCACTTTGACGAGATGCTCCCTACTTTATTCGTAATGCATGTAGCCAGGAGGTGACATTCCTTCAGCACTCAGGAGAAATGTGTCTCACTTAAGGCTGAACCCTTAATTTAATTGTTCTGCAGCTTCTGGTATTTGTAGTCTGTTCTCTGATTCACAAAATGCCTCGCTATGACTGTAGCCACAATCACAACATTCAAAGCAAGGACCATGAATGAAAATAGATAAAGGCTGTTGAAAGGTTGATTCTGAGTTTCTCCTCCATGTATTTGATACTGAAGTCCTGTAATTGGAAACGAGATAAAAATAATTTAAAGAAAAGTATTACTTGGTATTGCAAAATTGCATAAATTTATATCTCTACATAGCCTATGAAGCTTATATATCAATGAATGTATAACATATAACACTAACATTAGTTTATGTTTATGTTTATGTTTAATTTCAAAGACAAGATGCCCTTACATTTGTTTGTTTAAATGGTCAACTTAATTTGATTCCCTGACATAAGGTGAAAAACTTATGAAATTCAAGCATAACAGTCCATGGAAGTGCAGGTTCATTTATTAATTGTCACTGTTTCCCATAGTTGTCAAAATATATTTGATCTATACAGAAACAATTGGTTTCTTCTCTTGAAATAGGAAAAGAATTCTTTTCTAATATGTATGATATTTCTACAATAGTTTTCATTCACGAATTTTCAACTAATTTTAAACTAATATCCACACATGCATTATCTTTTTAGTGAGTGTGTTTACAAAATTACTGAATTTAATTTGTTTGTGTTCTTTTGTTTTTGTCATAGAAATATTTTGCTACAAACCAAAACCATACTCCTTCATAGTTCATTCAAATAATAATACAGAGATCATAGGATTCTTTTTATGCCAGGATCATTTTCACATAAGATAAATTCTTATAAACAGTTTTTATTTAATTGTGCCTTATCCTAAGCGATTAAATTATGGGTCACCTTGAGTATTTACCATCGCCTCTTTCCATCTTTTCTTGGCAACCTGGCCAAGCTCAGGTTTCAATCCTTTACAAAGAAGCAGGGCTGTCTTGAAAATATAAAATTTTTTCTGTTTTAAAAAAATAGCTTTTTTTCCAAATAGGCGATTGTGTGGGATGCTGGTTCATCTTATTATACTCATTTAGGAGTTAAAATACATTATTTTTGATTCAGTTATCTGCCATGGTGTCTATGATGAGGAGTTAGGAAGCTAAGGGAAACTGTTGTTTGTAGAAATGAGGACATTATATTTATATTCCAAAGCCCTGTGAATGATGAATTATCAGAGTATAATATGCTTAAACTGTATGTGGTTCACATATTACCAAGTAAGGGAAATAAAAATTAATCTTTCACGCTTAAAACTCATAACTTATTTAGAGCTTGGCTGAAACTATGGTAGATCGTAAACCGTACCTGCTT